GGCCTGCGTTCAGCCACGCGGTACCATTTTACGTAGCGTCGCATCGCGCAAGCGTCCCCTCGAGCTTTATCGATAATGATACGATTAGCGAATCGAGAAAATTAAAGCCCTCCATCGTTTTATGTAGCTGTATTTGTCCTGCGTGCCCTCTTCACTCTAGCTTGATACCCAATGCCTCGTCTTTTCCCTCTTTCCTTGGTCTCCGCTCGAAGCCCACGCGCACCTCTCAACGCCCTTGTCAATCCCCATTCCACCCAGCCCCCTTCCTGAACGGGCAGCGAGATGTCCACCTCTCGTCGTGCAAGTGTCCACCCGCTTCCCCGCGATGCCCAGCTCAACAGCGCGACGTAAGGCCAGAAGATGCAGAAGGAAAGGCAGATCTTGACGCTCCACCAAGTCTGAGTCTGGGTCTGCCCTTCGCTTGGTGAGGGAGAGCCGGAAAGGAAAGCCGCTATGCGTTGACCGTCTGAGCGAATTTGTTTCTCGATGGAAGTCAGCTCAGCAGGATGAGAAAGACGGTGCGTGGTACCGTGCGGCGGAGGTGGTGGCGGCCGACTGTGGTTGGGGGAAGGGCGATGGTCGATGGGTGCCGGGGAGGGAGCGTGATGCTCTGGAGCGTGGGAGGAGTGCGAGAATTCCTCTGCACCTGAGGTAGGTCGCGCCTTATCTGCCTTGTCCCGAGCTTGCGTCTGCTGTACGCTGCGCATGATTCGTGGCGAGCTTCTTACCTCCCCCTCGTTTGCAGCGGCTTCCAATTTCATCTCCTTCTGCGCAGCATGGCCATCTTCATGCCCTCCGAATGCTCCCTTAACTCCATCCCTCACTCGCAGCGGACTCGCCGACGTCGATGTCAATCTCCGAGTCGGATCATCGCCACCCTTTGTCCTACTCTGCTCTGCGAGATCCACATCGAATGATGTGGCGGATGTAGGCCTCCTTGGCTTGAGCAAGCTGGGCGGTGCATGTTTGCGTAGCCGGGGGGAGGTGGAGCTGGACAAGGAGGAGGAGGTCGAACCCGTGGAGGTGGTGCGAGCGCGCGGAGTCTCGCTGCCTGTGCCGACGAGGTGGTGAGCGAGAATGGCGGAAGCCGAGGGCGACGATAGCGAGGGAGAGGACGAAGGAAAAGCTGAGGCCTCGCTGCGTCGCGATGAGGGCGAAGAAGCCACAACCGCCGTAGCGGCAGTCGCGGCGCCTGTGACAGGACGTTGTGCTTTTCCGATAAGGATGGGGAAGGACACCCCAGCGGAGCCCTGAGGAGCTGCATCCCTGCTGCTGCTAGGGCTGCCGCCCTGACCATGCTCATGGTCGGGTCGAGGGTTTGGCATCGACGCCTGCGTTCTGTTGGGATGGCGCGAGGGAAAAGGACAAGACGAGACGGAAATGACAAAGTTGCCGCGTCAGGCACGCCCGCACGCCCGCCCGCACGCCCGCCCGCTGCCCGCGGGTGCGCCCGCAATGTGGAGGTCGGACTGGCAAGAATGGACGACTGGACTCGACTTGCCTGCACATCTTGCCGTCCCAACCAACACTTCCAACCAGGCACCGTCAATCAATCGCAGCAATCTAGACATCCATCCTATTCGCCACGCACACGCACGAGAATATGATTCTTACCTTTTTCTCACGCTCATGCTCGCAAGCTTCACCTTCCGCCGAAATCGTGGGGACCGAATCGCGCTGTCCCGTCTCTGCATGACATGACCGGCCGGCCACGCCAGCGTAGCTCGGGATCGCCCACGCCGATTCACCATTCTCGTGACCTCCATCGTACAAGCGTTGCAACGTGATCGGATGCTGCTCAGTAGCCTACCACTTGGCAGCAGCGATGGAGCGCACGGGCTCAGCCAACGGTCCACCCTCGCCATTCTGCGATTCCCGTGACCTAGCACTCGGGATGCGAAACGAGCCTAGCCGCTTTCGCTTCACTCCCCGGCGATGCACGATCAAGCTACCAATAGGCCGTCACCATCGACTGTAGGGGCTGAGACACCAGGTTTCGCACCCAACGCACTAGCACGCGCGCCGCGGAGCAGACTCAACGGCTTTCGCCGTACCTGCCCACAGATGCCTCCCCATACTGGCCATCGATGTCATGTGCTCCGCATTACTGATATCCAGAGGCCGTCGAGCCGATGAGAAACGCCAGAGTAGCTCAACACCATGCTCATAGCCCTTTCGGGGCCCGGTCGAGTAGGTTCCTCACACGCTTGCCCGCTGACTTCGCAACAGGAAGGAGTTGGACTCCAAAGACGAGCCCAGGGCACAATATCCGTCGTCAGGATCACCTCATCTTCGCCTTATCCTTCCTCTTCTCCCTTTGGCCCCTCGAATTTCTCTGCGCCACGATCTTTCTGCCCGCCCCCCCTTCAGCTGTCAGAATCGGACCTGCCCTCGAAAGTGCGACGGAGTTGAACATTAGCAGGCAGGCTGAGCTCGAACTCAATTGACTTTGCGCACGGACGTGGCGATCCACTTACCTCCTTCCAATCTGCAATGATCCCGCGTCAGCACGTCTACAAAAGGGATCCCTGGTTGGTCGAATCCACATCCTGCCTCGCCATCAATACTCAACATCCACAATGAACTCGATCCTCGCTTCCAACGCATCAACCACACCTCGCTACGCCGCCAATGACAATGCCCAGCCCGCTCCAGCCGTCGACCCTGACATGGACCCGAGCTGGTCGACCGAGTACAAGGCGCGCAAAGTCGCAGGTGGTACCACCTGCCTGTATCGCGGCGTTACACCCAGCCACCCGCCGCGTGCAGATGGCATCGCTATGGGCATCGCGCTGCCAGGGCGAGAGGAAGCTGTGCTCGTGAAACCTGAGCTGATGGTGAGTGTGCGGTGGCCACTTGCTGAGCGTCCGGCGTCGCTGGGGAAGTCACCCGCTTACTCGTCCTTCGTCACGCGCGCCCGCAGTGGGACTCGCCTATGCAATTCACCTACGCCTTCATCCCCGACCCAGACGAGCTCATCAAGCCACAAGACGACCAGCGGGCCAAAGTCAAAGAGTACGTCCAAGAGTGGGCCCTCTACGCCAACGTCAGCTTCGTTGAGGTCAGCGACCCGGCCAAGGCGCTGGTGCGCATCGCATTCGGCAAGAAGGGGAGCTGGTCGTACGTCGGACGCAAAATCGAACAGATCACAGACGTGACCAAGCCTACGATGAACCTGGGATGGATCAAGCCCTTCAAGGTGGGGCCAGGTGAAGCGGAGCTGGAGCGGGCGGTCATTCTCCATGAGTGGGGCCACACGCTCGGTTTGCTGCATGAGCACGAGAGTCCTGCGCACGACAGTCACGCCGTCAATAAGAAGGCGGCGTACGACTACTATGGAGCGCCGCCCAACAACTGGACGCACGAGATGGTCGATCAGCAGGTGCGTGCGCGCGCAGCGTTGCATAGATAGACAACGCCTGCTCACATTCCGACACTATTTCTGCGCCAGGTCCTCGCCTTCTACGACCTGAGTGCCGTCAGCAACTTCTCGCGCGTCGACATCCACTCTATCATGCACTACCCGCAGACAAAGGCCATCACGGGTCTACCTTACGACATCCCCTACCAGACTGAGCTAAGCGACTGGGATCGAGCGTACATGTGAGCGTGCGAGCGCCAGTGTTGCGCCTGCGTACCCTGCGCGGGAACTGACCTCTTTGTCGCCTCGCCTCGTCACGTAGGATTCTCAACTATCCCCGCGCAAGCTACCCTGACGACAATGGCGGCTGGGACATCGAGCGGGCCCTCAAGGCTGCAGAGCTACCAAGTGACGTCTGCAATGCAGTCCGCAATGCCGTGCAAGCCGAGAAACAGCCCAACGGCGAGATCAGGCCGGAGAAGATACGCAATATCCTCTCCGACTACACGCAGAAGGCCTTCGCGGGATATCTTGACCAGCAGAGAGGTGTGCTGCCGAAAACCTCGCCCGCCAACACTGAGACGGTCAAGCTTGTTTCGATGGCTGAGGCTGTTAAACAGACAATGTGCGGCACGCAGATGGGACAAGACAATCAGGAAGCGCTGCCTGCACTTGTCAACGGCGCTGAGCGCATGGCCGTAATTATGGCTCAGACTCTACGGCCCATTCCGCCCATGGGCAAGCCTCTTGAACTTTCCTATAGGGTCCTGGGCAGTAATAGTACTGATCTTCCTTCCAAGAGGCAGCTCGACCTGGTTATCCAGTCTCTTGCAAGGTGGTCTAGGCCAGCGAATGTCAACTTCACTCAAGCCTCACCCTTGACCAGCCCCGATGACGTTGACCTTATAGTGGCCTTCGTCCCGAGCAACGATCCCAAAGCCTCCAACTTCTGCCGCGCAAGCGGATGGGCAGCCGACAAGAAGCTACGACTGCAACGGCGCGGGAATGCAGCCCGAAACCTCAAGGAACTTTTCCCAGAATGGAAGTCGCACTTCCCTAATGGAGATGTCGACATTATTCTCCGTCACTGCCCTCCGGACGACTCCGGTCTCACCGAAGAAGAGCGAGAGATTCGGAACCGTGTCAATCTACGCAGCATCACTCACGAGCTTGGCCATGCCTTGGGCCTGCATCACGAGCAGATTGGCGTCTACAGTTCTCTTATCCGCAAACCGGAGGTCCACACCAACGATCTCATTTCGACGAAGTACGACTTTGGCTCGCTGATGGACGCTCGAAACCAGTCGCTAGCTACTGGAGTCAATCAGGAGATGGTCGATCTCGTCGGGCTAGGTTCTGTTCCCGTCAAAAGCCTACCACCTCAATTCCGTCGTCTGGCCATCGCCTACGATTTGAGCCCGTACGATACCGCCAACATTGCTCTGCTGTACCCGGGACCAAGGCTACTCGAGCCCGCCCAGGTCGGCAATGGTACGCTCCTCGAGGCCTACCTTTCTTCGCTCAGCCTCGATGTCAAGGGTAGCGCCGCAAAAAATGCCCTCAAGAAGGCTCACGACGGCGACTGGGAGGGGGTGCGCCAGCAGTACCTGACGATGCTCCGAGACCAGGAAGCGGACCTGATGCCCAAGCTGAAGGCGCTGGTCGCCAAGCTCAACCTTCTTGGGCCAGAGCACTCTCTCATTGGAGAGCCGGAGCGTGGCGGACAGCAGCCAGTCGCCCAATCCACGGCTAGAGCAAAAGACCCCGGCGACCTTGCCGACATCTTGTACACGAAGCTGTCGGGCGTCTTCAAGACAAGTGGTGACCAGTATTTGGCGCTCCAGCTGCCCGCCCGCTACCTCGACAAGAACACGTTCAGCTACAAGACGGACGGCATCTACTCGCAGTTCCTCAAGCCCACCGTCGTCAACGAGGCAGAGTTCCGCCTTACTGACCAGCTCTACGACGTGGGCAAATTTGTCGGCGGGCCAAACGGTAAGAGCCTGTCCACCACATACGAGGCTGTCATCAATAATCTCGTGCCGCGCTCGACGAACAAGGACATTGCCAAGGAGCGCGAAAAGTATCGCGCTTTCCTGCTGCGGGAGGCGCCCGATCAAGCACAGTACTTTGTCAATGACACGCTCGTCAAGCAAAGCGGTGCCTCCGCAGCGGCCAGCAAGAGCGGTTCGAGCGACGCGACGGGCGTGCGGATCATCCGCGAGTCCGACGATCCCATTGCCGCGGCTGCTGCTGCCTTTGGTCCAGATGTCCTCGACCAGCTGCAAGGTGCAAAGACGCCGGCTCGGGGTCGTTTGACTGACAGCGGCGCACCATCTGGAGCTAGCGCAGCAGCGCGCTCCCTCGAGCAGTCTCTCGTAGCCTCCAGGGCCGCTCAACCGCGTAAGATGACTCTGATCGAGACGTCAAATTACCTCTACTCCGAGTACGCAAACGACAAGACGCGCTGGGAGCTCGGACGAGACGACATGGTCCGCAAAGCGATCCGCGACTCGAAGAACGACCCAGAGGCACTCAACGATGTGACGCGCCGTCTGGCTCACATCTCTCAAGCGGTCAACAGTCGCCTGAGCATGAAGTACCTCGACGCCGTCGTACGAGGTTATTACCACGTCGTGCGCGAGATGGTCGGACTCATGGATGTCAAAAGCCCCGCAGAACTCCTACAGGACGCCAAGGATTCGTTCCGCGAGTCGGCGCTCAGCTCCGTCTTTACAGCTTCGCGGGTCTGGCCCGTCCTGATGGGCCCGCAAGACTGGGCAGACTCGCTCGATACCAGCTTCACCCCTCGTGACCTGAGCGAGAGCCCTGAGATCCTACAAGGCCGCCTTCACAGCAAGACTCAGCAGCTGGAGACGCTACAGAACCAGCTGGCCCTGCTCGATGGAGCGCAAGAGGGGGATGTAGCGACGCTGAAAGACAAGCTCGCAAAGGCGGAGAAAGACAAGGTGGGCACGTTGAGTCCTACAATTGGTTGCGAGTGCACGCTGACACTGTTCCCTCCTCTCGCTTGCCCGCTGCTAGCTCGACGCCATCTCCGCTCTCCACGCCGAGTATGGCGCAGCGACCGTCGGAGCTGTTCAGCTCGCCTTCAAACTCTACCTCGCTGCTCAGACGGGCGGGGTCTCCCTTGTCGCTGAGGAGGGTCTGAAGAAGGCCGCGGGCGAGTTCGCGACGGCCGCCAAGGCAAGACAAGTACGCGATGTCAGCGAGCAGACGCAGGGCGTTCTTGGCGTGCTCAACGAGAAGCAGCTGCAGGATATTGCCGCGTCCAGCCAGCGTGTAGACAACAAGCAGACTGCCGTCATCGAGGCGATCCGCAGTCAGGTTGCCATAGGAGCGGAGCTCGCCTCTGCCAAGGCGAGCGATACTGTCACGCAGCAGGAGGTCCTACGCAACAGGGCGACGGCCCTCGTCAAGGAGATCGAGGACCTACAGAGCCGCTTCGACATCGCGATACACGCGTGAGTACTGTATGGCGTCGAAGCTAGCAGCAAGAAGAGCAGTCCATTGACGCCGCAACGGTACCCTACGCAGAGCCCGAGCGAGGACAGCAGCCAAGGATACTCCTTTGGCTAACGACCCCACGCTCACCCCGCCCCTGCCCGCCGGTCGATGGCAAGCCGTCAGCATCTACACCAGTGTCAAGCAGTCTGCGAGCCATCTCAGCAAGAAAGCCGACTCGTCCTCCTCATCCTGGAAGCTCAGCCTCTGGATCGCCTCTGCGCAGAGCGAAAGCTCCAGCGCCAGCGCGAGCCAAGCAGCGTCGTCGGACGAGAGCGAGGTCAACGTTGCAATCGACTTCCAGGCTACGCTCGTCACCGTCGATCGTTCTGGCTGGTTTGATCCGGGCTTTCTGGCCAATTCTTCCTCCTTTATGAAGAACGATTCGTCCTTCTCGTGGACACGGCCGCGCCAGAAAGTGGCCGAACAGCCGCCTAATGCGAACGCTCCGCCAGCAAAGACCTTGTCATCCGACGAGATGACTGAGGCTATTCGCACCGACCTAGGCTCCGTCTTTCCCTCTCAGCCGCGCTTTGGTGCTTTCCCAGCCGGCTACATCGTCGTCAAGGACGTCATCGTCAAAGTCGAGTCGGGCACATCGGCAGCTGCCTCTTCCTCGTCCAATTTCCAAGAAAAGAAGGCAAGCTCCGGCGGTTTCCTCTGCTTCAGCCACTCGAGCGGCGAGGAGCATAGCGGCTCGCAGCAGGACAGTGTCAGCGAAGCGCGGTCGGACGGATATGTTGTGCGCATCCCTGGGCCGCAGATTTTAGGGTACATCCAGCAACTGACGCCGGAGGACAACTCGGTGCTGTGGGACGCAGAACAGTCCATCTTGTCCAACCTTAATATTCCCGACAAGCTGCCTCACCTCGTCTTCGACGACGGGACCAAGGCCTCCTCCCCTGCCCGAGGTGTAGTAGCGCCAAGGGACACACCTTCTCATGCGCCGGAGCAGCCCGCCATCGCGTCCGCGTCGGCAGACGATACCTCGAGCAAGAGCAGGAGTGCCGAGCCTCAGGCAGCCCCCCTCGGCCCTGCTGCGGAGGTTGTTCGTCCGGCCTACGGAGTGTGGAGGGAGGAGTGAGCTAACCCAGCGACGCGTGGTGGAACTTTACTTTCTGATTGCGATACGAAGCCTCCTTCTTCCGAAGTGCCTGTGCGTCGTGTGAGATTAACGAAACGGTGATCACTGCGCTGCGCTCGCAGTCTTTGTCTTACTGAGTGGACAGTGTGACAAAAGGAACAACAGTGCCCTGCACAGCTCTTGCACTCGTCCGTCGAAGGCGCACCTGAATCAATGAATCTCCCGCTCAGAACAATGGCTCACATTTCTGACCTCACACAATCAGACATACGTCTTTCCTCCCGCCTTCCCGCAACCCTCTCTCCCTCTCTCAAACCCTTACCTCCCCCCCTGCCCGCCAAACATTGCCCCCATACCGGGAGGACCTGCTCCGGGACTCCCGCTATTCCCCGCGTACGGTGAGTGCCCTCCCTGCTGGTGTTGCTGCGCGTAAGGTCCAACATGTTGCACGGGATAAGGAGACCTTCCCCCTCCTCCCGATCCGCCAAAAGGAGAAGCACTTCGCCCCATAGGCGGAGGCGCGAACCCGGGTGGGGGAGGACCGTAGTGTTGGTGGTGCGCAGGGTGGCCCGGCGGCGGTGGTGGACCAGGAGGAGGAGGGAGTGCTCCGCCCGATGAGAGGATCGAGTGCTGCACGTGTGGTGGGAGGCCCATCAGCTGGTGTTGAATGTGCGGGGGGAGGGCACGAGCGTGAGGGTGGGAGGGCGGATAGCCAGCCCCGTTGACGTTGACGTTGCCGTGCCCTTGTTGGTGGTGCTGACCTGGGCTCAACCCAGGTGGGGCAGAGGGTGGAGGCCCTGGGCGAAGTCGTGGGTCCATCCTTGGGTCCATGCCGAAATGCGGTAGCATACCACCGGGCGCGCCTGGACTCGTAGGGGGCCCTGGACCGGGCGCGAAGCCCGGTGGAGGGGGGCCATGTGGCGGGGCCAAGCCGTACGGGGATCGCCCTTGCTGCTGCTGCTGCTGCTGCTCGTTGAAGGCTACGCCGGGGCTTTGAGCTCGAGGGGGGAGGGGCGCGTTTGGGTTGAAGTGGGTTGGAGGGGAGTGACGTCCTCCGCCATTCGTGTTCGAATTTGTGGGAGGGCGAAGACCCGGAGGAGGAGGGGGTGGGCCAGCCGTACCGCTCCCGCTGCGTTGCTGGTGAGGGGAAGAGGGGCGCCCAGGCTGTTGCTGTTGCTGGGGCTGCTCCGCCTCGCGCGAGGAAGACAGCATGGCCATCAAGCCAGCGGCGGCTTGCTGGGATCCTCCCGACTTGGCGTCGACTTCCCTCTCCCTTTCCCTCTGCCCTGGACCGCTACTTCCTGGCTCCCCTGCATTGTTGCCACCACCACCGGCGCCTCCGCCGCCGCCACGCAGCATAGCCATGATTTTCTGCATACCCTGCACGTCCGCTTCGCTTGGCTCCTTGCCTTGTCCCGCTCCTCCGGCCCCTCCCTCTGCGCCACTCACGCTCGTCTTCCAGAAAAGGGCCTCCAGTCCGGCCGAAGAAGCTGCCGCAGAGGACGACGATGGAGCACCAGTACCAGCAGTAGCCCCGCCACTGGCATTCGCTTGGGCGGCAGTGTGGGCGGCAAGGGCCTTTTCCTGCGCCTCCCGCGCCTTGTTTGTCGCAGCGGCGCCGTCGAAGAAGCGGGCGAAGCGAGATGATCCTCGCGAGGCGGGCTGAACTGCGGGAGAGGAAGGAGTCGCGCCGGTTGTAGGGGTGGATGAGGTGCGCCCCTCGTCCCGGTCGCGGTCACGTCTGGAGTCGTTTTCGTCCATCGAGGTAGGAATGGGCTTGGACTTCTCTGCTTCGTCATTGTTGGTGTGCGCGACTTTGCTCAACCCGGGTGGTGGACCTTGCGCTTGCACCGTCGCTGAATCCCTGGACCCCTCGCCACTCGGCTCTTCACCTCCCTCCCTCTCCTTGGCCCTACGTTCCCTCTCTCTCATCTCCCTTTTGAACGCCTGAATAGAATCCTCGCCCTCCCTCGGCACCACATGAATATTCATCGCAGCACTCTCCGATCCCTTGAAGGCGTCGAAGTTGAGCTTGCCCCGCTCTTTACGCTCGTGGGGTTGCGACGCCGACGTGGAGGGAGAAGGGTCGTTGTCGGCCATCCAGCTGGGCTCGGCATCGTCTGCCATCCAAGCGGGGAAGGAGCCGGAGGGGCCCCCTCCACCACGGCGTGAGATACCATCGTCGTTACTGCGCATCCCGCCAGCCCCTCCTGCCCTTGTAGCGCGCATCCCCCCTGCTGCTCCTTCGCCACGCCTGGGAAGGCCAGCCGGTCCAGCCGCCGTACCCCGCCTCCAATCACTCGCGGAATCCGCAACCGTACCAGCGCCTGTTCCGGCCTGTCGGGCAAGCTTGCGTTCCGTCTCCGGCGATCGGGGCACGGTTTCCCACCCGTCTGCCCCACTCGCATCATCCTCGGCTCCCGCCATGTCGTCTTTGCGACGTCGGCCTCCAGGTCGATCTTCGCGCTCGCGACCCATGCGCCCTCCAAGGCCGAACTTGCCCATCGTGGGGCTCTCCAGATCCTTCCCTGCTGGACGGAAGGCTCCCGTACTCGAGAGCTGGCCGAAGGGATTTTTCCCTGTGAGGTAGCGCGAGGAGGAGCCGGTGTTGGTGGTAGAGGTGGAAGGAGCGAGCCGATCTCGATCGTAGCGTTGTGCTCCGCCGCCTTCTGAGTCGTCTGTTTTGCGATATCTGCGTGAGGGGAGGGGCACGGGAGATCAGCTGGCGAACCGTCTCTATTCTGCGAAGCCTCGCCCACTGCTACTCACCTGCCTTCGCGCGTCTCTCCATCCCTCGCCCGTCGGCCCATGTATCCAGTGCCGTCCATCTTGCCTTCTCCCATGCCCATGCCTATTCCCATGACTCCTCCCTGCGCTGCGCCGTCCTCTCGCGAATGATAGCCGCCTCGATCGCCTCGATCGCCTCGATCGCGATTATTGCGCCCAGTCTGCTGGAAGCTACCCATGGGCCCACTCTGCTGGTTGTGGTGCTGATGCTGATAGGGATGATGGGCTTTAGGCGTGTAAGGCTCGTAGGCGCTGTGCATGGTAAAGGGAAGAGAGAGAGAGAGAGAGTGCAGTGGTCAGTACCTTCTGCCTCGTGACCTGCCTATATGCTCGCCGCCCGTCTCGCCGCCGCTCTCGCCTCTTGGCGGCGCCTGCAACTCACCCAAACCACTCGGTCAAGGCAGGCATTTCATCGGGCACAGCAGGTACGAGCGGGCTGCCGGCCAGCTTGAGGAGGAAGGAGCGTGCATACCGGGGTCCCGTTCCGCGTGTGAGGCGACCGGGTAAGAAGTGGGGTGGGAGAGGAGGAGAGGAGGAGGGGTGAGGCGGTGAGAGGCCGGGCGGTGGGCCTGTGATCGCGCATTGAGGGGGAGAAGGAGGCATGATTAGCGATGCCGAGTACTGGGGACGAAGAGGGATGAGCCCTCTGTTGTTGGCGCGTGGCATACGCACCTGGTGCAGCCATTGTGCGGATGCGGGTGCGATGCGGTCGCAGTCGCGGGTGCGGATGCGATTATTGCTGTTGCGGTTGCGATCAGTCTCGGTCTTGGATCGATGGAGTTGAGTTATGACGAGGATGGAGTGAGACGACGACGACGGCGACGAGTCCCAGTCTCCCTCGTTGTCGACGTCGGCCTCCGCTTCTGTCGTCGTCTGCCGCGCGGTCGTCGTTGCGTTGCGTTGCGAGACACTCGACTCGATCCTCCGCTCAGGCCAGGCCAGGCCAGCCAACCTGTCTGCTTGCCCGCCCGCCTGCCTGCCCGCCCGCATTTCCATCCGCTCTCCGTCCCATCCACACGACGGAGACGGAGACGAGACGACATCACATCCCAACTCGACTCGACTTGACTTGGCTCCACGCGCTTACAGCCACCACGTCCAAGGACCACACCATGGGGAAGCGTAAAAGCTCCAAGCCCCAGGTGGCGAAGAAGGGGCCTCCTCCCTTGGATAAGCAGGTGCGTGGGCCCATCACGCTGAGCTGGACCTCACCTCTAACCTCTCCTCCCATCCCACGCAGTTCCGCTGCCTCTTCTGCTCTCACCCCACGTCCGTTACTTGCAAGATGTAAGTGCGCTCATCGCCTCCCTCGCTTCCTCACTCTTCCCTCTCACCACTCACCTCCCCCCGCTCGCCCTACTCGATCGCTCCCCGCGCCCGCAGCGACGACAAAACGCGCATAGGCTATCTCTCCTGCAAGCAATGCGGGCAGAACTTCTCGACCCCTACCCACTCACTCAGCCAGCCCATCGACGTATACACGGACTGGATCGATGCATGCGAGGAGGCGAATGAGGGGGTCGAGGCATGAGCGTGAGGAATGAAGGATGCGGAGGAGAGAGAGACGGACGACACACAGAGAGGGAGAGAGGAGCCCGGGAGCTAGCATATACGCTGGACATCGAGGTGTTGAGGCATCGACGCATTTTTCATGTACAACAAAAAAGTTACGACAATCCACATCCACACACCACGCAATACGACGACGACGACTTGTACTCCACTCCACGGCCATTCCACCTTATTGTTCCCTTTTCCCCCTCCCATCGCCCCCCCTGTGTCCCCTCATCCCCCTCAAACCACCCGACTCAATATCTCCCATCTCTCCCCCTCCTCCTCCCCCGGACTGATCCGATCTCTGCTCCATCCTTGCCTCTCATAAAATCTCTTCGCCCCCACATTATCCTTGAATACCGTGAGGCAGAGCTTGCGCATGTGCGTCGCCCTCGCCAGGCACACCAGGAGGTCCATGAGTGCAGATCCGATCCCGCATCCTCTCAGCGCGGGGGAGAGCTGGAGCTCGTAGAGATAGAGGACCTCGATCTTCCCCCATCTTTTGACCACATGCATATTCAGTGGGTCAGAAGGGTGCAGCGGCTCGACGGTGAAGCGGAAGGTGGCGAAACCTAGCAGTTCCCTCTGGGCCGCCGTCTTCTCCTCAGTCTCTCCTTGGCATTTGGCTGGGTAAAGAAGGAGAAACCTCGCCTCGTCATCAAAAAGTTCTTCCTTCTTCTCCTCGGGGTCCCATCCGCCGGGTCCAGCGTGATTGCCATCTCTACCTCTGGCGTTGGCGTTTGCCTCATAGCTGGAGCGCATGTTGGATTCGAAGAGGGAAAAGATGCATCCTTTCTCATTTGGGGTGAGGGCAGAGGAGTGGGCGAGGTGGAGGATCAGAGGCGAAGAGGCAGAGGTGGCGGTAATGATGCGACCAGATGCTCTACGTTCAGTGGACTGCTCGGCGTCAAAGGACCAGCATCGCCGCACGTTAGGCGATCCGTCCTGCTCGGGATCCCCATGCTGGGCCAGGGGCAGAGCCAGACTTGATACCAGCTGTAAAGCACTCTGAGCTGAGGCGTCCTGCGCTACCTGTCCAGAGTTCGAGCGACTAGGCCCTGCTACCCTTCGACCATCCTTGGCCTTGGACTTAGGCTTGGGGTTAAGCTTGGACTTCTTGCCCGACTTGACCCGATGGTTGACGAGCACCATGTCGACCCATCCATGCCTTTTCCCCGGCTGCGCGGCGTGCAACGAGCTCGCACAGAATCGTCGTCGTGGTAACGAGGAGCCACAATGGAGTGATCGAGTGAGCAAGGCAAAAGCTGCAACCACTCTCAGCTGCAACCGCTCCCTTCTCCATCCCTCGCCGCTCCCACTCCCGCTCCCGTCCTCTCTCTGTACCTTATCTCGTCGCGCGCCGCGTGGCGTGGCGTGGCGTGTCGTTGGCGTGGCGTGTCGTTTTTCCCATTCCTGGCTGGCTGGTTTTGTCGCTCGGCGAGATTTCGCGCAGCCCATCCATGATGCCTGGCGGCGCCGCTCAGCCTGATCAGTGCGTCGTGGCCTGGTGCCTGAGCGTGCCGCTGCGAGAAAAAGACGCGGCAGGGCAGGCCAGGCCAGCCAGGGCAAATTTGGCTCGACGAGCAGCGTTGGGGCCAAGACGAAGGGAGAGAAAGAGAGAGGGCGGCGACTTCACCGAGAGAAGTGGATTCCTAACCCAGGCACGAAGCCAACGAACCACACAGCAAAGGACTGTCTGTCGAACATCTCGCCTCGTCTTCCCTACCATCATCGCGACTGACATCACCGAACCAGACCAAGATGCTTTACCAGCCCATTGCGAGTGAGTAGCCCCACGCTCGCTCGCCCTGCATAGATGGACGACGACGAAGACGACTAGGATGATGCTGATCGTCCGTCCCACTCCTCCCACTCCTCATCCTCGTCGCCTGACGCACAGAATCGCAGCTCGAGTGGTATGCCTCGCTCAACCCTCTGGAGCATGGCATCAGCCCGAGCAACAAGTACTTTCGTAAGACGTGAGTGCGAGCCGCCAAGCCCCAGCCTCAGCCCCAAGTCACAGCGGTGCATGGGGCCTGATCCAGATTGATGCTGAGCTTTCCCTTCTTGTTCCTCGCCCCCGCGCCGCTCTCGCGCAGCTCCATCATCGCTACCATCGGCCCCAAGACGATGGGCGTCGAGATGCTCGGCAACCTGCGCAAGGCAGGCATGAACATTGGTGGGTGCGCGGTGCGGTCGCCATCCCTACTCCCTCTTTCCCCCTACTGACCATCCTCACCCCGCTCTTCCCCTCGCCCCCTCCCCGCCAGTCCGCCTCAACGCCTCGCACGGCTCTCACGAGTACTTCAAGACGGTCGTAGACAATGCCCGCGCCGCTGTAGCCTCCAACGCCGAGGGTCGCCCCCTTGCCATTGCCCTCGACACCAAGGGTCCCGAAATGCGAACGGGTATGATGGTCAATGGCGAGGACGTCAAAGTGTCGATGGGTCACGAGTTTTACGTCACCACCGACGACAAGTACGCTGAGGCTTGCTCGCCCGAGTACCTTTACATCGATTACAAGAACCTCGCAAAGAAGGTCGAGAAGGTGAGTCGCCCTAGCAGGCCAGAGTAGCTGCTACATTCTCGAGTAGCGCTGACAATGTCTCCGCCTCTTCGGCTTGGCGCGCACCCACAGGGCCGCACCATCTACATCGACGACGGCATCTTGGCGCTCGAGGTCCTCTCCATCGACTCCCCCACCCTGGTCCGCGTCCGCGCCCAGAACAACGGCACTCTCTCCAACAAGAAGGGTGTCAACCTCCCCCTCACCGATGTGGACCTCCCAGCCATCTCGGAGAAGGATCGCCAAGACATTCTCTTTGCGGTTGAGAATGACCTCGACATGATCTTCGCCTCCTTCATCCGCTCCGGTTCCGACGTCCGCACGATTCGCGAGATCCTCGGAGAGAAGGGTGCCCACATCAAGATTATCAGCAAGATCGAGAACCATCAGGGGGTGATGAACTTCGATGATATCCTGAGAGAGTCGGACGGTATCATGGTTGCGCGCGGTGATCTCGGGATCGAGATTCCGGCCCCTCAGGTCTTCATGGCACAGAAGATGATGATCGCAAAGTGCAACATTGCTGGCAAACCTTCCATCTGTGCTACGCAGATGTTGGAGAGCATGATTGTCAACAACCGACCTACGCGAGCAGAGGTGAGCGATGTAGCCAACGCGGTCCTCGATGGAGCAGACTGTGTCATGCTGTCAGGGGAGACGGCGAAGGGAGCCTATCCTCTCGAGGCAGTACGAATGATGGCCGAGACGGCTTTCCTGGCCGAACAGTCCATCTCGTACGTTCCCCTCTTCAACGAGATGCGAGCCCTCACTCAAGTCCCCACAGAGACCAGCGAGACGGTAGCCATGGCCGCCGTCTCTGCCTCTCTCGAGCAGCAAGCCGGGTGCATCCTCCTCATGAGCACTTCGGGCAACACGGCTCGCCTCGTCTCCAAGTACAGGCCTCGTTGCCCCATCCTCGTAATCAGCCGCGACGAGCAGACCTGTCGTTCCGTCCACCTGTATCGTGGTGCCTACCCCTTCTTCTACCCTTACCCCCGACCTCAAGACACCTCTGGCGCGGCATGGGGTGGGGATGTGGACAATCGTATCAAGTATGGGCTCAGCTCTGCACTTCGTCTCGGCATCGTGGAGAAGGGCAGCGTGTGCATCGTGGCACAGGGATGGCGTGGTGGGTCTGGACACACCAACTCCCTCAGGGTGCTGACCGTACCTGATGCGGCGCGCGATTTCCAGTTGGAGGGGACGAGCGCTGCCGGTGTTGGTGCAGGTGCGGCTAGGCCTACGACGGTTAGGAACCCTAGCACTATCAGCCAGGCTGGTGGACAGTAAGTGAGGCGGCGAGCGCACGCACTTAAAAGTCAAGCAAAAGGCAGCAGCCAAGGAGGCGGGCGCTGTTGAGGAGCGAACAGCGAGGAGCAATGGGGCGAAGCTAGCTACGCATCGTCGCTTTGTCTCTGTCTTGGTCTCGATACAAAGTGGGTTCTTTCTCACTCCCTTTTCCGTAGTCCAGTGCAGTCCAGTCCAGTCCAGGTTCCCCAATCAATTCATAGAGGTTTCGGTTTTTGCGACTTTCGGAGCATGAGAGGGAAGGAGGGAGGGAGGGAGGGAGTGAGGGGAGCGGGAGCGAGTGTTGGACTCGCTTCGCTCCTCTGGTCGCGCGAGGACGGGAAGTCAATCAGGGACGGGCACGGGAGTGAGTCGAGCCAGACCAGTCGAGCCTCTCGCCTCTTGCGTCTTGCGTCTTGCGTCTGTGCGTGCGTGATTGTCTTCCGTCCGCGCCTTTTCTCTCCTTCCTACCTTCTCGCTCGCCCTCCTCCTCAATCCCCTTCACAACGGATGAGCTTAACAAGGCTCCCATCCGTTGCTCGGCGACACCTACAACTGCAGCAGCAGCAGCTGCAACTACGGCGGCAGGGTCTATCTCCTCTTTCCCCTCCTCTCTGGTGCGCAAATCGCTCCTTCGCATCTTCATCTTCATCAACACTAGCATCAGCATCAGCATCAGCATCAGCATCAGCATCAGCACCGGCATCAGCACCGGCATCAGCATCAGCAACGAGTGGACTAGGACGAGGGAGGGAAGCACAGTGTCGAGAGGGAGATGGTGGGCGTGCAAATGAGGAGAACGAGCATGAAAGGGAGCAACGGCAAAACCTCGCAGACGATATTCGAGCTTTAATGCGTCGTAGTGCCCAACCCGTAGCGATAATCAGTGCTTTTCTACCCACAATTGCTCCTTGCTCCTCTCCCTCTTCATCCTCATCCCAACCCTCCACGCGTCCCCTCGTCCACTCGGCCACCCTCTCCTCGCTCACATCCATCTCGCTCCACCCAATCCCGCGGGTGGCTTTCAGCCTCCAGATGCCCAGTCGGATGGGCGATGCGCTCCTCCTTGGCTTCGGTAGGCGGAGAGGGGAGGCGAGTGGCCAAGAAGAGGGGCAAGGGGAAGAGGAAGAGGAGCACGCACAACCGCAAGCGCAACCGCAACCGCACTTTGTGGTGAACCTCCTCTCCTCCCATCAGGAGAGAGTAGCGGGGGATTTTGCCAAGCAAGGGGTCAAAGGGTGGGAGAGAGAGAGGGAGCGTTCCATCAAAATCACCGACTCTGCCTCAGCTGTCCCTTCTAGTGCTGTTCTAGAAGAGGAGGGGCAGAGCGAGGTAGAAGGGCTTCACCCCTTGTCGAGGGAGAAGTTGACACACTCGCGCTACGCCTTTCACGAGGAGACGGGGGAACCTCTCCCCCTCCTACAGGGTGGGTTGGGGGCTCTAGCTTGTAGTTTGGAGGGATGCGTTGATTTGGGTGGGGAGGGGCTTGAGTTGGATACGGGGGGAGAGGTGGCACATCAAGGGGGAGGGCGAGAGAGAGGAGCGTCAAAGGGTAGTCGACTCTTTATCGCTCGAGTGCACGCCGTTGAGTCCGTTGGGAGAGGGAGCGAGGGGGAGGTGAAGGGAGCAGAAGAGAGAACGGGCAGACCATTGGTCTACTGGAGGCAGAGGTTTACGACGATCCGGGATTGATTGGGTTCATAAGATGTCTACCCGCCACGCTGCCACCCCTCATCAGCAGTACGATAGCGCTACACCACTTCGGCCAGCGTACCCAGCAAGACTTCACCCCACAATCCGGCCTCGACGTCCTCCCTGCTCTTCGCGCCCTTGGAGCGCATCCCGACCAAGCCCTCACTTACTCTCCTCCAAGGTACCTCCCCCGCCCACCAGCTCGCCGCCCCTCGCGCATGGGTAGGGACGCGAAGGGAGTAGGGCACCTCATTGGCCAAGAACCTATCCCCTGCTGCAGGCGAGAGAAGGAGCGTTTCCAACGCAGCGGCCATGTGGGCCATCCCTTCTTGCCCCTGCTCCACCGCATCGCCATCGCCGTGCCCGGGGCTCATCCACGCCACTTTTCCTCCGCCTGCGACATTCTTCAAGTGCTGCAGAGCCTCAAGGTTGCGACGTCTCCACCAGTTGAGCTTCTCCATCTGGCCCACAGCAGCCGCTCCTACCTTGTCCCCTGCTGGGTCGGTGAGGGAGGCAAGATCGGCGGTATAGGAAGACCAAATCGTTAGGTCGGGGGAACGACGTCGTCGTGGGTGGGGGAGGGAGGGAAGGGAGGAGTGGGAAGGGGAGGACCAAGAGGTCAAGAGAGGGAGGAGAAGACTACTCAGCCTCGACTCGACGGAATGGCTGCCGAGGGGTGCGAGGCCTGTGTGGGGGAGGTGGTGGATTAAGAGGCTGTGCGAGAGGAGTGGGGGGGAGGGGGTTGCAATGTATGCATGTGCATCATGTCAGTTCAAGTACATCAATGATAGCCAGAAACCCCTCGGCGTGCAGGGAGGCTTGCACTCACTCGACCCTCTCCACATAACAATAGCTACCCATGCCCAACTTGGCCACCTCCCCCTCGACACGCTCTAGTGCCTGACCCCAGGGATGCGCCACGTCGACCTTTGCACTTCTCCCGCCTAGAGTACCGCACAACCTCTCCAGACGGGAATGGGTGGGCTCTTCATCCCCCACTACCAGTAGGGTGCGATTGGCCAGCCAAGGTAGGGAGGCAGAGGAGGAGGAGGAAGAAGATAGGGAAGAGACGATGGAGCTCTCAGGGCAAAGGGAGTCGAATGTCGACCATTTCGGCTGAGCAGAAGCAGAAGCAGAACCACCACCAAGATCGATCCACCCGGGCAGTCGTAATGGCCTACATCCTTTCGTTCCTGTGACTCCTGTTCGCCCCGCCGCAGCACTCTTGAGCCCACCGGCCACGTAACCCTCCAAGCCGCGGGCCGCGCTGGCTACGTCGTCGGGGGATCGAAGGGTGAAGAGGAGGGAGAGGGAGAGGAAGAGGGTGCAGAAGAGGGTGAGGAAGTTGCCTGCACGCAGCACGAGGGGGGCGGCTGCTACGTAGAGGACGCCTGAGGTGGATTTGGGGCGCGGTCTTGTTAGGGGACGTTGGTTGGAGGGCATGGCTGGTGTGGGAGTGGTAAGTAAGGGAAGGCAAGGAAAGTGAGCGCAAGGCACGCATACGCGCACGCACCCACGTTGGGCGAGGCGAGCGGAGAGGCGATTATGTAAGCACATCGCAACTGGCTGCGACACTCATTTCAGTCTTCCCACTCCGCCCCGCCTTCCGCGCTTCCGCCCTCGCTCGCCCTCTCGCGTTGCTCTTTTGTTTTCTCGTTCCTTAATACACGCCCGCCCGCCCACTCGCGAGCCCATGACTGTCCCGCCGCCCATGATGAGGACAGCCCTCCTCTCTGTTAGAAGGCCAGGCCTCGCCGCTCTCCTCTCACACAGGGCAACAGCAGCGGCAGCAGCGGCGGCATTGCCTCACATTCGCACCCTTCGTTCCCTGGCGGACCTAGCTGGTGACCTGCAGGGCCAGTCGAGCAAGTCCCACAACCCCACCTCCAGCCCCAGCACCAGCCCCAGCCCTACCGCCTCCACAGCAAAGCCCATGTCAGACGTCAAACATTCCCCCCTACCCAGCACCACCGCCACAGGCAAAGCTTCGTCCTCCCCGCACCAATCCCTCATCCTAACCCTCTCCTGCCCAGACCGAAGCGGGATAGTCCACTCAGTCACGGGCTGGCTCGCCTCCCGTTCCTTCGATATCCGTGACTCGGCCCAGTATGGTGATCCGGACACGGGTCGTTTCTTCATGCGCGTGCACGCCAATGGGCCCAAGGGTAGGGTAGTGGATCTGAACGGGTTGAGGGGAGAGTTTGAACGCGATGTAGGTGGAAAGATGGGGATGGAATTTGAGATTCATGATGAGGGGAGAAAGGGAAAGGTGATGCTGATGGTTAGCAAGATTGGGCGTGAGTGCGCGATAAGAGGGCGGGGCGAGCCGACTCCTTCTCCCAGGACGCTCCTTGCTGACACACTCTCTCTCTCCGTCCTCACCTCGCACATACAGACTGCATCCACGACCTCCTCTATCGCCACTCAGTAGGCACCCTCCCCGTCTCTATCCCCTGCATTGTCTCAAACCACACCACCTTTGCCACCCTAGCAGCGCAGCATGGCATTCCCTTCCACCACCTTCCCATCGATGGGCAACACACCAAGGAATGGCAAGAGGAGCAGATCCTCCAACTAATCGAGGAACACGACATCGACCTCGTCGTCCTAGCTCGATATATGCAGATCTTGAGCCCCAAGTTGTGCGAGGTAATGAGGGGTAAGATGATCAATATTCATCACTCCTTCCTTCCGTCGTTCAAGGGGGCAAAGCCTTACCATCAGGCACATCAGCGAGGGGTCAAGCTGATTGGAGCTACGGCGCACCTGGTCACGTCGGATCTGGACGAGGGCAATATCATTCAGCAGGGTGAGCAGACGTGCACCGCCTCCCCTTTTTAGCTCCTCTTGGATAGCTGGTGCTGACATCCACCCCTCCCCCTCCCCCGCACGCGCACGCACAGACGTCGAGCGTGTCTCTCACTCTGACTCGCCTTCTGACCTAGTAAAGAAGGGGTCCGAAATCGAGACGCGCGTGCTTGCTCGAGCAGTTACGTGGTTCGCGGAGCATCGCGTCCTCGTCAATGGCAACAAGACGGTCGTGTTCGACTAGACTAGGCGGGAGGAGGAGGAGGAGGAGGAGGACGACAGGTTCAAGGCGGATGGGGGGGGGCCAAATATGCTACGCATCAGGACTGCCTTGCCTCGCTTTATACTTGACTAATCATTGATAGACATTCATACTTCTTTTTTCTTCGCCTTCGCACAACCTCACCCGCTCAAGGCAGACGATGAGGAGCCGAGCACCTCCCTCGCCACCTCACACGCCCACAGAGCGCGCTCAACTAACTCCCCCTCCCCACCGACAATCCCCCTCACCCTCTCCTCGCTCATCTCCGCCACAACGAAAAAGTGCAACCCCCGCCTGAGCTCATCGTTACCCCCAACACCCCTGCGCAGTACGTCCTCTATCGCGGTGCGATCCGCGACCTTGCTGCCCTTGAGCGTGGCTGGATTGCGAGTCTGTGTAGCCAGCAAGGTGTGCACGAGCACCAGGCGCAAGAAGTCCCTTCCCCTCCCCTGCGGGCGAAGAGAGGTAAAGGGAACCGTACGCAGTACATTGAGGCTCAACGACCCGCGGGAGAGCCACCATCCGTACGCCCTTGCGAGGTGATGCAGCTTGGTGCGAGCCACCACCCCTCCTCCTTCCCCTCGTCCCTCCCCCTCCCCCTCGTCATCAGGATTATCGAAGTCCCCCTCGTCCTCATCCTCCTCGTCACCAACAACGGATCTTCCACCAACCCGCTTCTCTCCCAACTCCCCGCGTAGATAGTCCCAAAGACAGAACTGCATAGTCACCCTCGTCCCTGCATCCAGTTCGGCCAACCTGGCCCCCACAAGCGCGTAATAGGGATTATACTCGCGCTCCCGACCCAAGCAGTGCAGGAGGACGCGTACCGTTTCGCGGCGTAGGGCCGACGAGGAGGAGGAGGAGCCTTTGGAGGAGGAGCCCGTGGAGGTGGACGAGGGGAGCCGCAAAGAGAGGAGACGCTCCGCCGTTTCCTGCGGGGAGAGGGATGAAGGGTCCATCAAGGTGGTAAAAACCAGTCGGCGTGAAGGCGTGTTCATGCCGTGTCGTCGGGCGAGAGCCAGTAGCGTTGCTTGAGCGTCGTCGTCGTCATCGTCGCCATTCTGGCCAGCCGCGTTACCCTGGACCGCCGACGTGAGGGATCGCTTCGTCGTGACTGATTCCACCCCTAAAGCTTGTCCAATCCCGACCGCGCCAGACCCGGCATCCGCACCCGCGCCTTGAAACTGGTCCTCATCCTTCCAAGCCGCCCCTACCAGCCACCATTTCCCGCGCGTTTCCGCCTCCTGCAAGTCCTTCAACCCCACCCTCAACGGTTCACCATAGCTCCTCAAAGTACGCTTCTTATCCATCGCGCCCAGATACTTCTTCATATTGCTTAACAGATGCGCAGTTGGCGACTCGTTCTGCTGCTGATGTTGCTGCTGGCGCTGACGCTTCGAGGAGCTGGAAGAGGATTTAGAGGAGATATCGCTGAGGGTTTCGAGCATGAAGCGTGTGCGCGATGATGAGGAGCTGGCGGAGGAGGTGGTGGTGGAACGTCGTTGTGCCAATGCGACAATTTCGCGCAACGAAGCCGAATCGTCCATCCTGAGCTGGGGGCCGCAGGTCTTGACCATTTTGAGTAGACATTCTACATCCACCTCGCTCAGCGGACGCTCCCCTTCCCGCTCCCGCCCCGTCTTGATTTCTACTGAGTCTCCGCTGCGGGTGCTGGCATCGACGTCGCCGCCCGCGCCGAGGAAGAGGCGGACGAGGTCGTATATGAGCGGGCAGGCTATCACCTGCAGGTTGTACAGGTGGGCAGCGAGGGAGACGAGATTGGTCAACTCGCGACTGCGCTCCTGCTCTTGCTCTTGCTCGTCTTCCTCCCCTTCTGCGCTCGTAGCCGCGGTTATGGTGGACTTGCGAGCTTCCTCGTAGTGTCGCCTGAGATCGCTTACCATCTCCTGCACGAATCCGGCAACAAACTCCACCCCTACGACTCGGTAGAGGGCCCCAACAAGCGCTGCGTGGACGACGACAAAGGTGTCCGTCAACAGGACATTGCTCGTGCGGCTGGCAATGGTCTCGATGATGATGCGTGCGAGGGCGTGGGACACCTCTGCCCTTCGACCGTGTTCGCGATAGATGGCCTCGAGAGAAGAGACGATCGAATCCACATTGGCGTCGCCTAGTCGGTTCAGGAGGCCTTGTAGCTGGCGGTGGAGTTTTTGGTGAGAGGGATCCGAACTGGTGGCGGAGGGGGAGGAAGAGGAGGCCGCCACCGCTGCTGCGCGGGCTGCAGGGGGAAGGTAGCGTCCTGAGCCCGGTGCGGTGCTGGTGGGAAGGGCTGCACCGTAGGGATTGATCTTGGGCGCGTGTGGGGCCGAGTCGTCGTCGCTTTCCAAGTCGCTGCCCGCTTCTTCTTCGCTGGCGAGCGAGCTGGCAGAACCTACCACACTCTCTGATCCCTGCGAGTCGTCGTCGTCGTCGTCGTCGTCCTCTTCCTCCTCGCTGCCACTATCATCCTCACCCTCCTCATCCTCCTCACCGTCATCATCGTCACTCCCCTCCCCCTCCCCATCTTCATACATCCCCGGATAAAACCTATCCAAATCCTCCAAGAGCTCATCATACCCATCCTCCTCCTGCACCGCTTCATCCGCATCATTGCCATTGCCCTTTCCCTTACCCTTGCCCCTCTTCTTCTCCCCATCCATCCTCAACATAGCCTCCAACCACTGAATCTCATCATCCTCATCCTTCTCCGCTTGGGTCCTCGTAGTGGAGCTCACCGCTCGTTGTCTCCTCTTCGTCTGACCCTTCTTCTTATTTGTGCCATTCGGATGATCGAAACAGGAAGAAGACGAGCCTTGCGCGTCGAGGAGACGTTGAAGTGCTGACGGGCCCTTAGAGTCGGCGGCGTCATGGCTGGCACTTCTTTTCGCCTTCTTCCTTTGGGGGGGAGGAGGGACGTTGCTGAACATTTCCTCCTCGTCCTCGTCGTCAGTCGATTGGTCGAGTTTATACTGTCGTGCAGTCATGTACTCCTCCTCTTCGCCATCAGGTTGTCGTCGTTTCCCCTTGTCGAGGGGTGCTATTCCCCTACTGTGCGTCCCGTCGTTGTCACTCCTATTCATCCTCCCTGCTTGCTGACGCGACTGCTGCTGCTGCTGCTGCTGCTGCTGCTGTGGATGTCGAGCATGATTTCTCCCACCTTTAGCTTGCTTCTTTACCTCCCTCTGCCTTTTGCGTTCCTCTTTACGACCTAGCACTCCACCCCCGCCACGTCCACCTCGTCCAAGTCCACCACGACCACCTCGCCCGCCTCGCCCACCTCGAGAGCCACTCTCCCCAAAAGTTTTCGGCTTGGGCTTGGCGATTCCCAACTCATCCTGTAGAGCGACAGGCAGCTTCGTCGTGGATTTGCCAAAAGGAGGGGGCATGACTGGCTGGCTCTGTTGCGGATGAGGGTAAGGAAGGGAAGCAAGGGAGCCAGAGACGCAACGCACCGCACCCAGGGCGGAAGGGAGAGAGAGGCCGGTGCGTGCGTGCGTGCCTGAACGGACGGATGGGCGGGAGTGGAAACAAATTTCGACGCACGCCGGAGAGAGAGGAAAGTGGCGGGCGGATGGGCGGGCGGAGACGACGACCTTGACGCAGCCCTGATTGCAATTTCGCTTTTCTACTTCTTGACATTGATCACCACCACCACCACCACCACCTCACCAACACGCCTGACTTGCCCAGTATGGCAAGGGGAAAGAGCAGCGGTAGCGGCGGTAGCGGTAGCGGCGGCGGCGGCGACAATCATTCGCCTCGCAACGCTCAAATGGAAAGCATCCGCTCGCACACGCGCCTGCCCACCTCTCTTCAACAATCAGCTCCACTGCAAGGCGTTCGCCCACCCAAATCCCTCTCCCTCTCCTCCATCCCAGACAAGAAGCTTCGATCCAACCTAAGTCGCGACGCCCTTTCCACTCTACGCGCACGTTCCCATGCGACTCAAGCGGACACGTACCTCTACCAAGGTCCCGTAGGCGAAGAGGCCGGGCAGCTAGAAGCGGAGGGGGAGATGGAGCGAACTGCCCGTCTTACCCAGGGGGAAATCAAAGATGCCGTTGGTCTCGAAGCGGCTAGTAAGTCCTTCTCCCTCGACCTTTCAGGCGGGAGAGGCGGGGTGGGATTGGGACCTTATCGCTCTGCCTACTCTCCGAATGGACGTCAACTCCTCCTCGCGGGAAGGGCGGGGCATTTAGCTTCGTTCGATTGGCAGGCGGGGAAGCTCAATTGTGAGATTCAGGTCAAGGAGACGGTCCGGGACGCTACTTGGTTGCACAACTCCTCTTTCTTCGCTGCGGCGCAGAAGAAGCATGTGTTCATCTACGATTCAGCAGGGGCGGAGGTACATCGTCTTAAGGAGCATGTGGATGTCCATCGATTGGAGTTCCTACGTTACCACTTTTTGCTGTGTAGCGTTGGAGGTGGGGGATGGTTGAAGTATCACGATACGAGCACGGGACAGATGGTGGCGCAACATCGTACCAAGTTGGGGGCGTGCGATACCCTAGCGCAGAACCCGCTCACTGCGGTGCTTCACCTCGGACATGGGAATGGGACTGTCACTCTTTGGACGCCCAACTTGCCGCAGCCTGCGTTGAGCTTGTTGGCCCATCGCGGGCCTGTGAGCGGGGTGAGCGTCTCCCCGCGCGATGGGGGCAGGGAGATGGCTACGAGCGGCATGGAGGGTGGGATCAAGGTGTGGGACTGCAGACTGCTGGGACGCGGCCCAGTGAGGGAATGGGTGTCTCGCAAGCCGGCAAACGAGGTTCAATACTCCCAACGTGGTCTACTCGCTACAGCTTGGGGAACACACGTAAGCATATACGACACAAAGGCCCCCCTCTCCTCACGCGCTCCACCTGGACCCTACATGACGAACAATTTCCCTCAATCTTCCCCCGTCAGCCTGGCCTTCTGTCCATTCGAGGACGTCCTTGGCGTAGGGCATTCCCGCGGATTTGACTCCCTGCTTGTCCCAGGGGCGGGTGAGCCTCGATTCGATTCGATGGAGCTTGATCCCTTTGAGGGCAGGACGGCGAGGAGGGAGCGCGAGGTGCGCGGCTTGCTGGACAAGATTCGGCCGGATATGATAAGTGTGGACCCTTCGTTCTTGGGGCAGGTGAGGGAGGATGCAACGAAGGGGGGAGCACCGCGAGAGGAGGCTGGACCCTCGGGACTGGCGAGGGCGCAGGATGGTACCCCCTATGCTAGGTTGGGCAGGCTGGAGCGCCTCCGTCTAGAGGGCAAGGCAGCCAATGACGGCAGTGATAGCGATGAGGAGGACAATCACGACGAGGACTCGAACGCCGCCAACGTCGCCATCCCCTCATCTGGCCCGCCTCCCCCGCAAAAGGAGCGCAAGAAGGCCCGCGGGAAGAACACATCTATGAAGCGCTACCTTCGCAAGAAGCGAGGAAATGTCGTCGATCAGGCGAGCATGCAGGTACAGGCTAAACTGCAAAGAGCGCGCGAGGAGCACGAGGAGCGCAGGGAGAGGAAGGAGAGGATGGCGCGCGGTGAGGGGGAGGAGCAGCGCGAGCCGAGTGCGTTGGATGTTTTTGCAGTGCAGAAGAAGGGGAGGAGAAGGAGGTGAGGTGTGGAAGTGGGCCAGACTGTGGCGACGTTGATCGATTGTGAGCGCATGCGTGTACAATAGCATTCTAATCAGATTGGCCTGGCGTCGAGCCTTGCCTCGCCTTCTTGGCTCGTCTCTCTCGGCGTATCGTGCGTCGCGTGGCATCCGCTGCTCCCGGTCCCCGGGTGAAAGGCCGGTGCGGGGCGGCGGCGGTGGAGTGAGTCGGACGAGTGGCTCGCTTTGGCCTTTGGCTCGGCTGGAATTGAACTTGGCGCCTCGCCCGACCCTTCCTTCTTTCCTTTCTTCCACTGATACCATCTCTCCCAGCATCATATCATGGCACTCCTCCGTCCCCCGACTAGGGCTCTACGCTCCCTCACCCGATCAGGCGTCCCCCTCTCCACGACGATCCCGCCCGCTCGTCTCCCCACAATTGCTCGATCTCGCAGCATCTCCATTCGCTCCTCATTGCGACAAGCCTCTCCAGCTCCCGCTTCTGAGCAACATGCTCACGCACACGCTCAGCCTCCCCCTCCTACCTCATCCTCATCCTCCCACGCCTCCACCTCGTCCTCCTCGTCCCTGCCAAGCATCACCTCAACCGACACGCAGGTTCGCATCACCTGGATCAGCGGCATAGAGTCACGCTACCACCACGTCTGGCTCAGGGATCACTGTCGCTGCCCTTCTTGCTACCATCCCAAGACGAAGCAGCGCTTGTTGGACACCTTTGCTATCCCTCCTACCGTGCAGCCGGAGAGGGTAGAGGCCACGACGGAGGGGTTGGAGGTCGTTTGGCCGTTGAGCGCAGAGGGAGGGGAGGGATCGGGGCCGGGTGAAGTGGCAGGGACAGGAGCAGGGACAGGAGCAGGGCAGCACGTCTCTCTTTTTCCGTGGAAATGGCTCCGCACTCATTCCTACGCCCCTGTCCTCTCCCCCAGCACCACACCCTACGAGCGGGAAGACCTAGCGGGAAGTGACAAGACTCTCTGGGGCTCAGGTATAGCTGCTCATCCTCCCACCGTGCAGTACGAAGAGGTCATGTCCTCGGATCGTGGCGTTTGGAAATGGGTCGAAAAGATATCGCAATACGGCTTCTCCTTTGTTGACGGGGTCCCCGCAACACCGGAAGCAACCGAAGAACTCATAAAACGAATCGCCTTCATCCGTGAAACGCACTATGGTGGTTTTTGGGATTTCACCTCCGACCTCTCCCACGGAGATACGGCATACACCGATCTAGCCTTGGGAGCGCATACGGATACGACGTATTTCACCGATCCGGCTGGACTGCAGATGTTCCACCTCCTCAGCCACGAGCCCTCTAGTCAAGGTGTCCAACCAAGTGGCGGAGCCTCACTCCTCGTCGACGGGTTCCTGGCTGCAAAAGTGCTGAGAGACGTCCACCCGCAGGCGTACGAGACGCTCAGTGCTGTGAGGATCAGCACGCATTCTGCGGGGGATGAGGCTACACTTGTTCGTCCCCTCTTGACGGCTGGGTACCCCATTTTGAACCATGATCCCAGAACGGGGAAGCTCGTCCTTGTCCGGTATAATAATGACGATCGTTCCACGCTGCATCTGGAGGAAGGGGAAGTAGAGCCATTCTACGATGCGCTGCGGAAGTGGCAGGAGATCATTACCAGTAAAGAGGGGGAGTACTGGGAACAACTCACGCCGGGACGGGCGTTGATTTTCGATAACCATAGGGTGTTGCATGGCAGGTCAGCCTTTGTTGGGGAGAGGCGATTGTGTGGGGCTTATGTGAATCACGATGATTATAGGAGTAGGTTGGCGGTGTTGAGGCAGAAGTATGGGAAGGGTGGGGTGCGAGGTGGAGACGGAGGAGGAGCAGGAGAGGGGAGAGGGGTGTGGGATGATGCCTTGTAGCGTCGTAATGCGAAGGCGCACGTACTACACGCTCGCGGATCGAGTGAGTGAGCGAGCGATGCGAGACTGAGCGCGATACGGTTGAGAGCGTGCGAGGACGGACGAGCTGCTGGTCAACGCAGGGAGGGAAAGTGATTCGATATTTCGCAAAAAGGGTTGGGGTCGTGAATCGGTGTAAGGGAAGAATATTTGACAAAGAGAGGATACGGTGCGCTTGATTCGCAAGATAAGCAGCCAATACGCGCATCTCGGCGACGAGCAGCTAAGCCGCCTCGGCGAAGGCAGTCAAGGTGCGCTGCGGCAGTGTCAAGGAGTCCAAGATCAGCATCAGCGCTACGCTCTTCCACCTCGCGAATCGCGCTCGCGCCCACTCACGGCGACCGAGTCCCACTGGAAGCTCCACCCTTTCCCCTCCTCGAGGCCTCGCCTCTCAGAGGACGGGCAGGTACAGAGGGTGGTGTAAGGCGTCAATTTGGTGCACGTCGGATGGGCGCACTTGTTTGGTTTGGGCGGCGTCTTGCCCGGGTCCTTCCAGCCTGAAGGAGGGTCTTGCTTCGGATCGTGCTTGGGGTCGTCGGGGTCGCCCCCCTCGCGCTCCATCGCGGCCGAGTCCGACTGGATGAGCCACCTATCATCCTCAAGACCTCGCCTGCCGGGAGCGTCGAGGCACACGCAGAACAAGCCCCAGTCCTTGGGCGTGCAGTGCTGATTCACACACGCCTTCTCCTTGGGGTCGGGCTTGGGCGTAGGCGTGGGAGTGGGCATGGGCGTGGGCTTGTTAGGGTCATACGTGGGAGGAGGGTCGTGCATGGGAAAGAAGTCTTGAGTGAGGTCGGGCTCGCCTCCTTCGTCGCGCTCCGCCCGGTCGGAACGCTCCACGGCTTCGAAGGTGCGCTGCGGCCGTCGCGAAGAGGGAGGCAAGTCAGTCAGCATGTTGATGTCGCTGCTGCCTACGCGCACTCGCTCACCTTGACCGGTTCCTCCTCTCCTACGGGAGCTTTGGCCTCACGACGCTCGGGAGGACACTCGCAGTAGAGTCTGCCGCCCCTGTAGGCGCACTCAGGGTTGGGACAAGAGGCCTCCCTCGCAGTGAGGTCCTCGTGCGCGACTTGGAAGGCACGCTGCGGCAGCAAGTGAACGCAGACATCGTCAGCAATCGCACCGCATCGATCTCCCTTGCGCTGCGCCAACTCACAGCCAGCTCGCCCGGTTCGACCATGAGTTCCCCACGCGTCTCAGGGGGGCAGAAACAGCCCGTCCACCCGGTCTTGCTCTTGGTGCACTTCGGGTTGGTACAGAACTTGTAGCGCTCCTCGAGTTGAGCGGGCGACCTGACCTGCTCCAACACGCGACGATCCGTGACGCTTCTCGGGGTGAGATTGGGCTGCCCATCGAGTGCGCGCTGGGCAAACCATCAGCGCTGGTCGGGCCTTTTACGGACCGGTGGGCTTCTCACCTGAGTGCCTTCAGCAGATTCTTCGCAATATCAATGATGACGAGGTTGCAGGCCGTGTTAGTAAGAGTTGTGCACGCCCAGGGAGAGCAGTGCAGTATCCTAGACTTACCAAGTGCTCGCTGCAGCAATGGAATTAGGTGGTTTTAGTGAGCAGTATGGCAGGGCGATCAAGCTACCGTCTCACTCACCCCCACTTTGTCTTCACTGGGAGGCACGGGATCCTCGCAGTGGCAGTACTTGCGTGGCGGCTTGCCGTGGCACACCAGCTTCTTACAGCCCGCGCGCTTGCTCGTGGCGGCAAGGTCACGCTGTGCGCAGGGAGGAGAGCGGGGCATGGTAAGGAATGGCAGTAATGAGCTCGCTCAATGCACTGACCGCAACGCTGCTGTCCTTCTTCAGGCGATCCGAAGCGCGACGCTCGCCAGGATCCACACAATGGCACACCTTCTTCCCAAGGCCAATGTCGTCGCATTTCTCCTTCTTGCAAGCTTTCTTCGGCGGCGTCTCGCCATTCGGCAAGGCCGGCCTCCCAGGCTCTTGAGTGACGTTACGAGGAATGGCGTCGGAAGCTCGCTGCGAGAGAGTGCGAGCAAGAGGAAGAGTTACGTAAGCGTCAAAGGCGGCTACAACTTGACAAAGCAACACTCACAGTAGACCTTCTCTCCACCTCATTCCCGTCCTGGGCGCGGCGGGCGAGAGTGTCGTGGCAGCGGCAAATCCTGAGGTTGTTGCCGTAGTCCTCGCACGACTCGTGCATGCAATGCTTCTTTGGTGCCCCAGGCCTCGACGTGACTGGATCTTTGGAAGGGTCGCGGGCGATGGCGTCGAGGGTTCGGTCCGAGGAGCCAGGGCTGACGCAGCTGCAGGCTTGAAGCCCGTTGCCAATATCAACGCAGTGCTCGTGAAGGCACTTCTTCGGTGGCCCGGATTGTCGCGGCTCCTTGGGGGTCCCGCGAACGATGGCGTCGAGCGGTTGCTGTGACGGTGAAGGGGTCTGAGATCAGCGCAGTCGATCGTCCACAATGCGGCGCAATTGCTGTGCTTACGGTCGTCTGACGCACATTGTCACGGCGAGCGGGTGGGTCGAGGCACCGGCAGCGTCGAGCGGTGCCCGTGCCTTCGCAGCTCAGGTGATTGCAGTCGCCCAAGTCTCCGTCAGAAACGCGCTTCAGAGCGGCTAGCGTGGTCGCTGCGTTGCGGACCATCTGGAGAGGCCACACCTCGCGGGCGATAGCAGTCAGCGCGCGTGGAGCTCTGGGATAGCCGCCGTCACTCACGTTGTCACGGCGAGTGGGGTGGTCTACGCAGTAGCACTGTCGCTCTTCGCCCATGCCGGTACAGTAGATGTGAGTGCACCCTCCGTCAGGAGAGCGCTCGAGTGCGACGGGCGGGGTGATGGCGTCGAGGGACTCGAGGGCCCGCTGCGAACGCGATGGGGGAAAGTCAGCGGCGGAGGCGGCGGATTACTGTATCGTAGTCGCAAGAACTGACCTTGGACGCGCTCGTCTCGTCACGCTGTTTGGGAGGATCCGCACAGTAGCATTTTCGCGATGCGCCCGTACCAGTACAAACTACATTGGTGCAACAATCGGGACCACATGAGCCAGCCTCGCGGCCAAGGAGGCGTAGGCCGGTGAGGTCGACGTCTCGCTGTCAGAGGGGAGAGGCGGTGGTGAGCGACTTTACGTGGCCACACGCCTCTGTTCACTCACCTCGACCTCCTGGATGATCTGCTGGTCGGCTCTAGCAGAGTGGTCACGCTCGAGCATGGCGGGTGAGGCGACGATGGATTTGGGGTGGTCGACGTTGCGCTGTGGTAACGCGGAGCCAGAGAAATGAAGGTCAGCGCGAGTCCAACTGCGAAGCGTGCCTTGCACTCACCATGACGTCTTCCTCCCCGCCTACGCTGTCCAACTCGTCCATCGCTCGCTCGACGTCGATTTCGTCACGCTCATTAGGCGGGTCACGACAATAGCAGCCCGTCCCACCGCCTTTGAGCTTCTGGCACTTGGTTTTGCATTTGGTCTTCTTGTCGAGAGTAAAGCCCTCGACCGCACGCTTGAGGATCTGGACGGCGTACGCATCGGTCGTGTCGTCGCGAGCAGTCGGAGGGTCACGGCAGTAGCAGCCAGTCCCACCGCCTCTCAGCTTTTGGCATTTGGGCTTGCACTTGGTCTTCTTCTCGAGGATGTGCGTCTCGCGAGGGGAGAATGTGGTGCCGATCGCGTGCGTGGAAAGTTCGTCTCTCTCATCGTGGTCTTTGCAGCTGCAGGTGCTCGGCTTGTCAGGAATCTTGCAAACCCAATGCTTGCATGACGTGCGTTCCTCAACGTTGAGCGAGCTCCGAGCGAGATTGCCCGCAGCTCTTTCCTCCGGAGGGTGAGGACCTCCTCGGCAGTAGCACGAGCTGGGCTTCTTGGGATCCGAGCACGTGTATGTGGTGCAGCGCGCTCCGAGCGTGAAGAACTGATCGGCTGTGGGCGGAGCGAGGTCGCGCTCGTCTAAGTCCTCCTTCCTGCAATAGCAGCTTTGGAAGTCGTACGGGTTGGTGCAGACGTACTTGCTGCAGGGCTTGGGCTTCGTCTTGGGCTTGGGCTTGTTCTTGCCCTGCTGGCCGCGAGCAACCTCAGAGGCGTCGAGGTGGTTTCGCGTGGAGCGTTCGAGGTCGAGGTCGCGCCCGCTCAGGCCGCGTTCCTTACAGTAGCAGCTGCTGGGATTCTTTGGGTCGGTACAGACGTAGTTGTTGCAGGGCCTGCTGCTCTCGCCGCGAGGGACATTGAGATTTTGGTCCAGGGCGCGGTCCGTCAAGCCACGGTCGATGCAGCGACAGCTGGACTTGTTATTGGGGTCCGAGCAGGCCCAAGTGCGGCAGACGTGGGTCTGCTCCTTGCCTCCCTTGTGATTCTCGTGTAGCTCGGCTTTGGCGACAAGGTCCGCATTGTCGACGGCAATGAGCCCAGCGTGGAGTCCGCGAGACGTGCCAGGGTCGGCGCAGCGACAGCCTCTCTTTTTGACCGGATCTGCGCAGACGTAGTTCTTGCAGCCTCCAGTCGAGTTTTCGGGAGGCTTGGGCTTCTCTCCTTCCCTGGCCACGAGGTCGGCCCCTTCCTCGCTGTGGAGAGCGCGAGGCGTGGCGTGGTCATTGCAATAGCAGCTGCCGGGCTCTGGGCACACCCAATTGGTGCAACCCGTACCGCCGATGCCGCTAGGGATGCGGGCGATGGCTTCGCTTCCAGGTACGAGGTGACCCTGAGTACCACTGTCGAGTGCACGAGGCGTCGGAGGGCTGCCACAGAAGCAGCCAGTCTTCCTAACAGGGTCTTTGCAGATGTAAAATTGGCAGCGAGCGACGATGTTACTCTTGGCTACAAGTTCGGAGATGTCGATGGCGGGGAGATCGCGAAGCATGCCAGGATCGATGCAGCGGCATCCTTGGCCATTGCCGGGGATGGGACAGGACCAGTGGTGGCAGGCCTCGCGGGCGACGAGGTGCATCTTGGACTTAAGATGGTCGCTGCGCGTTGCAGGCAAGTTGAGCTGCGCGTGTGCGTGTGGGCGAGGGGCGTCAAAGCTGGTAAAAAGGGCAAGGCAGTGGGCGCACTCACATTGGCATTGGCATTGGCGTTGGCAGGAGCGGGGGTGGGAGCGCCGCCCACCTGGCTCACTAGGAGCGAGATGAGGACGAAGGCGATACAAGTAAGGAAGGGGAGTCGGTAGCGCATGGTATTGGTGGGATGTGGTGGGGAGAGGGAAAGCGAGGTTGAGATGGTGGGGAGCGGGTGACCCCCCATCCTTTGGCCTCTCCATCGTAAAGAGTGGGCAAAGGGCTCGTCGATGTCTCGACGTGTGTGGGCAAAGGACGAGCAGGCCACTTTGCTACCGCAAACATCTCCTGCAGCGGCACGGGCGATGCTGTCCGTGGGGATCGATTGATGCTCCGGCCGATGAGTGTGGGCGTCGTGGGCACGATACGGAGCTTCTCGTGTGGGCCAACGTGTGAAGAGAGGCTGGTGGCTTGATCAGGGCAAATGAAGTAGCCGTTGCACCGGGGCTGAATGATAAGGTCTCGCGAGCGAGGTAGTGGAGGCGAAGGATCGAGGGTTACTTGGGTGCGCGCTCGTGATCGTAAGGTGGTCGGCACGGCAATGCACACTCGCGGCCCGCAGTCACGCGAATGTCCGGCCGGCCTTGATCAAGCAGCGCCACGGATGCGTGACTCCGAGATGGTGCTGTGAAGCGCAGTGTTGAGCAGGTTGGGCAAAGGTCAGCGGTGAGGCGCAGTGACCCAGCCTCGTGTTGGAGCATGAGTGGGACTGTGACTTGTGAACTTGGGAAGAAGCGAGCCACTCTTCGTCGTCCGCCCTGAGACAGCAGAGATCTTGATCCGTCGCTCTGATCGAATGGGGGGACTTCTTATCTGACATATTCCTGCTCCTTCCCCTCGCAAACTATCTGCTCTTGTCGGTCAAAGGCAGAATCGAGGAACGCTAACGAAACGGCCAGCGTGAGGCTCTGAGTCGGCAAGCGAGGCATTGCGCAGACGTGGCGACGAGCGAAGAGCAAGTGCGTAGCGGTTGCACGTCAAGCCGCTGAACAGAGGCTAGGAGCCGTTTGTCTCGCTCGTCGGTCAGAAGGTAAGTCCGTGCGAATAGGCAGCGCGAAACAAAGGGTGAGCTTTGTCATACCTTTGTTAAGCTGCACGAGTTGCAGCATTGTTTCGGCGCTGAGTATGTGGGCTGAAGCTGGCCAACTCTTAGTGATGTGATGCTGGCTGGCCTTCAATAAGGACTGGACATCGATGGAAGTCCAAGCATTGGCGAATTGGAGCTGCTTCTGGCGCACCTGGCTAGGAAGTCATGGTAGTTACGAATCGAAGTCCAACATCGAAGCAGGGCAGCAGCCTCCTCCCGCCCCCACCACCCACACGCATCGGAAGCAACCACGTGGTGCGTCATCTCGTGGCCCGTGCGCTAATCACGAACAAAGTGTTCAACCCTCCCGCCGCCTCTGCCCGAATCCTTGCCGCCATTCTTTCCTTCTTCGCTCGTTCCTGACGGTCTAGACTCTCGCCCAACCCCGGCACAAAGGGTCCGTCGGCCCGCTGCGCACCTTTTGCTCCTCACCACACCATCCAATCACACACGCCCCTCCTACCAGCCCAGCTCGACGATCATGTCTTTGGCTCGTAGGAGGGTGGTCAGCGATCAAGGCGCTGCGTGAGTGCGGGGGATCGCGGTGCGCGCCCTTGAGGATCGAGATGCTGGGTGGTTCGACTCCCTTCTGGGCTCGGACTGCTGGGCAATCGGCGATGGAGGTTGGGCGGCTGCGTGGCGACACTGGCCTTCCTCGAGCGTACGCAACAAAGCCCTCGAGCTTCGACTTCCTCTTCTACGGCATCAACGGTGCGCACCCCTCGGACAGCTTAAGGAGGCAAACCAAGTCTGCATACGGCGCCAATGGGCAAGATCACTCGGAGGTCATGGTTCTGCAGCGCTTCGCCTTCGCCACGCTCGAGCTCTTGCCGCGCTTCGCAATCAACATCGTCGAGTGAGTATCTCTTCCCCGCCCATCTAGCCGTACAGACGCTCATTGATCGTCTACCCGCTCGTTGCTCGTAGAACGCTCCTTACTGGTAGAAGTTGAGCCTCACGTCGCCGTGTTGATCAAGACGCGCTTCGAGGTCAGGAGCAGCAAGATGGATGCTACTTCTTCCCTCTGCAGACGGGTGAGTGCGGCATGTCGTTGAGCTTGGCGAGCGCAGAGCTGACCCACATCAGCTCCTCGACTACGTAGCAGGTCAAGGCTGAGGCGCTCAAGGCTCCCCCGGATGGTCGAGCTCCGTGGCACTCGGCATTGACTACGGTGAGCACCAACGCTTCGCCACGAGCACACCGCCTCCAGCACGTAGGCTGACCTCTCCCACCTTCCCTCTCGCAGCTCATCACCGTCGCACCACGGCATCGCCGCTTGCTAGCTTCCATAGCTCGCGCGCAGCCCATCGGCATGCCACCAGCCAATGAGGGTACGCTCAACGCCAGGGCCAAGCACGACACCGAGGAGAACAGCTCGTCCATGCTGGTCGTGAGTGGCGCACACGCACGTCAGGCTCCGCGCACGCTGCATTCTCATCCTGACTTGCACACTTTCTCGCCTCCCAGGCCTCGCTCTCGATGTCAAGGTCAAGGTCAAGGTCAAGATCACGGTCAAGGTCACCGTCACCATCAAGGTCACCGTCACCGTCACCGTCAACGTCAAGGCCACGTCACCTGCTTTGTCGCAGTGCACGCACCATGGTCATACGCAGCACGCAGCACGCAGCACACAGCACCACGCCAGCTACAGTGCTCAGCTCACGGCGGCACGCACGCTCCATAGTGCGCTCGTCACCACCTCCACGCCATCTCACCTGGAGGAGGAGGGGAGTCACTGCGCTCGGCACGGAGCAAGTTGTGGCTCAAGTCTGGGGCGAAGGACAGAGGCGCTGCTGTGCTCCTCCTTCTCCCCTCTCTCCCCACGTCGTCTCCTCTGCTCCCCTGCTGCTCCCGCCTACCCCTACACACGTCGAGAGAATTCTCAGAAATGAAGACCACTCAGCAGAAGACGACTCTAGACGGATGGTTCAAGAAGCCTTCCTCCGTCGCGCCCTCGTCCCACACCAAGAGCCCATTGAGCGCTGCTACCGCGCACGCTCCTCAGCCTGCTCACACCGCATCATCTTCTTCATCTTCTGGCGCACCTCCCATCGTCGCCTCTTCTCCTTCTGGCTCTACCTTCTGCACTCCATCTATTGCCTCCACTCAAGCCGCTCAAGCCTCTCCGTCATCGTCCCTCGCCCAGGCGGCATCTTGCTTCTCGGCAGCAGGTCCAACCTCTTCCAAGGCTTCACCTTCTCAAGTTGGCTCCTCCTCCAACAATGCCTTATGCCTTTAGGTCTTCTGCTGCCGCCATTCCGCCCTCTACCGTCGCCACCTCGTCCTCGCCCGCCCCAAAAGAGGACGGCCCTTCAAGCAGCCCGGGGCGGTGGAGAAGCGGCAGAAAGGCAAACACACTGCTGCCGACGCTAGCACCGAGAGCCTGATCAGCGGGTGGGGACTAGTGGAGGAAGGGGAGAGGCCAGCAGCGAAGAAGGTCGTGGACTTGCCTCTCGTCTGGAGCGCAGAGCACGCGCACATGCTGCAGTGGGCGCACCGAGGCAGCGAGCCCTTCCTCAAGCGTCTCGAGAACCTTGGGGTTAGTCATGCAGTCTACAAGGAATACTGCAAACTGCAGTTGGACTTGCAGGTGGCATACGACGCGTGGGCAGTACTGAGGGGGGACTTGGACGAGGAGACACTGAGGGAGAGGTGTCAGCCTTTGGTGAAGCTGGAGCAGCTTCAGAGTGTCGTGGGCAGCATGAAAACCTTCCACTGCCTGCACACCTACCGCCAGTGGACCAAGCTGAACAGGGACAAATGGGCAGAGGACTTCGTCAAGGTCATCGTTCTCAAGGGCAAGGATCAAAACTCTCTCGCACTCCACATCAATCATCTTGAGCAACTCCCCAGTCACGCTACTATCAAGTCCTTCATTCTCGCCATCAAATCGAACGACCTCGCCATCCTCGCACCTCAATCTCACATCGCCTGGCCCCTCTTCACTCTTCGGCCTCCATATCGCACTGTATTCAGCGTCGGCGATGGCACCTCAATCGAGGAGCACGTCAAGGATTCTATCGCAAAGGCCGCGGACCTACGTTCGGCCATCGTGGCAACGGGCGACGTAGCAGCCTCAATCCTCCGCAAGAAGTACCCCTCGCAGCTGCTTACCGCCTTACTGCACGTTCTCCTTAGCGGCGACCGCATCAAGCTGAGCAACGTCCACCAGCTCGAGGAGAGCCAGCTGATGGCAATTCTATGCGGTCCGTTCGCCCGCTCCGTTGGAGTCATCACGGCCACCACCTTCAACAAGAAGGACTTGCTCGACAATGAGCACCTGGTGACCATGAAGGAGGGCGGAGAGAGGATCACCGCGCAGGTGGCAAGATGGGAGGCGGAGCATCCTGAAGCGGCGAGGGAGCGCTTTGAGAGGCTCCAGGGGCGCCCAATGAGGAAGGCGCAGTACATCGAGCAGAAGGTCATGGGCTGTGCCCAGAGGCACGTGATGGAGGGCAAGAACGGCATCATTCCGGCAGAGAAGTTGGGGGACTTCGATGCCATCAAGAAGGTGCTACGGCCCTTCATCCACAGCAAGTGTGCAGAGGGCTGCACTTGCTACATTTGCAAGACCCCACTGACCTTCATCAAGGTCTACATCGGTCTCAACGCCTCCCCTCCCCCAGGCCCAAGCACACTCCCGCCGACGCCGCCGCCACCGCCACCACCGAGAAGGCCAAGAAGAGGAACAAGAAGCACACGGCCCCGGTGATTTGCCCCGCCAACATGTGGGTTGATGCCATCCGCCCACGCAAGGATGGCTTCAGCTACGCGGAGTAGGATGAGGAGGGGTAGCGATGGGAGGTTTGCGACTGGAACATCGGGCTGGTGAGTCGGTCGAGCAAGCTGACACGATACCCGCACGTCGTACTCAAATCGTCCTTCCCGCCTCTGCTCCACACAGGGCTGCGTCGCGTGCCACCTGGGAAAGGAGGGTTACCCGGTTGCGAACGCCATGCTGCTGGTGGAGGTCATCGCCCCCACCACGCCAGAGTTGGATGCGGCGGGGGAGTGGATGGTAGTGAGGGACCGAGGCTTCACAGCCTGGTCCCGTGCTGACTTGACACTCTTTGGGTAAGTAGCAGAGCAAGAGGAAGCGGATGATCTTGGTGGCTGACTGTCACGCACCCGCTTCGTACGCACCAGGGCGTTCTGCCGCGCCCACATCCGCTCAATGTTGAAGCGCGAGGAGGAGGGGGGACACAAGGTGCTCTTCAAGACGTGGGAAGAGCTGGCGGAGGCCCTTGGCGGAGGGAGGACGAGAGATAGCAGTTTCCGTAGATCTTTTAACGGGCAGCGCTATGTATCTCGAAACATCGTAGCGACACCTTATGTGCTTAACATAAGATCAGCTTAGCTAGCGAAATGAAACTTCACTTTCACGCACCGTCGATATCAGCTACAGTACCATCACGTACGAGGCGAAATGCAGAGACTTGCGAGCGAGCGACGAGCACGACTTGGTTGACAAAAGTGAAGTCGGGATCAATGTCAAGCATTCATCAGGTGCGAAGCGAAGTCGCACGGCCGAACGAGTAGAGCAGCCATCTGCTGGTCAGCGAGACCACGCAGGGCGCCACCGACGAGCGAGCGGGCCTCACCTGACCCGCTGCCTTCCCTCCTCGGCTGCTTTGTGCACGAACGCTAGCGACTAACGACAAAGCTCGAGTGGCTCGCCCAAAGACTCAGAGTGAAAGAATAACATATCGAGTCAGATCAACAAGACAGTACAACATAGACCGCCACCGCATTCTCTCTCGTCACTCGCCCTGCTCCATCCTTCCCCCTCCTCCTGCCCTCATCACGCGAAGCCACGGCTTCCACTTCCTCAGACTACCTCCTCATTACGGCGCGAGTTCTTCTCCGGAGCAAGCGCAGCTCCCACAGTGGGCGAGTCGAACTGGAGAAGCGGCTCCGGCTTGGGCGTGTCGCGCTGCCAGAGGAGCCACCTCTTGGTCCAGTAGGGGGTGTCCTTGGTGACTACGTGGTTGATGAAGTCGCCGTGCGAGACGGAGAAGACATTGTCGAGCTCCTCGAGGGTGAGACACTGGTGGGAAAACGGGGCGGGACGTAACGGATGAGATGAGTTGGGGGCCGAGCAACGAAGTCAGCGGTCAGGCGACAAAGGTAGGACTAGCACGACTTGCTCACCTTGGTTTCTGGCACGAGCAGGTAGATCATCCCAAAGGCCATTAGGTTCAGACCAGCATAGAAGCCGAAGACACCAGCAGGGGTGAAGACAGCAAGCATTCGTGGCAAGGTGATGCTGAGGACGGCCGCCCAGAAGAGGCAGGTGGATACGGCCCAAGCCATGCCTTGCTCACGCTGGGCGAGGGGGAAGACTTCGGCCGAGTACGTGAAGGGTACAGGTCCTTCTCCAGGGCTCTGTGAGGGGTGCGAAAGAGGGAGGAAGTGAGTTGAGGCGCAGGGGTAGCGGTGTTTCAATCCCACTCACGTAGAAGGCGGCGAAGACGTAGATGAAGGTGGCAACTACGGCAAGACGGGCAGTCGATCCATCGGGCAACAAGGTGCCCATGCCGGCAATGAGAAGACTCCAGCACATGTTCGGGAAAGTAAAGAGGAGCAGAGCTCGGCGTCCATAGGTGTCGATGGTGTACAGTGCTGGAACGCAGAAGACCCAGTTGATGGCGCCAAAACCCAAAGATGCGTAGAGTGCTTGACGATCCGTGAATCCAGATTGTGCAAACAACGTACTGCTATAGAAAGCGATGATATTGATCTTACGTAATCAGGGTATGAGGGGGTATCAGCGTTTGCAGGAGTAGTTGTAACATTCGTAGCTACTCACTCCGCACATCTGCTGAGCCAGCATCACGGTACCCGACGCGACGGTCGCACGACGGACGCGCGGAATGGTGAAGAGCTCCAAGAATCGCTTGACGTACGTCTCTCCACGGATGACCTTGCTCTCTTCGACAAATAGAGTATGGATGTAGTAGAGGTCGCGAGCAGCCTGCACCGGGTTGTGGCGCAACTTGAGCAACGAGCGGAAGGCTGACTCGTAACGACCCTTCTTGATGAGCCAACGCGGGGACTCGGGACAGAAGTAGATACCCAGTGCAAGCGGTAGAGCGGGGATGAAGGCTGATCCGAGTTGCAGGCGCCAGGCAATGCGTCCCTGAGTCGTGAGCGTGAGGGGATCAGAGAATGAATAAAGGTCAGTGGCTCGTGCGTGGGAAGGGATAGTCGCCGCAAAGTCGCCGAGCACCGTCGGCCCACGTGGCCTTGACTAGCGTCTCTGGGCTGGGCGGCGAGCTGATCCCGCCCGGCTCCTTTGCTTCGTTTCCTCGTCCGTCTCCCACCTCTCGCGCCCACTCACAGTGTCTGCGACAATGACGTTGGCGCAAAGTCCCAAAAAGATACCAGCTGCCGTCCAGAGCTGCCATCCGAGAACGAGAGCGCCTCTGATCGGAGCGGGCGAGTTCTCAGCAGCAAAGACGGGCACCGTAGCTCCCTTTGCGCCCATCCCCAACCCCAGAATGAGGCGAACAACGAAGAGAGTCTCCCAAGAGTGGGTGAAACCAGATGCGATGGGTGTTGCGATGAGAACGAGTGCGGTGACGAAGATGGTTCCTCGTCGGCCGAGGTAGTTGTTGAGCGGGTCGGAGAGCCAGGCGCCAACGAGGGCAGAGGAGATGTAGGGCGCAGCGTTGACGAGACCTACGATCCATTCGTTGTGTTCGTGGTTGGGCGCGTCGGAGTCGATGGGGATGCCAAACTCGTCGGGGAAGGACAGATTGGCGCCGTTGGAGCCAGTCTGATCCCAGCCTGGCGTGCGAGCGAGACGATCAGTCAGCGTCGAGCTTGCCTTCTCATCGCATGCTCTCTCGGCGCTTACCCTGCGTGGCAGCACCGATACTGCAGGTGAAGATGGTCAGGTAGAGGAGGAAAGGATGCGACCACTTGTGCGCGACCTCGTAGGCCAACGCATCCTTCTCGTCGCGGCTGAGCTCGTCCATGTTCTCAAAGTTGGCGGGATTTTGCGCAACGAGAGCGCCGCGCTTGAGGAGATCGACGTCTGACTCGAGACCCTTGGCGGTAGCGAAGGCTTCGACTTGGTTGAACAGCTCTGCCTTGGTGAGGTGGGCGAGGGGATTGACGATCTTGCCCTGCCAGGGTGCGCGAGGAGGTGGCACGCGGTCAGTCAACGTCCACGTCACGCAATCGTGCGCACAGTCTCACCTCCTTGTGGGCTGCTTCGAAAACGGGCGTCGTCTCGAGCTGGTCATTGGCATCGCGAGTGACGGCCTCGACGCTACTCTTCTTTTCGTCGTCGTGAGCAGACATGTTGGACGAGAGTACGGGGGGCGAGCAGAAGTTGAGGAGAGGGGCGAGCAACCGCATGAGGCGGGCTGCTATTTATCGTTATTCTCAAAGTAGCTCGCGAGCTTGTCTCTCCAATGCAGCATGCAGGCGTCTCAGCGTGGTGCCCCGCGCAACCGCTTTCCAAGGAGATGTGCAGGACAAGTAGCGCTACTCTGCGCTAGGCTGGTGGGAGTCGACGAGCGTGAGCAGGAACAGTCGACTGCAGGGCCCGATGCAACCCCGCGTCGCCCCCTCTGCTTTGCTGCCTCGCCCTCGCCCGCCAAGCCTGCAGCTGGCAGGCGCGCGGGGGCTCAATATACGGCGAGTTCAGCGAGTTGAGCGGGCGCGGGGTTGCAAGGCGACTTGGGGTCGTCTGACCGAGACGAGAGCCTTGACGTGACACGACCTGACTTGGGCTGTAGCGCTACGAGGGCGGCGCGAAGGTGTGGCAATGAACCCAATCGCAGCGCTGCACAACAAGACCAGAGTCGACGGTGTTCAATGTCTCTCGTTGAGAGGGCATCAGGCGGGCGATCAAGTCATCGCAGAGTCAGCGCAGCGGCGACGCAGGCTGATTGTAATCAGCTCCAGATGAGCTTGAAACCCAAGCCACCCCGTGGTCTTCGAGCTGGACGGCATAGCAACTCTCGCCCAACTTTCCCACCTGCCCCACATCATTCTGGTCCGATGCCGCGGTCATCCTCCGCGCTGTCTCGAATGGCGTGACACGAGCCTACGTCAACAGCTCATCATTGGTGCTGGTCTCTCGCTGCCTCGGCTCTCTGCCGCGATCTGTCAGCCCATCGTGTCACGCCTTGCCCTCAGCTTAAAACGCGCGCGCCCTCACACCGTCTGCTTCATATCAATGCTATTTCAGATACAGCGCCCCTCATGGGACCAGCGTGGACACCGCAGCCCCACGCAAACCTCTCACATCTGTGCGCTCGCACCCTGGGCAGCCCAGGCAGGCGTCTGCTGGAACGCCGGGCTGACAGCCTGCGGCGGAGGCGGAGGAATATCGCTCTGCGACGACGAAGAACCTCCCCCTCCGAGCATGCCGACGAAGGGAAGCATCTGCATCAGGCCGCCGCCCTGTGTGAAGGGAGGGGGGGCAAGGGTTGTTGAGCGGGGTATGCCACAAAGGGAGAGAGACGACGCGTCGACTTACCATGCCTCCTCCGCGGCCACCGCCGCCCATCTTGGCAAAGCCGCCCAGCCTGCGAGCTTCGAGGGAGATTTGCTCGTCGACAGAAACAGGCGCCGCGAGGCTAGCCGTTGCGAGGGTGGCGAGGGTGATAAAGAGTGTGAAGCGCATGGCGAGCTAGGTGAGGATGATGATCTGACCAGCAGAGGGTTGCTTGAAGCGTGACGACCTGACCAGCAGTGTCGTGAGGGTATCGATGTCGGAGTGAGGAGAGAAAGAAGTGGAAGGAGTGAGCCTCCTTTTGAAGAGGCGGCCTCGATGTGAGGCGCGCCCGGGTCGAAGCGAGGGTCCGGCGATCCGGTGCAGCCGGCCCTCCGCTCGGCGGTTGGAGCCTCGAGCCTGCCTAGCGTCGCGTAGCTTCTTTCTGTCCGATACAACGCTACCACTCGCGCCGACGAGAAGACCTCGAGAAGTTTGTCAGGACGCAGAGGACAATGAGAGCGGGCATGGGCTTCTGCGGCCGTCTTCCGCCGGAGCTAGGAAGCAACGCCCTCCATCCTCGGTGCTCTTGCCTCGGAGCGGGTGGACGCCCGCGCGCACTTTGCGGCCCACCGCTAGTCAAGACGGCGTTCGTCAGGAATCAGACTTGCGCTCGTCGAGCTGAAGCAATTGCTACTGTGCGATGCACCTGATGCGTGCCTGACTTGAAGCGGAACGGCTCGTCGTGCTGTGCCTGATGTTGCCGCCGCCGTGCCTAACGGTCGCCGCCCATCAATTTCGACGATCAACATCTGCCACCGGCGAGGATACCAGGACGCGGCGATGGATAGTAGGCGCGACACTTTATGGATGCCACACGCAATCTGTATCAGCCAATGACCCTCACACGGGTGATCAAATTTGATCGAACAGCGAGGGCGATCTGGAGGGCCACGCACTCTCGCAATGTCTTTTCGCTGCCCTGGCGTGGACTCACTCACTTCGTCGTCATGAATACTGTAGTCTGCGACGAGCACAACGTCAGCGGCAGCGTAGAGACCGAACATAACTATTGGCACGACGAAGTAGGCGATCCCACGTCATCATGGATGTAATGGGTGCCACGCACTCGGCGCCGGGCCGTACTTACTAAGTGAACAGCCGTAATGTCGACTAGTGACAAAGCAACGGTGCACAACAGCGGGCTGAGTTCGTGGCAAGCCAGAGGCCGCTTGTTGTGCACGAGCACAAAGATACCTCACGTAGGACTCTCGCGAGAAGTTTTCAGGAGCTCCAAGATCAAGTGGACGCTCGAACAGCCTGGAACAGCTCGACCGTGACCGCAGCAGCGTCATCTCGACCGGTCCGTGCGCAGTCCTCACGCTCATCGACGACGGCTGATCGCGGCCGAAGTCCATCCGGACGCAAGGAAGCAAGGGCACTCGCACGTGCACAGCCGCGTCGTAGCTGGCCGCGAACGACGGCGCCTCAACGCCCTCGCAAACGAGCGAGCTCCGTTCCGTGGCATACTACGCCCACCTGGCCACAAGCAGCAGCGGACGTCCATGGAGATCGATTCCCCGTTGCCCACCACGAAAAGGCAACTCCCAGCTCCCTTCGCCCCGCCTCCATCCCCCTACTCCAAGCTCGTCAGCTTACACCGCCTCTCTCTCTTTCGCCTCTTAACCCTCGGGCTCTGGCTGATACCAACTTGTGCCGGGGTGCTTTGGCCGTGAGCGTGGCACGGTGCCGAGCAGATCGGCAGGGCTGACCGCCATCGCGCGTGCGAGCGATTGACGAGGTCATGTTGCAGAAGAAAGCTGAGATCGATTACCAAGGAATGATCCAATGTCGTGACAAGGCAGTGCGGTAGCTTTCAAACTCGTCTGATCTGACCACGGTTTGTGTTTTGCATGGACGCCTATCACCAACGAGACAGGAGTCATCGCATGCTCGACCTCAAGATCGCCTCATGCCGTCACACTTTACTCGCACTCAGCCCCTCCTCAATCCTGCAAGTTCTCGGTGTTCCGTACCGCGCACGCACCCTATCCCCTCCCCACCACACCCATCCCCCTCTCGCTTCCCACTGAAGGGCTCTTTCTCTTCGCCAAGCTCCAAGCGCACCCCCGTAGCCCCACCTTGCAGCGTGTCCGGACCCCCCTTCTTCGTCCCATTACGATGCTGCGCCCCGCAGGCGATGATGTAGTACTCGCAAGCCATCTTGACCAGGCGATGCGGGCGAGCGCGGATGGTGAGACCAAGACCACCGTCGAGTTGGTGATTGGCTCTGCCCCCTGCAGGCAGGGCGAGGACGACGTTGAGCAGGCCGGGAAGTAGGGCGAGGCCGCAGAGCAGGACCGCCAGAGGTAGAGCGAGGCCGGTAGATGGGGAGGACGTGAAGTGGTAGCGCATCCTATAGCGGGGAGAGAGCAGGGTGGTCTATCAGTCGAAGCGTGTACAACGTCGTCCCTCGAGGCGCTCACTTTGATGCTGCTGGACAATCAGGAGAGTTCACTCTACGACGTGGTAAATGGGAGAAAGAAGCGAAGATAGAGCGTTGGCAGGCTGGTATGGACTGGCGAGCAACGAGTCAATGCTCGATGCCTCAGTCATGATCTTCAGGTCATCATCTTATTGTTGGGGGCGGGGCGTCGTCATCGAGGCGCCACATTGTCGCCTATGGGGCGACTGCGGTTGCGGGGCTGATGCAAACGCTGGAGGGGCGTCACTTTTCATCCATTCAAATTGCGGGTCCCTAGATGGGTGCAGGCTGAGATCCTGGGTCGTCCTGGCGATATGATGAGGCTGATCGAGGGAAGCAAGGCGCCTAGGCTTGCGCCCCGACCTGCGGTCATCGACGGCTTCCCAGCGAGCAATGAGCCGCCGCCGACAGCGGGGCCTTTTGGTTCCTTGACCCTCAACGACATCATCGTCGCCGCGCTCGAGCGGCCCAAACGCCTCGTTCTCATGCTAGCTCCTCGACCCGCATCCCTGGGAGTCGAGGCGGTAAGAGAGGATCAAGCTACTACATCGCGCTGCAGCCCTTGCGCAGACCAGTGGTAGCGATAGCAAGTTTCAGTCGGCCGATAGACGTCGACATGGACCCGGACCCTCTTGCAGTAATTGGCAGTGGGGCCTGCGATGAGGGAGTTGAGAAGCGAACAAGCCCACAACGCCCATCGCTGCACGCACGCCTCTTTCACTTTCACGTCCCGATGGCGCGCATCATGCCTCCACTCGAGGAAAAATACCCCGCATCACGTCGAGGTTGTCCGCGACTCGACGTCTAGTCTAAAATACCATACTGGCCTTGCAAAGCTGCGAGCACCCCATTCTCTTCCTATCAGTCGCGCAACACCACCATGAGCGGCGCAACCGACCCACAAGCCAACGTCAACGGCACCTCACCGCCAGGCAGGGTGGAGTCGATCACCTTTCCCTCGTCGACGAAGGACAAGCTGGCGGGCACCCTGTAGTGAGTCCCTTTCCTCGCCATCCAGCAACATCTGCTGACCCTCATCGCGCGCTCAGCTACCCCACCGACTACTCGCCCTCCTCCCGCCTCCCGGCCATCGTCCTAGGCCACGGTCTCGGCGCCATCCAATCCATGGGGCTGCAATGCTACTCGCACATCTTCGCCGCGCGTGGGTACATCTGCCTCACCTTCGACTACAGACACTTTGGCCTCTCGGAGGGACAGCCTCGTCAGCTCCTCGATACGGAGCGTCAGAACGCGGACTGGCATAGTGCGCTGCGCTACGTGCGCAAGTTGGATTCAGTGGACGCAGAGAGGGTGGGGATCTTTGGGAGCAGTTTTGGTGGAGGGCACGTTATAAGGGTCGCGGCTGAGGACGACAAGGTCGCGGCCACTATTGCGCAATGCCCCTTCACCAGCGGGCTACGTTCGGCGCTGCAGCTTTCGTTCAGCTCGCTGCCCGTCACCGTAGCGAGGGGCGTGGCCGACATGCTCTTCGGGTGGGGCAACAATACGGTCATGATCCCGCTCGCTGCGAAGCCCGGCCACTGTGAGTGCGCACCTGCACGCTAAGAAGGATCGCACTCATCATCTCCTTTCCTCTTTTTCGCCAGCCGCGCTCATGAACAGCCCTGACGCGGAGCCCGAATACCTCAAGCTCGTACCCCAGAAGGACATGGATCGCCTCTTCCACAACCAAGTCGCAGCACGCTTCGCCCTCAAGATCCTGCTCCAGTACCCTGGCGCCAAAGCCAAGCACGTCAAGAACCCCATCCTCTTCGCCGTCTGCGGTAAGGACAGCGTTGCCCCCGCAGGACCGACGCTCAAGTACGCCAAGCAGGCAAAGAAGGGGGTGATCAAGCACTTTGAGGTGAGCAGAGTGGGGATGAGGTCAGGCGGGCGGGCCTGGGCTCAGCTGACCATTTCGCGCCTCTCTTGCCGCCAGGACATGGGTCATTTCTCCATCTACGTGGGCGAAGACTTCAAGAAAGTCACCAAGATCTACCTCGATTTCCTCGACGAAGCCCTCCCCGTCAAGGGCGCTGCGGCGCACCTGTAGCTGCGCGAGTGAAGGCACTTGTATGCGATACCCCTCATGCTATGCGAATGGATTGATTTCTACTCCTACGCTCGAGCCTACGCATGCGACTGCCTCTCCAGGTCGAGCAGCGAAAAATCGTGCAGCCCACCCATCTCCAAAGCCTTGCGGTACGCCGGGCGAGCCTCGAGACGCTTGAGCCAGCGCTCGACTGCAGGCCATGTGCGATTGGCTGTGCCCACTTTCTTGACGATGACTGGCAGCCAGAGGGAGAAGACAATAAGCTTTGTTCGCTCAGCCTCACGTCTCTCTCGCGCACACACTCACTGTACTCTGCCGTAAATGCATTTGCCAGATCAGCGAGAGAGATCTGTCCACCCGCCAGGTAACCATTCTCCGCTCCATGCTCCTTCTCGCTTGCCAGGATCGCGTCCTCGTACAGGTCGAGATCTTTGCACACATTCGCGCTCAGCTTGTCCTCCATCTCCGCCAGCAGGGAAGCCTGCGACTCGGGCATGTGCCATCGCAGGTAAATGATGGGCAAGGCGTGCGTCATTGGCGTCTCGCAAAATGCGAGCCAGGACTGGACGCGGGATTTTTGGGACCAGGCAGGTGACGCGGGCAATAAGCTCGACTGCGAGCCGTATCGGTCGTGAAGGTACTCGATGCACGCTACGCTCTCGAAAACCTCTACGCGCCCACCTTGCCCATCATCGTCGATGAGGAAGGGGCTCTTGCCCAGCTTGAAGCCCGACTCCTTTTGCATCTCGGGGACGGCCTTCTTGCCTTCGACGCGGGCGTAGCTCTTCACTTGGAGCTGATCGGCCAGGCCAAGCTCGATTGCCGCCCAAAGCACGCGCATAGCGCGCGAATTGTCCAGATAGTAGAGGGTCTAAGAGGGATGCGGGGTGCATATAGGCAGTTGTTTAGAGCGCAGGCCCGGTGAGAGACTTGACATGCGACTCACGATTGTCATCTTGGTCTGATCTGAGCATCTGTCTGTTATCGCTGGTTCTGCTGATCCTGCGGTATCACTCGTCTCAGTGATGGTTTGGAGGTCAAGGAGCTTTAGAGCTGCCGGCGCGGGGGTGGAGGAGCAGCAGCTCATCCAGGTTGCCGCCGGGCCACAAGCAGACCAAACGCCGTTCTTGCTCCTCCGGACGGGCGAGGCAGTCCGACGTGCATGAAGAGACGGCCAGTCGTTTCTTGACCCGCGATCAGCTTGCAACTCACCTTGACTGTTCGAGAAAGACGTCTCTCCGATGGCTTCCTCGCCTTATTCGTCCCACTGAGTGCTGATCAATGAGACACTACCTGACGATTGCACCTCCTCACACCACGTCGTCGACACCCGAGTTCTCACCCATGTTTCTCGCCGCCGCATCGCGAAATCGTGGCTTGCCGTTGCAGCGGGGCTCAACCATGATTCTCAACACTTCAACACCAATGAGGAAAGAGCCGGAACATCTTCCGACTCTTTCGCTACTCCACGCCGTCTTGGCTCGATGACAGCCGGCACGAACTTTTACTACGACGCCCATCACAGTCACGACGCCGCCATCGCAGCTCGGACTTTTCTTTGAGGAAATTCAAGGTTTTGCCGCTGCGCAACCTCCTCGCTCAAACAGCTTCCGGCACAAAGACAACCAACACCAAACGGCGCTCACGCCGCTCAGTGAGCTCGCTGTTCGCCCCTGATCTGACGCAGCGCTACCACCTTTGTTCCACGCTTTGGAGTACCGACGCGATCATCATCCGGATGGCACGACGAGGTCATAGCGGCGTTAGTGGTAGAGCTGAGCCGCCGACAACGCGCAAGCAGATGCGCTAGACCACGGGATTTGCCGCCGAGGGTATTTCTTTTGAGGAGCATCCTATCGTCGAGACTCATGACCCGTCCCTGCCTCTGCGTGCAGTCTCGGGCGCCTCGACGCAGGAACAAAAGCGCGAGGTACAAACAAAGCGGTGCGTCAGGTAGCGCGCCCCCACTACTTAAGTTGGTTCACAAAGGCTCAACTCCTCACCATCTCGCCGCGTCAACACTACCTTGTCCTCATTGGTGAGTAGAATCTCTTGTCCTCGCCCTGCGACACCACTTTCTCGGCTGTTGTTGCGGGTACGATGAACCCTTAGTGCCTCGGTTTCGCGGCCATTTCGCCCGACGCGCCTTGGCGTACGCGTCGCTGGGCGCGCTAGCTCCTTTGTTCGTCAACGCCCGGCCGCGCTCGCCCTTTGTTAGTGCGATGCGGTTGTATGTGCCGAGTGGCTTGCAGATGCGCAAACGTCCTCGCTCCTCGTATTGTTTGCGCAACAACACCCTTTGTCACCATTCGTCATTGTCTCTGGCCCCTGTTTGCTAACGCCATGGCTCGCCGCGCCTGGCCCCTCCTTGCGCGCAGGGCACGCGACCTGCAACAAAGCAAACAAAAGGTGCGATCACCCCCCCATCGCCCCGATATAGTGGCTACCCTTGTACTCATCCTGAGCATTCCCCCGCATCATCTCCTTAGACATCTCTCCTCACGCTCGTCGCACTCATCGCTCTCGCTCTTTTGTCACCCAGCATGGTCCGCATTACCACATCACTCCTCTGCGCCCTGGCGGCTGCTACCACGCTCTACGCCCCCACAGCATCGTGTGCTCCCGTACCGGGCAGCAACCCTCCCTTTCGCTTGCCTCGCTGGCTCACCTGGCCTCGCGGTCGTGATGGCCCTCCTGCGCTTGCTATGCCCAACAAGCTGGGCAACCTCGCAGCGAGCGACACTGGCAAGGGAGCTTATCGCGTCACGGTCCCCTACGCTCAAGCTCCGGTCGGTCAGCTTCGCTTCGCCAATCCTCAACCCATCACCTCTCTCTCCAAGGGCTTTGACCCCACCAAGACTCCCCCTTCTTGCTACCAAGGCGACGGCGACCCGCGTGGCGGCAACGAGGCTAGTGAGGACTGTCTGTACCTCACCGTCTACTTCCCCAAGTCGATGCGCGCGTCTTCCAAATTGCCTGTCTTCATGTGGCTTCCCGTGAGTGCGCGCGTGAATAGCATGATCGAACGTTCTCGCCGACTGAGCTCTCCCTCCGTCCTCTTTGCCGCGCAGGGAGGCTCATTCGTCGGCGGTTCGGCCAGCAACGCCGGCCTGGACGGCTCTACCCTCGCCTCCGAACAGAACATGATCGTCATCGTCGCACAGTATCGCCTTGGCCTCTTCGGCTGGCTCCAAACCGCCGACATCGTAGATGAAAAGGCAGGCGGTGCCCCAGGAGCTGCAAAGGTGGCAGGCAACCAAGCCGCCCGCGACATCAATGCCGCTCTCCAATTCGTCCACGACTACTTTGGACCCTTTGGCGCAGACACGTCCCGCGTCACCCTCTCCGGCCAATCCTCGGGGGCACACATGGTCCGCTCCCTTCTCACCATTCCCTCTGCGGCCCCGCTCTTCCAGCAAGCCCTCCTCGTCAGCGACACCGAGAACTACGGTGCGGCAACCCAGCTCACCCAGAACAAGCTGGGCACTTACGCAATGGCCCAGCTCAAGTGCACCGACCTAGCCTGCGCTCGAAACGCCAGCGCCGATGATGTACTCGACGCAAGCTATGCAGCCTTTTCCGACGTTCCGCTCTCTGATCCGAGCATCCCAGCGGGCGAGCCGTGGAGACCGACTCAGGGAGCCTACATGACCACGACGATCGAGAAGGACCCGGCCACAGCGCTACAAGGTGGCAAGAAGATCGTCCTCACTACCATCACCAACGAGTCGGGAGCTTCGGTTGCGAACCTTTTCGCGCACACGGAACCAAATGCTCAGACGCTCCGTTTCAACTATGCAGACCACGCAAACTTCACCTTACCCCTCGCACTCGACCTCTACTTCATTGCTGCGCGAGGGGACCTCCTGCTCCAACAACCCGCCTACGCCCTGAACACGACGCTCGTCGCGCAAGAGGACGGTTTGCGCACTACCCTCGAGCAAGACGTGACGGACGGCCTCTGGCGCTGCTCCACGCAGTTTCAGGCCCGCTCCCTCTCCTCGGCAGCTGGAGGAGCGGGCAATGTATGGCTTGCTCAGCATCAGCGCGGTTATACGTACCCGTCGAACGCGGATTTCGACTACTGCCAGGCGAAGGATGTGCACTGTCACGAAGACGACATCTATTTGATCTTCGGTACCACGCCGGGCAACGCGGATGCGGCTACGAAGGCGACGAGCAAGGAGTTGAGGGCGAGATATGGGGCCTTTGTGAGGGGTGGGAACCCAAATAGCGGCAACTACGTCAAGTGGGGGCCCGTCGCGGGGGATGATAATCTGAATGTGTTGTACGCGGGGAGCGGGGCCGATGGGTCTTCCAGCGTGTCGCCCACACAGAGAAAGGATCATTGCCAGGGGGTGTGGGGGAAGACGGTCAAGTTTGACTGGCAGATATATTCGTGACGCGACAAAGAGACGCAGAGGAAGAATGCTACGATTTTGTACGACTCGCTAATGATATTTCACGACCCAGCATAAGTTGAATTTGTTCAGCCGTGTCTCGCACACCGTAGAGCTCGTACGCGCACCGCCCGCTTCATCCGCCCCGCCTCATCCGTTGTTTGCCGGCGGCAGCATCTGAAGGCGGCCTCCACCCCCGTTTCCCTCGCGCTGCATTCAATCGAAAGGCAATCGAGAAAAGCGCACCACACACCGGCTTTTGCTTTCCTCCTTTGCAACATTCACCACCTCGACATCACTCGTTACTATGTCAGCCAAACGCCTCCTCACCCCTCTCACAACACAGCTCCTCCCGCAATTGCGCGCGCCAATCGTATGCGGGCCAATGGCAAACGCATCAGGTGGGGCCCTTACCGGTGCTGTTTGCGCCGGGGGTGGATTGGGTTTCATTGGCGCAGGGTACTACACGGCTTCGCAGCTGAAAGAAGAGCTCGAGCACGTCTACAAGGCTCTCGGTGGCAGACCTGAACGTGGCCGGGCGCGATTGGAGGCGGGCATTGGTTTTTTGGCCTGGAGGTTGACGGCCATGAATGATAATCAGCCGCCTCCTTCGCTCGGATCGTCCGATTTGGACGCCTCTTCCCAGGCTCTCGCTCTCATCGATGAAGCGCTGCGCGCCAAGCCTCGCGCTGTGTGGATGAGCTTTGGAGAGAGGGAGGAGCTCGTTGGTTGGTGCAGGGTGGTTCGCGAGAGGGAGGCGGCGCTCAATGGTGGAGGCAAGGCAAAGTGGGGTACTGAGCTCAAGCTCTTCGTCGGCGTCGGTACGAGGGATGAGGCGAGGTGTGCCGTCGAGGAGGCAGGAGCGGATGTCGTCGTAGTCACAGGCGTTGAGGCTGGTGGACATGGGTTGGGAGCTTCACCCCCGCTCGCTTCCTTCCTGCCCTTGGTACGAGCGCAGCTGCCGTCGTGGCAAACATCCAATCCTGCTGGGTCTCAGCCTCTCCTCCTCGCCGCGGGCGGTCTTCACTCTGGCCAGTCACTTGCCGCGTGTCTCGCCCAAGGAGCTGACGGCGCCGTATTTGGAACTCGTGGGTACGGGTGCAGAAATATCTCCCTCCTCCCCATCTCGCTGACACCTGCACTACTCCCACGCAGGCTTCTTGATGACACCAGAGGCAGCCTACACTCCCGAGCAAAAGCAGATCCTCACCGACGCAGACGAATCCCGCACCAAGCGCACCATGGCCTTCGATGAAGCACGCGGCACCATGGGCTGGCCCAAGGGTGTAGACGGGCGAGGCGTAGTCAACGAGACGGTGCACGACTATGAGCGTGGTCTCGGCAACCCGGAGAGCAGACGCGAGCGCTACGGAGAGGCTGTGAAAGAGAAAGACACCAAGCGCATCGTAACCTGGGCTGGGACTGGCGTCGGGAATGTGAGCAAGATCATGCCTGCTGCAGAGGTGGTGCAGGAGATTGAGAAGGAGGCGATTGACGCTGTAGAGCGGCTGGGCGCGATGGTGGGCACAAAGGAGTAGCTCACGTCGCATGACAGCAGCAGGTCACGTCACATGCATTCCATCGCAGCACAGCATGTATCTTTGCCCTCTCGCCCGCCCACGCGCGCGCTTACAAATACCCATACGTCGGCGCCTGCGGCTGCGGCTTTGCAGGCTTGGACGAAGCCCTGCCTCCTCCAACCCCACCTCCGGCACTCGTGGCCGCGCTTGCCCGCATGTTGGCCCTGATCGTAGCGATACTCGTACTAGGTATGCCGGACGACGGGTAAGCAGCAGAGGCCGTAGACCACTCCGTAGCATACGAGTCGCGGTCCGACGCGCTATTCCAGTTAGATCCAGGCCAGGCAGAAGGAGGGCCGGCCCCCCTCTTCAAAGTCGATGTTGGTGTTGTGGTGATTGCGGTATTCGTGCCAGTGTCCCGCGACTTCTCTGTCGGCGACCTCGAGCCCGTTCCGGGTGTGGTCCACGGTGGAGGCCCGCCACCAAAGTAACCGCTTATGTTGCTCCCGCCACGCCGCGTCCCCTCGGGCGTCTTGTTCGCCACGGTCAGATTGAACGGATTCGGTTTGGGCTGCTGAGGCGTCCCTGCGGCGGGCGAAGAAGCGGTACTCTCCTCCTTGACCGCGGCAAGAAAATGCTCACCGTAGTGGTGGGTAGGGAGAAGCGACTCATCGTTGCCAAAGGCTCGCGTCGTCTTGGGAGAGTAAGAGTCCCCACTCCCACCACTCAAGTCGCTCGCACTCTTCTTGAGAGACCAGCCCTCAGGCAGGGCTGCAGCGTCCTCCTCCTCCGCCTCCTGGTGGATCGTCGTCGTCATCGTTACCTGCACGGGACTCTCTCTGCGTCGCTCCTCGCGTTTCATGATGCGCTTGACCAGCGGCTTAGCAATGGAAGGCGGAGCGCGAGAGGCAAAGGCGTCCACATCTTCCGCATCAATTGCCCCGCCAATGGCCTTCTCGTCCGTTTGCGCGATCTCGGCCGCGATGGACGGCCGAGCCATGAGCGTGGCGATGAGGGAGGCAGCTGAGACCTGACCGAGCGGGGAGAGGAGGATGAGGAAGTAGAACTGCTGCGGTTCGGCAAGGAAGAGGATCATGGCGCCCAGTGAGAAGCCGACGGTGATGAAGCAGGTCTCGAAGGAGAGGGTGAGAAGTCGAGCGACGGCGTGACGCGTGGAGAAGTAGGCTGGCGCAACGGTGCAGGCAGATCAGCAGGGCGTCTCTACGGGTGAGCCGCTCTCGCACTTACGACTCTTCATCTTGATGAGCTGCAGCGCGAGCAGCACGCACAGGCCGACATCCACCGTGGAGCAACAGATGAGCCAGCTAGCAAAGACGACACTCCATTGCCAAGGCGTCGAGTTTGGCTGGAAGTCATGTAGAGCCGATCCTCTTACGTTGGCCGCCGAGCCACTACGATACGACAAGGCGCCGGAGGCAACACCACCCGCAAAGGAGTAGGCTATGAGGAGGACGAGGGGAAGCCAGAACCATCGTGAGCAATTGTATGCCGACCAGACCCGATTGGCGTAGTAGAGCTGGACGAGCGTTGTCATGCAGGCAATGCAGATGTAGTTGACCGTCAGCTCCCAGCCGATGGTCAAGAGGGGAAAGGCAAAGTCGCCGAAGTTTGCGACTGAGGAGACGCCGCGATACGAGAGGTCAGCGTGCCGTCGACTGGGGTGTGTATCGCGATCACGTACCATGGATGAAGTAGATGCGGTGCACAAGTACGGCATTGGAGGCGAGCGAGAAGAGGCCAAGCACGGCTACGAGTAGCTGTACGCCGAGCTTGTCCGATCCACGGCGACCGTGACGCTCGAAGTAGGACCACACTTGGACAAGGACGGCTCCACCGAGGAAGAGGGACACGAGGCTGTGCGAGTCGGGAAGAAAGAATTGGCGTCAAATGCCCAGACTCGGCACACAGCGTGAAGCGGCGCTGCTCACCACCCAAAGAAGGTGCCAGACAGCAGTCGCGCAAATTCAGCCCTGGTAGCAGGGGTGGAACGGTCCCCTCCCGACCCCGTATCGATGGACGAGCCGGCAGCCTGAGCTGCATCTGCTGCGGATTGGGCACCACCATTCGTCGACGAGCCGCCATCGGTGTTGCTACCGCCAGTCGGGGCCTGCTGGCGTGGCGAGAGGCGCAAAGGACTGGGACGCGCTTCGATGAGGGCGAGAGAAATGAGAGAAATGAGGATGAGAATGAGGACAATGCGACGCCGCATCTGCGCCAAGGCGGGGGATCGAGAGATCATGGTATGCAAGGAATGGAAGAAGGGAAACCTCGATCGTGCGAGAGGCAACACAGCTTGTCAGGGGCGATGCTTCGTCTTAAGACTTACCTACTCATCGCTGGCGAGTAAAGCGGCGTTCAGTGGCAGCCCCCTGTGACGCCGTTTTCAGACTACCCCACTCGAGACGTGCAATATCTTCACGAGCTCCGTGCGCCATCTCCATCTCGCAGCCTGATCGCCGCACGCGCGTGGGAGCAAGGGGTCTGAGCGTCAGTCCTCTCTCCATCTCACCGCTCAGCAACGTCATAGGCGGGGCGCGTTCACGCCGATAGATGAGCGCGCGACTATTAGTCTGTCCACCGAGGTATGGTATGGTATGGGATTCGCAGAAGCGCGAACCGAGCAGCATACATCGACGACGAGAGGCGCGCAGCACGCTCTTACAGCTTGCCCTCCTCCTTGGCGAGGTCTTCGCCCTCGACGAGGATGCACGGCCCACCGTAGATGACTCGCTTCTTAAGGTCTTCGTCGGGGAGGGATTCGACCCAGTCCTCTGCGGGCGTGTAGAGCAGCAGCCGATGTCAGTACCATCATTCAAGGCATCATGCTACGTCGCTGCACCCACTCAGGTCGTCATCCTCTGCACCTGGTTGCAGCCAGATCCATGGTATGCCGAGCTCGAGGAGACTAGTCTTGACAATGGGCAGGCTGACCTTGGGCGGTGTGATGACGGATAGGCTCGTCTCTTTTGCCTCTGCCAGGTCGAATACTGAGGCCACTGTGCCGATCTCTGTGCGCGACGCGAGGGCCGGAGTTAGTGACAGGCTTTCCTTCACCTCGTCGCCGCTGCTGCGCTCACCCTCCACACTGCTCTCCTTGGGGTGGATGGGGATAGCTTCGAAGCCGTGCTCCTTGTACCACTTGACGACCTGCATTTGCGAAGCGCATACAGTGTGACGATGTGAGCATGACGAGTCCCACGCAGCGCTCCTCTCTCACATCGCAGTAGTGCGGCCCGCAGCGCTGTCTCTTCTCGGCGTCAATCAAGGCAAGCTGACGTTGCAGCAGCTCCTGCGATGATGCCTTCGAAGAGCGAGGACAACTTCCATTCCCCAGCGAAGCTACCAGTGCTACGAGTGGGTCGTTGGTGCTCACCTTGTTCTGCGAGCGTAGGGAGCGGGTCAGCATATATTCCAACCTAGACCCGACGCGCCACGCACCCCAATCTTCTTTGGATCCTGACTCGCCCCGGCAATGGCAAACTTGGTCGACGAAAAGAACTCCTTGGTAGCCGGCGCCATGGTGAGGGGAGAGGTAGAGAAGGAGCGGTACGGATGCAGAGAGAAGGGGCTAGGGTATTTGAGGACGGTCGTACGACAGGTCGGTCTGAAGAATGCCACTATGACGACGTTGGAGATGAGGCTGGTGGAGCGATTAGGGTACCGATGGCTTGTGCGGTCCGAGGGCGATGTGACGCAGGGATGCGATGCGATGCGATGAGGCAGGCGACACAAAGCAGTAGGAAGGGACGGAAAAGAGGTCAAAGCGTTGCAACGAGCGTCGAGGACAACCGAGCTTCGAGCTCGTGATTCGCCGCGTGGATGGCGGAAATAAAGGTGGCCCGGGCGCGAGGCGGAAAGGGAAACGTGGCCGGGACAAAGGCGAGCGGCGCTGCACTCCGCTCTTGACTTCCTACTCTTCGCTACCAACCTCACGAAATGCGTGGCAAGCTCAAATTCAATCATCACCATCGTTCACCGCTTTGAGGCGAGGCTTTACGACCATTGGCGCCTATCGCGACTCGCATCTGTGAGCAAAATCAACCATCCATCCCCGCACCTCCTTCTCGACCACACCACGTTAAATTTCTGGATTGACTGTATCGATTCAAAAAGACTAACTGGAGACGTCTCGAGGACTTAGAAGCTAGAGAGCTAGAGATTTAGGGCCACTGCAATCGCCATTGATCTATTGGGACTTGTGCTTTGATCAGCTCAGTGGTCATCGCCCCCCTCAGCGCGTATTTCAATGCCCTCGGCCGGTGCGTCGATCTCGAGCTTCCTCTCTATGGTTCGGCCTCCTTCGCCCGTACCAACCTTCCTCTACGCGTAGCGATCGCAAAGTGGTCAGCTTCTGCGCACATTGGACCACTGTCTCCCTGTCTGCATCCCTACCTTGTCGAGGCCACAGCAACCCGCAGGACAGCCAGTTTGGCAGTCGCACGAGTGACACGGATTCTGGTCGGTAGACATCAAATGGTCAGAAGCTCAGCCGTCACAAGCCTCGCTCTGGACAGCTCACGATATCGCGCAGTATGACAAGGCCCTTGGACATCGTGTCCGTCGTGACCTGCCTTTCAATGAGCTGACTACCTTGGCTTCCATCGATCTCTCTCTTGGCGGAAGGCATGTCACTTTGCTCGCGAAACGTAGCCAAGTGCCCCACTGGCTCCGTTCGCACCTCCTTGAGGCCACAGCAAGTCGAGGGACAATTTATGCCGCAGGCGCAGTTCGAGCATGGGCCAAGCAGACGGGAATTCACGCTGACGGTCTTCGACGCAGCCTGAGTCAGGGTATCAGCAGCAAAGTCGGCAACAAAGTTTGCCAACGACGAACTCACGATATCGCGCAGCACGATGTCCGAGAAGGACGAGTCCGTCACGGGCTGCCTCTTGTCGACTTGACCACCTTGCCCCCCTTCGATCGTTCTCTGTGCGCAACAAACGCATAGTCGTCGAATGTGTCAGCAGCCAAGTCGGCAAGTTTCTCCCTGGCGCCATGCCTTACCTCTGCGGGGCATCCGCACGACGGAGGACAAACAGGACAGGCGCAAAGGCTGCACAGCTCCTGAGTAGCGTTCAAAAAGCAGAGGGTCAGTCAGCGATTTGGTCGAGGTCCTGCGGTAGATAGACTGACGGACGCGCGTATCATGAGTTGCTCGAGCTTATCATCCGCAGCGCGCATGCGTCCGCCCAGCTGAGAGCACGGCCAATTAGACGGTCAGATAGGCCCGAAAGCTGAAGGCCGGCAGAATTTTTCTCACCTCGGTGTTCTTGCCAAGGATCAGAGCATCAGTCTGGGTCGAAGGGGGTCGAAGGGGATACCGTCAGCTGCACGTCTCGCGCGAAGCTGCGCGTGAGTCTCACGTTAGTGGGTAGAGCCTCGACGATCTTGATGGTGGACAAGCTAGCGAGCGCCACGAGCGCACTAGAGGCGAGGGAGAAGCGGATGAGCTGCATCATGGGGGATAGTTCGTGGTGATGCCGTTGGTGGTCGGGAAACGACAAGACGACCGAGAGCCTTGCGAGTTAAGACCACAAGTGGGCAGCGGGCGCAGTCGACTCTGTACGTCTCTGTTGCTCTGAGAGCGGATCGAAAAAGCGCCGGATGGTAGACCTTTGGCGGATCAATATCAATAGCTGGCCTCATCCCCACGCAAGACGATACTCCCACAAAGTCGTAATTTGCGACAGAGCAAGAAAGCGACGACCAAGCCCGAGGATCGAGAGCGCCGTGAGATGATGTGCACAGGCTGAAGCATTTCGGGGTGGATGGCCCAGCCCATGCCCCGCCGTGACAATGAGGCGGCCGCAAAGCAAATACGGCCCGGGTGGCCGTGGGAGAATAGCAGAGAGCCATCGGCGCTACCCCGACCTTTGCCTCGTAGCACTCGCGGCACACCTCGCACTGCCCTACAGGATTGCCAGCTTGCCCCTTGAGCTCGTGAGCTTTAGACACGAACGGTGCAGGCAATGTCTGTTGTGCTCGGCATGACGAGGTGCCGGCCGTAAGCCAGCTTATATGAGGCAATTTGATGGTCTCCCATTTCTCCAGCTCCGTCCTCGATCAGCGGCTGAGTCCAAGCGGAGGGACAAGACCCTTTACCTCCGCGTAGTGACGGCGCGATGCGCTTGGTGAGGAGCGCTTGGGTCATGTGAGCCTGCGAACACGATGCTTTTGCCTCTGCCCTCGACTCAGCGGGCGCGTCAAGCGTCCGGTAGCGAGGCTACAGCGCCAAAGAGACACTTGACCCGTCCAGCCAGCTTTTTCCTTCTGCGACTGCACTAGAGCTACTTCGGGCTGCCTCCCGCCTCGTTCGACCTGCGCGACATCTTTCTCAGCCAATCGACCCCAGACGTATCATCCCAGATGCATGCCACACGCATCTCCCTCGCTGTTGCTACCCTTGTGGCTTTTGCGGCCTACCACACCATCCAGACAGTCGGTGCTCTACCTGCGAGCGTGAGTCATGGGCAAAGATGGACGCACTCATTCGTCCAGAAAGCTCAGACTTGATCTTGCCCCTACATCTACAGACTGGTGCTCTCGTCCACGCCAGGGACCTCTTCGTGGTGAGCAGCAGAGTCCGCCCCCTGCCACAAGAGCTCGAGCCGGCTGACACTCATGATCGCAGCCGCGCAACTCCAGCGGAGAGCCGGCTCACTGCTCGGACGTGCGTTGAGATGCCTCGATAGCCCGCGTCACATGGCACCCCGCAGCCCAATTTCCTCGCTGACCCTCTCTTGCCATCACGCAGAGCCCCTGCGATACTTGCGCAGGCGGGAAACTTGAATGCGGAGACTGCAAGCACTGTCAGAGTCCCGTGAGTGCTCGTGATGTGCATCAGGAGGTCTCGTGTGCTGATGCCTGTCTGCCGCAACACCAGCCCGCCATTCGTGCGCTCGACGCCTCAATCGGTGCAGACATCCTCATGGTGAACTGATTGCGACTGGTATTAGTGCCTGCGTCGACTGAATCACCCGGCTCGTAACATCCCCCTCCGGCTCAACAAGCGCGACTTCTGCAACGGCTGCTCCTGCAGTACTGCCTCGGATTGCCCGCCTGAATGCTGTCCCTGATGCAACCGCTGACGCGGTCAGTGTGTAAGGGAGGCCAGTGTTTCGCCGTCTCAAAACTCAGAAATACGCTCGCCTTCAATATCATTCATCTCGACGTGCTCTGCTTCTCACGAAAGCCCTCTGGGTTAAGTGAATTGGCTGTTCGCGTGATGAGACCTGTTCAGTGTACACGCCGCCGCAGCCTCCTGGCGTCACAATTCACGGCGGCCGACAGACAAGAGTTGATGCCCTTGCGCGTTTGCTGCCCATCTCGAGTGGGCAGCAACCGCAAATGACGACTTTTTCGTCAGTGTACCGCCGCCCGCACGAAAACCTGGTGTGGGACGAGAGCAAGCAGCAGACTGTTATGTGAAGCATGTCGATTGAAAACGATAAAGTGTAAGGAGAGGATGCCGAAAGAAGTAGATATTCGAATCAAGAGGCCAGACAGGGTTACGGAAGCGGTTTGGCACAAGCTAGACTGGCCCAATCTCTCCTCAAACGAGGCGCAACGAGGCATTTGGGCCTTCGCCTATTCGTCCTTGACAATAGACCGTCGCCCCCAACCGAACCATTTCTTGAGTCTGGACCAGAACGTGTGCGTGGACGAAGTCGGCGACGACGTCGATGAAGAGGAGGTCGGCGAGTGGCTCGGATGAACGTTGTAGGCCGTCTCAGAACTGCTTATAGTGTTGGGACCGTGAGCGACTCCGCTGCCCGATGAGTGGCTCGGACTCGACTGGTACGACCCTCCAGGCGAGCGATTGGCATCGACAGGACCATGATTGGACCCACTTGAGGACGCTGGTGAGGGAGGAGCGTCGCCGCCGTGCATGGGCTCTCGTGCCTTAACTAGGCCCCCCACGTCGTCATCCTTCGCAATTGATCGTCGCCCCCAACCGAGAAAGCTCCTGAGCACTGACCAGAAGGATCCATTGTGCGATGCTGACGACGATGGTTGAGGAGCCAAGCCTGGCGGGTGCGCTGCGGCCGACGATGACCCTGTCGAGTGGCCTGGACTGGCATTATTGACAGACTCAGCTTCTGAATTGCTTACAATGCTGGCACCGTGAGGAGGGGCATCTGAGGAATGGCCCGAATGCGACTCGTAGGATCCTCCAGGTGAGCGATTGGCATCGATTGGACCATCGTTGGAGCTGGCTGAGCCCACAGACGCCCCAGGCGAGCCGGGAGCGGCGGGAGAAGCGTGGCCACTGTTCATGGGAGCTCGCGCCTGAAGCAACGAGCCCTCCTCGTCCATCCCGTGAATGATAGCCCGTCGCCTGAAACCAAGGAAGCTCCTGAGTCTTGACCAGAAAGATTTAGTAGTCGCAGACGATGATCGAGAGGGAGCAGAGCCTTGCGGGCGCGTGCTGCCCGACGCAGCTGACGAAGACGACGAAGAGGCTGCCGAGTGGCTTGGAGTCCTGTTGAGTGACCCAGATGGAGAATTGGAGCCATGTCGGCCGCCTGGAGAATGATCCGGGCTTGAGTGGAAGGATCCCGCAGGCGAGCGATTTGGATCGACGGGACCGTGATTGGATCCAGCCGAGGATGCTGGCGAGGGAGGTGCATTGACGAGGGCAGGTAGGGCGGGTGGAGCAGGGCCGCCTTGCATGGGCTTTCGACTTGCCAGCAGGGAGCCACCCACGTCATCGTCCTTGGCAATGAACCGTCGCCTCCAATTGCTGAAGAAGCTCCTGATTCTCGACCAAAAGGATCTGCTCCTCGACGTTGACGACCGGGAGGGCGGCTGTGTGGCGATCGACGCAGCTGCCGAGGACGAGGAGGAAGCTGTCGAGTGGCTTGAACTCGCGTTGCTCACGGACCCAGATGCAGAAGAGGAACTGCGGCTGCTGCCAGAGGAATCGCCCGAGCTCGACTCAAAGGATCCTGTAGGCGAGCGATTCGGATCGACAGGCCCATGATTGGACCCAGCTGAAGACGCTGGCGAGGGAGGTGCATCGACTAGGGGAGGAAGGCCGTCCATGGGTGTTCGAGCTACCAGCGAGAAGCCCCCCACAGTGTCGTCTTTGACAGTTGAACGTCGCCCCCAACCAAAGAACTTCTTGATTCCTGTCCACACGGCTGCTGGTCGAGGAAGTTTGAAGCCTGGTCGGCGATCAGCGGACGACGCAGCTGTTGAAGCCGATGAAGGTGTTCGCGAATGACCTGGTTTGTTGACCGAACCAGAGTCAGAATGGCTCACTGTGTTGGGACCGTGAGGGCCTGCGGCGACTACCGAAGCCGAGCCCGACACGTAAGAGCTTCCAGACGAGCGATCGGATGCGTAGGGACCAGAATTCGAGCTGCCTGAGCCCAGAGACGACGCAGCCGGGCCCCATGAGCCTACCGGACTCCATCCCCCCGAGCCCGTACAGGCAGCATACTCGGGACAACTGACGGAAGGCGTGGCGGGGCGTTGGAACATGGGCACTCGTCCCTCAAGCCATAAGCTCTCCACGTCCGAGTCATTGACCATAGATCGTCGACCCCAACCAAGCAATTTACCGAGTCTTGACCAGTAGGAACTCGTGTTCGACGGCGTCGAAGACGGCGATCGAGAGGGTGGAAAGCCTGCTGGTGGCGTGGCGGTCGACGACGATGATGCCGTGGATGAGGACGACGACGATCGCGAGGGAGATGACGCTCGAGAAGGGGATGGCTTTCGGAAGGGCGCAGGGCTTGGTGGGTGTGCGCCGGCGGACGTTGCCGAAGAAGAGGGTGAGGATGGTGGCGAGGCAGGAGGAGTAAAGCCGGGCGGATGTGAGGCGGCCGACGCTGCCGATGAAGAAGATGAGAGTGGCGGCGAGGCAGGGGGAGCCAAACCAGTTGGATGTGAGCCGCCTGACGTTGCCGATGAAGAGGCTGAGGTCGACGGCGATGCTGGAGGAGTAAAGCCTGGTGGATGTGAGGCGGCCGAACCAGCTGATGAAGAGGACGAGGGGTTCACCGGGTGGGCTGGAGGAGCCCAGGCTATCGGGATGGCTGGTATTGGTCTAGGTTCAGAACCGTTCGCCACGTTGGGACCGCGAGCGACTCCAGCGCGAGAGCCCGACACCAGCTCGGAGGGCTCTGCAGGCAAGCGATCAGGATCCATCGTACCATAGCTCGAGCTGCCCGAGCCCGCAGACTTCGAAGGTGAGCCCTGAGCGGAGCCCCGCGCAGCGACGGGAGGCGTGGCAGGAACTTGATACATGGACTCTGAAGATGCCGGCGTCGCCTGCTTCTGGTCCCGACGAGATAACGACGCCTGCCGTGGCCTCAGACCAAGGATTCTCCTGAACTTCGCCCAGAACTGTGACGGTCGAATAGGGGCCGATGGGCCGCCTAAGGGACGGGGAGGCGGACTTGCGTCGTAGGACCCCCCAGGGGAGCGATTGGGATCGATCGGGCCGGTATTGGAGCCAGCCGAGGACGCTGGCGAGGGAGCATTGATCACGACGGGATCGGCGGGAGCGGCAGCAGCAGGAGCACCAGCAGGAGCACCAGCAGCAGGAGCGGCAGGAGCGGCAGGAGCGGCAGGAGCAGCCGCAGGAGCGGGGGGCCGGACGTCGCCGCCAGCGTGGCCGCCGCGCATGGGCTCTCTAACGACGAGCGTCTCTTGGTTGTGTTCTCGATCAGAAAACGCCTTCCGTGGCCTCAAGCCGAGAATTCTCCTGAATTTTGCCCAGAACTGTGACGGTCGAATTGGATTCGGGGCTGGCGGGCGGGGAGGAGAAACGCTCGCAGTGTTGGGACCTTGAGGACCTGCGGCAACTGGAGAAGATGGGCCCGAGTGATAAGATCCTCCCGGCGAGCGACTCGGATCGATTGGGCCATTGTTGGAGCCGGCCGAAGATGCTGGCGAGGCAGGTGCATTGGGATTGACTGCGGCAGGAGCAGGGGCGGCAGGAGCAACAGGAGGAGGGAGAGGGGGTCGAGCGGCGGCGCCAGCGTGGCCGCCGCGCATAGGCTCTCGAGCTGCAAGGGCCGCTTGGCTGCGGTGCAGATACTTTGACGGTGCCTGTGAAGGCTGTCCCCTTGGCACCGGCCGCTTCTTTCGACCCTGGACGAGCTTCTTGAGAACGATGATCAAGGAATTGGTACTGCTCGTCGGAGCGTTATGCGAACCACCAGATCCACGTCCGTTACCACCTTCCTGAGGCGGCTGAGCGGATGGTCCGGAGCTGGCGCTAGCGTGATTGGAACCCGGGACGTGGGCCGCAGCAGCCGAGGAGCTTGAGCCGCTGTCGCCGGAATGGAAGGATCCGCCAGGCGACCGATTTGGATCGATAGGCCCGTTGTTGGAGCCAGTCGAGGAAGCTGGCGAGGCCGGCAAGGGAGGATTGGCTGCGGCAGGAGCGGCTTGAGGAGGATTGTCGCCCTGCATGGGTTGACGAGCTGCGAGCGTCTGCCTGAACTCCCGATATGTCATGAATGGGTGCGAAAGCTCCTCTTGTGGCGCTCCTCGCTTCCTCCCGCCCTTGAGAATTTTCTTGAGACGCTTTGCTCCGCTCGCGAAGAGATTACTGAGGTTCTCGCGGGAGAAGGTGCTCATCGGAACACTGGACGAGCCATGCGATCCTCGACCACTGCTCCGGTGAGACGATGGACCCTTGGAGCTAGAGCTAGCATGGTTGGCTTCCAGATTCTGCAACGAGTAGGTGCTCATCGGAATACTGGATGGACCACCGGACCCTCGCCCGCCACTCGCTCCCGAAGGAGGCTGACCAGATGCCCCGGAGCTAGTGCTAGCACGATTTGATCCCGAGTCGAGGTACGCAGGCAAGGAGCCTGAGCCGCTGTCACTCGAACGGAAAGACCCGCCTGGCGAGCGATTCGGATCGATGGGTCCATTGTTGGAGCCGGCTGAGGACGCTGGCGAGGGAGGATGGACTACGGCAGGAGGAGCGTGCTCACCGTCCATTGGCTCTCGAGCCTCGATCATCGACACGACTCTTCCCTGCGCGCTCGTAATTGAACGTCGTCCGCCTCCGGGTCCTCGCCCTCGTCCTCTGCCTCGTCCTCCATGTCCACTGCCTCCTGACAGCCAACTCGTGACGCGTGACCACCAGGATCCAGACTGCAGGGGCCCGTTGGGGCTCCCAAGGCGCGGGTTGCTCCCTGGGCTAGACGGGGGTGACGCAGGCGGCGTCGTTCTCGCTGGGCTTGGCGCCGATGAGACCGTGGTGCCTGAGCCGCCCATGGCGGGGGAAGAGGCATACGAGCCAGCAGGAGAGCGGTGAGGGTCGATTGGGCCACCATTCGAGGCGTGAGAAGACCCCGGCGACGCTGGCGGCGAGTGGTGAGCTGGCGCGGGCGCCGCAGGGGCGTGATTCTGAGCTGCAGGAGCGCCGCTGACGTGGCCGTTGCTGAGGTTGTCACTGTTCTCCATCGGCTCTCGAGCCACGAACATCGACGGGTACGCGTGGCTGCCGTGCGCGTCCGTCAATGAGCGTCGTCGCCCTCCTCGGCCCCGGCCTCTGCCCCGTGCTGCGCCACCGGACATCCAACTTCTAACGAGTGACCACCAGGATCCAGACGTCAGGCGACTCACGCCGCTCCTGTGACCAGACCCCAAAGATGAACCAGACGACGTCGTGCTGGCAGGGTTTGGGGCCGAAGAGACTGTCGTACCTGATCCGCCCATGGCGCTGCTGGATGAGACGTACGATCCAGCAGGGGACCGGTTGGGGTCAATCGGACCAGCGTTCGAACTGCCAGAAGACGCCGGCGAGGCTGGAGGCGAAGCTGCGGGTGAGGCTGGGGGTGATGCGGCAGGTGAGACGGGGGGCGACGCTGAGGGCGCATTGTGGGCTGCCGCGGGTGCCGCAGCAGGAGCATTGTTCTGAGCTCCTGCAGGCGGGACATAGTTGTTGACGCTACCACTGTTCTGCATGGGCATTCGTGCCTGTAGCATTGAAAAGTAGGCGAGTTCGCTTTCGCTCTGCGGCGTGGTCACTGAGCGTTGGCCCCTTCCTCGCCCTCTTCCCCGCCCCCTCTGCGCTGCGTCACGCGACAACCAGCTTGCGATGCGTGACCACCAGGATCCAGACGAGAAACGGCCCACGTTGCTCGCGGGGCTAGATCCAGGTGATCCAGACGGCGTCGAGCTAGCAACGCTCGGGGTGGCAGATAACGTGGTGCTTGAGCTGCTTGTGTACGAGGCATACGAGCCACCAGGAGAGCGATTGGGGTCGATTGGGCCATTGTTCGAGCCATGAGAAGACGGCGAAGCTGGGGCCACATTCGGGACCGCCGCGGGCGCTGCAGGCGGTGCAGCAGGAGCGATGTTCTGAGGTGCGGGAAGGGCGTTGCCGTTGCCGCCGCTGCCACTGTTTTCCATAGGCTCTCGGGTCGCGAGCGTGGCGTCGAGGCTACCCAGCCTGGAAGGCAGCGTCGAGTGCGAGGGCGAGCCTGTGGTAGAGTCAGGGGCGGAATGAGACACGGGCTGCGTCGTCGCATCACGGCTGTCTTTGCTAGTCTCTTGGGCAACAAACATCCTCTCGAGGGCAGTAGGAGACCACCTGCTGTCTGCAGAGCTCGTCACTGTTATCGCTTCAGCAACTACATCCTCGAGCTGCTGCTCGCCATCGCCGCGAGTCTGAGGGTGATTCATGGTGGTCATATGGTCGTTGAGAGCTGCTAGCGGGGCATCGCTGAGAGGTGCAGCCCGCTCTCGACCATAGCAGGCCGACGCCGTGCAAAGGACCGGATCGACGGGGCGAGAGACAGGGGCAGCTTGAGCTTGAAAGAGTGTGGCGAGGCAGAACATTGTCGTGCCTGTGATGAGGAGGAAGCGTATCATGGAAATGAGGCGGCTTGTGTCTGCACTTGAAGTCATGTGCCGTGTAGTTCTGGGATGGCGGATGTGTGAGAGTAGAGAGCGGTGGGTGCGGAGCCTACCAGAGGTCATCATGGAGGGAGGCAGAGGGGAGAATGGGGGCGTCACGAGGACCAGCTCGATGAGAGAGGGGCGCTACGAGGTCCAGCTCGGTAGAGGGTTGAGAATGGTTCGAGAGCCAGCTCGAGAGTGATCGGATGGAAGAGTTGATTGGGGAAAGAATGTCAGGCCGACCACAAGCCTCTCTACTTGTATCTTTCCCCTCGTCTGGTACCGCCTGCTCTGCTGCTGCCCATCACGAACCGGCGAGACCTTTTCGCTTGGCTTGTAGTTTACTATTGCGCGAGGGACGAGGGAGGGAACGTTATCCTGTTTGCGAGAGCACCATCCCTTCGAGCGCAACGATCAGCTTGGCAATGGCGGACCAACCTGACCAGACGAGCGGCGAGCTTGCTCTGGTGGAGAGGAAGAACGTTACCCTTGGCCGGCTTGCAAAGATATCACGCTTTTATTGCGGGTCTCAGTCGCGGCCCTGCCTCCGAAGACGCTCCGTATCTGATTTTGGCGGGGAGGTTCTAGCGGGTAGTTGTCGGCGGAGGGTCACCACCCTCGTCTTGCCTCTTGGCCCGGCCCTTGGCCCGGCCCATATTTGATCGCCACCAAGCTGTGGTGGCCTCAATCTTCGTGCGCCAGGGAGGCCGCCTGCCGCTCAACGCCACAATGACATCCATGGCTTGTTTGATCTTGCGACCCTCGATCTGAGGAAGCAAAAAGCATCATCGCAATCGCACGGCGATACTACGATGCTGTGGGTCATTGGTGCGCATGAGGCTCGTTGGTAACGCCGAACGTGAACGTGCGCACTGGAGGCTCAATGTCTCAGTGCTCGCTATGTTATTGTGTGCCTGGGTCTGGCAAAGGGCGAGCTGAGCGTGAGTGCATGCAGCAATGTCCACCAACCTCCCGTGAACGATGACGCTGTTCACGTCGAATCCTCGCCGAGAGGCGAATGTAGAGATGCAATTCGAGCGGTGCCTCGTATTGAGATGAATGGCTGATTTGCTGGTACGGTCTTGTTCAGCTAAATGAAGACAAAGGAAGGCATCATTGCGTGTCGTAGGAAGCACGAGACGAAACAGCGCCGAGGATCAGAACAGACTAGGAGACGGAACCACAAAGCCACGTGGCACCCGACTGCCGCCTCGAAAAGGGCCCGTTGACCTACGGTACCGTAGCGGCCGGCCCGGTTGGACGGGCCGTCGACAAGAACAACGACTCGGCGTAGACATCGTAAAATATCGACTCGGGCCGCAGGGTTGAGCACAAAGCAGCATGAAACTGGCAGTGCCGGGAGGGCCAAGGGCGACGGCTCGGAGTCATCCAGCCGTACCGCCGTCACCGTGTCGCCCCCTCCGTTGCTGCCTTCGCCCCGCCGCCCTCATATAGCAGTCGTGGCGCCGCTGCTTCAACGTCGTATCGCACATATCGTTTCCCACCATCAAGACCGCATCTTGCACGATCAACGACTGCAATTCCACTGATCGCGATGCTCGTTATCACCCCGCCCGCCACCTCGGCTACTTTGGCCCTTGTGGTGGCCTCCATCGCCACGGCCCTCGCCCTCTTCGTGAGCCCGGCCACCGCCAGCGCGATGCAGGATGGAGGAGTCACCAATTACAAGGCGACCATGCCGGGCCTCTCGCCTAGATGCAAGGCCGCTCTCTCCAAAGTCTATCATGACAAGGAATTGACGCGCTGCATGAGTGAGTGGGGGAAGAGAGCACAGTGTGGCTGAGAGTCTACGCTGAGCTGTCTGCCTTTTTATCGCTGCTAGATTTCAACGGCCAGAACAATTTCACCCATCTGTCAGTCATGAGTGCAATCGTACCGTTGCACATATGTTTGCGCTGACCCCAACGCCTCGATCGCGCAGCTTTTTCGACAATCCTGCCAACGCCAGCGTCGTCAACAATGCGGCTATCTTTGCGTCGACCGTAAGTGCCTGACTTTTTGCTCGTCGTCATCGCCTTCTTGACACCTCCTTTCGCGCTTGTGACCTCAGACGGTCTGCAAGCGCCCCGCCTGCGCCGAGAAGGCGCTTTCTACGAATTTGCACTCTCTCACCACTTCGTGCAGCAAACACGATCTCGAGCAGGAGAAGAGTCCCGCGGGCTTCATCTCTTCCATCCTCAGCTCTTATGTCGGACTGCGTAACGAGGCTTGCCTCGTCAACATGACTGCCTTTGCCCACTCGCCCGGTTCCATCGAGGGCCACCCACTCTGCTTCGCTCAGCTCCTTCACGGCATCGAGCAGACTAAAGGCGTCAATATGGACCTACCAAACCTCTCGCTACTACTGCGCCAGGACCGATCACTCTTGTCCAAGATCTTCAGGAAGCCTGAAAGCGATGTCAATCGCCACTTTCAGCTCGCGGCCTTCTGCACCGACTGCCTTAAGGCGTCGTACAGCCTCGTCGCACACATCAAGGGGAGCAAGACCAAGGACGATTTGGTCAAGACGGCAAACGATCTCTGTGGCCCCAACTTCCTCAGCGACAAGTCCGCCTTCCCAAAGACGGTAAAGCAGGCTGCGCCCAAGTCACGGCCTGAGCCGGGGGAGTAGCGCTCGCCCCAAAGTGAGAAGTATCGAAGGCGCCGCCCTCTCAGTTCAGGTCAATGCGACGACCAGAATTTTGAAGGTCTGGCCAACACCCTTCTGTCACACACCAGTCTCGATGTCATCCTTCTGCTAAACGAATACGAACATGTCCTAGCCATCCTTATCTCTGACCTATGCTGCTATACTGGCGGCAACAAAGCGAGATGATGCAATCGTTGCTTCTCACATACTCGTGCCTGCGATATCGATTCATCGCTCTTATACAAGACGGCAAGATGTGAGCTCCATCTTTCGCCGTCATACGATATAAAGCGGCGAGATAGAAGAGACTTCATGTGAACAGCCGCGATAAGGCAGAGTACAAAAGCTAGCCTGCCGCCGCGTCCAACCTTTTCTCCAACATACCACCCTTCTCAAACAACATGCGAGCCGATTTTCTAGCCCTGTTCCCAGCTCTGCTGACCCTCACGGCAACGACCATCATAGCGATGCCCGCCGGTGTGAGTCCCTACAATACCATCACATCTCTTGCACCCCATGCATGCTCACTTGCGCCTCGATCCCACCTCGCAGATCAACGAGCTGATGGGACGTAGCCAAATTGAGCCGCTGTGTGCCGACTGCGCCTGCTCTTATACGTGGTGCCATGGATGTCCTGGTTGCCATCATACCGAGGTGCGTCTCGCAGCTACAGTTTCATGACCCAGTAGGGCAAATTGCTGACCTCGTTGTGCTGTTTGCCCCTCACCATGCCAGCGAATGTTCGAGGTAGAGAGCGAGCTCGCCGAGTAGGGGGATGGTGGGGGGAGGACGAAGAAGGGCAAGCTGGTCTTGTCTACTTTCAGTATACGTCTGCGCTTGAAGAAGAAAGGGAAAAAGATGGCTGTCCAAGAATGAATCGAGATTTTTTGTTAGCACCAGGACGAGAGCGAGACTGAGACTTGAGAACAAAGCAATCCCTTCCAATGATCAGCGAGAGAGCAAACGAGCAAGCGAGCAGCCCGACGCCTACGAGCCAGCGCCGGCGCCTTGTTGCCTCCTAGCCCTTGATCAGAACGCATCCTCTTCTTCCTCCCTGTAACCGGGCAAGCTCGTCAACGCCGTCTGCACCGCCAACGCCGCCTCAGCGAGCGCCCTAGCGCAGCTTCCACAATCAATCTGGCTGAGCTCGATGGCGAGATATTTCAAGCAGTCATTCGGCTCAGGCGGTCGTTTTCCCCCGTCCCTGCCCGTCGACCTAGGCCAAGTCAGGCGCTTCTTGAGCCTCTGCCACGGACCAACTGCGCAGACTCCGCCAGTCTGGTAGCACTGGTCCGAGAGCTCCTTGGGGTCGATGGCGAGGTTGTTGAGCACGTCCTGATAAAAGGCCTGACGCTTCGCATGAAAGGCGGAGAGCTTTTGGAAGTTTTGGAATCCAATGAGATCGAAAATGATGGGGGGTAGCTTGAAGAGGTCGTACCTCACGGAACGCTCGGCTGCGGCTTCCTCGAGTGCGTGAAGCTTGTACTGCACACTGACGGCGAAGGCCATGAAGGGGGAGAGGGCACCGAGCTGCTCCTGCTCCGTGAAGTAGGCGGCAGCGATCTCCTTTGCGCGGGCGCAGTCGTACTTCTGGGCTGCGCGGGCCATGCGGAGGACTACTTGCCAGTCGGACATGGTGAGTGGTGGGGCCGGGCGGTTGTACATCAGGCCGAAGAGGAGCTTCAGCGTTGCGGCATCTTCTTCGAGAACGACCTCGGGGCGAGGCGTGTTGGGATCGTCGTCGTCTTCCGTGTCGACCCTACGCCGGCGGAGTGAGAAGCAGAGCGTCAGTGAGTGTGTAGCAAGGCCCCTTCGGCTGCGCGCACGTACATCTCAGAGAGCACAGCTGAGTGCACATTCAGATTGACCTCGTGAATCCTAAACTTGGTCACAGGCTGCCTCGAAGCGCCGCGCCCAGACTCGCTGGAGAGGAAGACAATCTCAGCACTGTCAGAGTTGAAGTCGGCGGCGATAGCGATTGGGTCTCCTCCACCTTGGCCGTGCTGCTGAAGGGCAGACTCGTCGGTCATCTCGAGGGAGGAGGCATTGTTCGTGCCCATGGTGCCGGAGCGTTCGGCGTTGGAGCTAGACATGTTGTCGTGGGGGGACTGGGATTGCTGGCCGTAGCTCGAGACCTGCTGACTGCCGCCGTACGATTGCTGCTGCTGCTGCTGCTGCTGACCGCCACCGCCATAGCTAGACTGCTGGTTCCCACCGCCGTACGAGGATTGCTGATTATTGCCCTGCTGTGGGTGATTCTGGCCCTGCTGCTGGCCCTGCTGCTGGCCGTACCCGCCCGAGCTTTGCTGCTGTTGGCTCTCCTGCTGACCGTAACCTCGGTCTTGTTGTTTGCCTAGAGGTGGAAAATCATCCCTCTGATTGACATTGGACGAGGCGATAGATGTCCCGCCTCCAAAGGTCGAGATGGAGGCGCGTTCGGCCTCATCGTTGTTGATGCTGCCAAAGCGGGAGCCAGTGGAGGCGGTAAAGCCGGAGCTGTGTGCGTGACGAGGGTAAGAAGACAGTTCAGTACGCTGCGCCGTCAATTATGACATGCCACGCTGCTCACGCCTCGGATCGAGCGCCGCCTCCGCCGCCGCCATTGCCATTGCCAGCGGTGCCCCCGCCCCCAGTACCGTAGGACGACTGGGTGGAGCCATAGTCAGCGTTGCCACCGCCGCTGCCACTGTTCCCACCGCTGATGCTGGTAGTCTGTTGGACAGGAGACGAATCATACCCGCTCGAGGTGTTGTTGTTGTTGTTATGGCTGGTGGAATTGTTGTTTGAGGAGGTGCCTCGACCAAAGAAGCCTGCCATTGCTGGTAGACTGGTGGGTGGGCAAGAGATTGTTATGAGATGAGGGAGCGAAGCGTAAGCACGAGGAGTGGTATCATTCTTTATATCAGAGGGTGAGCTCGCACCGCGTTCCTCCAATCGCTCGATATGTCAAGAGCTCGTCGCCATCTTGAGCCCTGCTTCTGTGCCTGCAAGGCTTGTCCTAGCGACGCTGCGATGCGTCATTGCAAGGAGGCTCGAGTGTCGTTGCGGGAGGCTCGATCGCGACGGGGACGAGAATGGCGGCAACAGGCGAGGCCACAGCCAGGGTCGCGATGGCGCTACCGCCGCAGACGCTCGGACCCCTCATCGACGTCGTGATGCTCGTCGCCGTGCTGATGGACCAAGGGGGACAGCGCAAGAACCACGTGTTGCTCAAAGCGGTCAGTCCAACTCACTAGCACTGCTGGGCGCTCACCAAGGGTCTACAAGAAGATCATATTAGCACGTCCCGCACGCACTTCTACTCCTTTACCGGGGCGTCCCCCTCCTGAAACTTGATCGAGACAGAGTTGACGCAATGCCTCTCATCAGTGGGCGTATCGAAGCCCTCTCCCTCAAACACATGTCCCTGATGTCCACCGCACCCGCTGCACGTAATTTCAATCCTCTTCATCCCAAACGTTCGGTCCACATGCCTGTCAATTGCGCCAGGGATAGCGTCAAAGAAAGCTGGCCAGCCACAGCCGCTCTTGAATTTGTGCGAAGCCTTGTAGAGGGGCTGGGAGCAGCCGGCGCATGCGTACACGCCTGAAGACGGATAATGGCGGTCGTACTCCCCACTGCCGGCCATTTCGGTACCTTTTTTGCGGAGGATGCGGAACTGCGGGTGACGAGGCGAGTATGGGACAGACGTGATGATGTGAGCGCTGAGTGTATAATGACAACAAATTCATCGAGGTCGACTCACCTGCTCTGGGCTGAGCTGCGCACGCCACTGCTCCTCGCTCTGCCCGCGAGGGAAGTTGGCGGCTGTCGACGAGTTGGAACCCATGGCTAGGTGGCGAGTCGAGGACGAGAAGTGGGTGTGGTTGCCGAGAGCCAGTTGTGGCGTCGTGCGAGCGAGGGCGGTGGACGCGGATGGAGCAGCGCTGTTGCTGAGGATGGTCGCGAGGGGAGTAAGAGAGGCGATGAGGCTACGTCGATTGGCTATGAGGAGCATGCGGCGTTGCCAAAAGTGGTGGTGAGAGGGAAGGACAGGATGAAGTGATCGTGCGACATCGAAATCATTGCTGCTCAGCGTCGCAACTCGAGCTGCACGCACGCACGCCCACTCGCCCGACCGCCGGCATTTGGTCAGACTGCAACGCCACGCTGAGCTATTCCGCGCCTCCACCAGCCAAAGTTGCGGGTGCTGACTAAGCCGCACAGAATAGCGTTCTACAGCGACTTCGATGATTCAAGATGTGACATTGCGAGAAATGGCCCTCCGTGAGGCACAAAGATGACTGAGATAGATAGCAGAAGTCGAAGGCATCAAAACTCGAGAGAGGATGGACACGAAGCGAGAGTAGGGGCGAGGCATGCCTGCAGCCCTGCAAGTACGGGGTGGAGGGTTCGGGTGTGATACATGAGAGAGAACGAGTCCAGGGGGGAGTGGAAAGTACGAGTCGTGTACGTCTTGTCGAGTGTCCATGCTGTGGTCTGATTGCGCCTGTGCGCTCGCTTTACGCCTCGTCATCTGGGTTTGCCACAAACAGCTGGCCCCTCGGCACCAGCCCATGACTGCGCTCCCCTTGCTGCTTCTTCGACGTCGTCTTCCTCCTCGCCGCGGGTGGGGGTGGCTGCAGCGCCGTGTCAGTTGTCGGTGATGGGGCAGGCTGCTCTCCCTTTGCGCGGGCAGCCTCAATCGCCTTGACACGGTCGCGCACCTTGCCGGCCCCAAACTCATTGAGATGCATGTTCGGGCTAGCCTTGACGGCTTTGCGTACGGGGCTGGTGAGCTCGGAATTGGCGCGTGCACGCTTCGTCGTGGCGGGGGTGATGGACGGCACGTCCGAGGCGTTGGCGTTACGACGCGGTGCTGCCGTGGCGCGCAAAGCGTGATCATGCGCTTCGTCCAGCTGCGCAACAATGTCCATCGATGTGTCGGCCGGGTTCAGGGTGACGTCGTGCTCGTCGCTGTCTGGGCGAGGTGATGAGTCCGCGTTGGAACTCGCAGGGGTGAGGAGCCATGCCGTCGAGTCGCTCGCGGGAAGAGGCGTGCTGCCATCGCCGTGCTGCCAGTCTGAAGGTCCACCCCAGATGACCTCCCCTGGAGTTTCCTCCTCTGGCTCCTCCTGTACCATCTCCTCCCCACCCTCATCACGCATGACCGCCTCTTCCGAGACCGAACCCATGCGACTCGCCCCACCCAGCGATCCCTGCTCTGATGGTCTCCCACCTCTCCTCCTCTGGTGCCTGCCCCACGAGCTGCTAGACAGTGAGCTCTTGGTACTCTGCGTCCGCCTACTGCTGCCCGTGCGCGTACGCTGAATTACGTCCATCCCCTGCAATCTCTGCTCGAGGTGCGACGAGCCCACTGAGCTCTGCAGTGACGTCAATGACTGGTTGCTCTGCTGCTGTCCATTCGCCAATGCCAGGCCATCCGCAGGGTGTGCAAAGGGGTTGGAGGGATCCTCCTCGCTCGGTTCAGCAGAGCGGGGCGACTCGCGAATAACGCTCAGTCCGATATCGCTGGGTGGTCTTGCGGGATCACGAATGGGCTCGCCAGCTCCAGGAGCCACGAGTGTCCTGCCTGAGGCTGAGCGCTCCAGGTTTCCCATGAAGCGGGACCACCAGGTCGGGGAACGTCGCATCATCGACCCCGAGGTGTCGCTGATTCCGGGTCCTAGCGGGCCCCAGGCTGGATTGGAGCCGCCCAGACCGCTCAGCATTGAGCTGCCGCGGCTGAGCGCACTGCCTGGCTGTCGAGCATCAGAAAATGACGTGAGAGGAGCGGTAGAGCGCGAGGAGTGCGTCTGTGAAGAAGAGGTGTACCCGGGCGTGTTGGAGGCGCCAGAGGTATTGTGCGAGTTCTGTGAGGAAGCTGTGGGTGTCTCGCGATCCTCAAAGGGAGAGACGGCGTAGTCACCGTCGAGCTCATCATCGTAGCTTCCCCTGCCTACGTCGCCGTAATGTTGATCGGCTTCCTCCCTTATAGAGTATGGGTCACGTTCCATCCCGTCCTCCTCATCAGCCAGCATATCGAAGCGCGTCTGGCCGTGAGGTGCAGCGCCCCACGATGTCAAACCAGTCAGCAATGCGAGGCGTTGTCGCATGTGCGGTCCTGACCCTTCCTTTGCGTGGTTTGTGCTGCCTACATTCCCTGCCGTCCAAGCAGGATTGCCGTGCTCGTCGGGCTGATCACGCATGGCACGAGGGCCTGCGGGGCGAGCTGGAGCAGCAAAGGGATACCAACCGCCGCCTGCGCCGCCAGGTATCTTCTCTGTGAATGTGTCCCCACCCTCCTCCTCGTCTCGCCCGCCCATCGCTGCACCGCCAGCGAGAAGGCCCGCCCCGCCTTGCCCGCCGTAGACGCTGCGGTACTTGACGTCTTGATGGCGCTGATAGAGGAAGTAGCCTGCGGCGACTACGAGACCGCATCCCACGAGGGCGCCAATGGCTGCTCCGGCCTTGGTTGCCTTCGAAGTGCCATCCGCTGATCCTGGACTCGCGTTGCTGCCCGTCGAGCCAGGCTGGAAGGGGGAGGGTTCGGATGACGACGAGGGAGAAGAGCCGTCTGTGCTCGAGCCAGCGTCTGAGGATGAGGAGCCATTGGATGAGGAAGACCCACCCGACGACGTGCTCGCGCCGTTTCCTCCGCTGTTGTTTGCCCCAGACGACGACGTTGAGGATCCTGAGGAAGAGGTCGGCGAAGATGACGCCGAAATTTTGGGATCTACGCTGTACGATTGAGCCCAACTGCCGCCGGTCCACGTCCCCTTTCCACTCGATCTTAGCGAAGTGCCATCGAAAATGTACAATCCCTGCTGCGCTGCATTGCCGCCGCTCCAGCCGCAGGTGATGGCGATGTTCCTGCCGTATGCGACAGCAGAATGTCCAAAGCGAGCGCCGGGGCCGCTACTCGAGCTGCCGTCATCGACACGCGACCACACCGGTGGGTCTATGGACCAGTCGAGGATCCATGCGTCACTCAGCGCTTCGGTCAGGCCCGCATCGCTTGCTCCGCCATGAATGAAGACCCGGCGGTCAGGCAGGCTTACGGCGATGTGATCTCGACGTGGTGCAGGCATGCTAGCCCCAGTCGTGACTTGTGTCACCCACTGTTTCGTCTTGGTGTCGAATGCAGCCACACTCGAGAAGCTCTGCAGCGTGGTGTTGGCGTCCTGACCGCCGAGAAGGAGGAGAGAGCCATCGCTGAGTAATGTCGTGGTGGCTCCAGCTAGAGAAGCGGGGGGAGCGGCAAGAGCGCTGAACGTCTGCGCTCCATCCGATGAGGAGTTGTACGACCATGCCTCTGCCAGGTAGATTCCCGACCCATCCGCCTTTTGCCCTCCTACCACCCACACGCCACCATTCCCGTCACTCTCCGCGCTCTGGTAGATTCTACGCATAGGTTGCCTGGCAAGCTGCGGCTGGGACCAGGTGACGGAGCTGTTGCCGACGAGCTGCAAGGTGTAGACCGAGTCGTTGCCGCTTGGCAGGGCGACAGTAGAGCCGCCATCTCCGCCGAAGAGGAGGACCTGGCGATGTGTGAGGGGAGCGAGAGACGCAAAGGCGACAGTGGGAGGGGCGACGGTGGTGCCATTGCTATTGTCATCGGCAATTGGCGATATGCTGGTCCAAGGGGGCGAGGAAACGGTAAAGGGCTGGCTGAGGTCGAGGCTGAAGAGGTCTGCGCTGTTGGGACCAGACGTATAAGAGTAGCCACTGCCCGTCTTGCCGCCATATACGAGGAAATGTGAGACGACTAAGGCGGATGATTGACCCCAGCGAGCGCCAGGTGATGTTGCAACCGGGGTTTGACCGGCTACGAGGCCTGCGAAGAGGGCGATGGCGATCGCGCCTGCCAAGGAGGCCACGCGGGCCATGCGTAGGGTGCTGCACGTGCTGTCGATGATGATGATGATGCTTGCTGTCGTAAATAGTCGTTGCGATATCGTTACGTGGTCGTCACAGAGTCATGAGGTGTCGTTGCGGGGATGTGAAGCGTTACAAGGTGAGCATACAGTCGCGCAGCAAGCGGGTTGACGCCTGCCGAAGTCGGCTCATGATCCTCCGTCGGCCGTCCGGTCAAGACCCCTGTATCTATCGTACTCACCTCTAGATCGAAATGACGGCTCCGAGTGCAGCTACGATGACATCTCTCCGTCGATTCGTTTGCGCACGTAGGGCTCGAGCGAATAGGGGCTGGGTGCAGGCCCGCTACTCTAAAACGCGCGAGGCGAGCCAGGCGTGGCGCAGAGTTGAGTGCAAGGTAAGGTAGATGGATGACGACAAGAGCGTGGATGATTCGTGAGCGCTGCCGATGGCTCACTGACGCTGGCAAAGGAATTGGTAGCAAAGGAAGAAGGTGAGAAAGTTGCGCTCAACGGCGGCGGTGGTGTTGGTCCGCGAGCCGGCGGTTGAGTGAATGTCCAGCCCAAGACCTACTCTACGCGTGTGGAGACGCGCCCAGTAGCCTGAGACTGGGGACCCGGTACCACCAGCGCCTGCTCATGACGAGTTTTCGATCTTCAAGGGACCAGGTTTGCTTCGAAGAGGTCTGAGCATGGTGAACACCCCCTCATAGGCAGCATCCATTTCACCCCATCGGCCCGCCCTTCCTTCCAAGGCAAGTGCCCCTTTTCTTCTGAGTGTTGGTTGCGTGAGGGGCCAAGCGGAAGAAGCAGCGGCGGCGACTGGCAGGCGGGCAGCGGCTAAGCTCGGTCCGCTCCTCGACTGGAAAGCGACGGACGGCATGCAGCCGTGCGCCAAATCCGCCTCCTGAATGACGGCACCACCGATGAGAGCCACAAACAGATTGACATGAGCGGCGATTTCGAGGCAGCGGCTCTTGCGACCTTGATACCATCTTCACCATCATCGGATGGAGCGAGAGATCTGACCTCTGCCACGACGTAACGACTTGCGACGATCACGACGAAGGAGACGCGAGCAATCAGGACGCCCAACACTTCCGCTCGCCGCTACGACCCCTGACGAACCAACGACGCACGACACGCTACGCTACGCACCCCGCGGCCCGCCCTCCTTTGGTCGCCAGGCCCCTGATACCTCGGACCCTTCGCCCAACTGCATCCTGCGCAACTACTAACGACTCAACCCCTTACCCTGCCTCCTCCCGGCGACATTCTCGAAGGTGAGCTCGGCGCTCGGCGTCAACCCCTTCACAGCAAGAGGGGGCTATATGCTCTATGCCGCCTCGTCGCTTTCACTTCTTCACGCCGCCTCGCTGACACTTTCTCTCTCTCCCTCCTCTTCTTCGTCGACCACCATGATCCCGCCAGCAGCTCCTCAAGAACTCGACAAGGCCCTCGACGCCCAGCCGCGTCCGCAGCTCCCTTCTGCCTTTTACCCTCTCGCAGCAGGCGCAAGACGACAGGACCCACCACCTCCTGCCGTAGAGGCCAACGTCAACGCCAAGCGTCCTCGCGAGCTTCGTCCAGCTAAGCCCAATCTACCGACCAAAAGGCGCCACCACCGTCACATCCCTGACGACTTCTTCAGCATGGACCGCTTCGACGTGGTTCGCTTCGAAGACCTCACAGGCCCAAATGGCGGCGAGTGGATCCGCATCGGTGGAGGATCATTCGGCGTCGTCTACAAGGGCGAGTATCTCGGAACTCCCGTCGCAATCAAGGAGGTTCTGCCTAACAACACGTACGACGTGGAGAAGTACTTTGAGAGGGAGTGCGTGCTGATGAAGGAGGCCCGACATCCCAACATCACACAATACATTGGTCTGACCAAGTCGCCTGGCCAAGACGGGCGCATCTACATCATCTCGGAGTTTGTGGGCGGGAACGTACGCTCGTACATTGCGGACAAGAGGAAGCCGTTTGGGTGGAGGCTGAGGATGAGCTTTGCGATGGATATCGCGAGGGCTCTGGCGTACTTGCACGCGAGAAACTGCATGCATCGCGACCTCAAAGGGGAGAACCTGCTGTGAGTACGACGTGAGAAGGGAAACCAGTCTACCCTCCCTTTCTAATGTCTGACCTTCCGACCTCTGCTGCTCCCTCGCCCAGTATCACGACCAACGACCGCATCAAGATCTGCGACTTTGGCTTTGCTCGCATCGCAGCCCGCAACGAAGAGGAGATGCGCCGCATTAGCTATTGCGGCACAGACGGCTACATGTCTCCCGAGATCCTACTTGGACTTGACTTCGGCTTGCCCTCCGACATCTTTTCGCTCGGCGTCATCTTCTGCGAAATCGCCTCGCGTCACCTCGTCGATAGCACGACATTCAAGCGCGAGATGCCGTCCTTTGGGCTGGACGAGGGTGAGGTGAGGGACATGGCCGACGAAGGATGCCCCGAGGGCTTCGTTCAGCTCTGCATCGACTGCGTCGAGGTGGAACAACAGGACCGGCCTGATATGCGAGAGGTGGTGAGGCGTTTGCGCGAGATTGAGATGGATGTCGTAGAGAGGGAGATGAGGGAGACGCAGGGCAGGACGCTGCGCTCAGTAGGCAGCGTGAGGGGCACAGCCGGTGGTAGTCGCCGACCAGGTGTCGGACCGCGCATGCCTAGCTTTGATGGACAGGTCAAGCCTTTGAGCCAAGCGCAAGAGCACGAGAGCATCGAAGGCGATGATGACGACGATGACGACGACGATGTGGAGCTGGAGTCGGCCCTCGCTCAGCTAGAGGCTGTCAGTTTTGAGAACGCCGAGCTCATCAAGAACATGGCTGCTATTTCAGACGAGGACACGATGAAGGTGTCTGGGCACGGCAATCCGTGGTGGCACGCCGACACGCGCAGTACGCTGCCTAGCATCCGCAATTCCTGGATAGCCCAGGCCACCAACGATGCAGAGGTGGGCCCACCCAAGAAGGCATCGTCCATCAGACCCTCGGCTTCACGTGTCGTGAGCGGCGACTCGGACTACTCGACGTCGGTGGTGCGCAAGAAGAAGGGCAGCGAGCTGAGCGTGCGAGCGAACGGTGAAGATGGCGAGGACGCTGGCGGCTCGACCTTGACGGTGCGGGCCAGCGACGACTCTCAAGAGCAGACTGCCGAGAGTCATGGCGAGGCGGTCGCTGGCAGCTTCCTTACAGCCAGCTCGCGCTTCAGCACCAACGGTCACAATCAAGAGCCTTCCCTCGCTGTTGCCACGGTCGCCTCCTCAATCTACAGTCCCGCTCCCCTCTACCATCGTTTCACGCTAGTCAAAAACGGTATCAAGCGGGTGCCCAGCCTCTCCAAGCTTCGCGGCGGTGATGCCAGCACCTCGTCCAATGGCACTGCAGCAGCCGTTCCTGCCGGCAGTTACGGCAGCGCGGCCCTCCTTCCCCCGGCAATCATGCTCGCCAACGCATTGGCAAAGTGCCACGTCTGCTCGCGCCGCATCGGCTGGAAGCCCTTCCTCGACTGTGATGATTGCACGTACAAGTGCCACGTCGGATGCGGGGAGTACGCGGAGCCTACCTGCCTGGAGATGGAGATCCCGGCTGCCGGCCACGAGCATGGGATCATCAGTGCCGTGCATGCCAACGGGCAACGGTCCGCCTCCTCCGGATCTACCGATTCGAATGGATCGAGCAAGCCTTCACCGCGAGCATCCCCCGCCAACGGAGGGCAAGCGGCCCATGCTCTCCGGCAAGCGGCAGCGGCTGCTCATGCTGCGTACTCTGCAGAGGGCGGGGAGGCCACCCCACCGCCTACTGCGCATTCGACGCTTAAGGGTCTGCCTGCGGGTAGGGGCCAGAATCAGCAAAGACGTGGAAGCCAGTCCCCATCTCCTGCTGCCAATGAAGAGCGCGACAAGGAGCGCAAGGTCAAGGGGCTGAAGCGATGGAGCGTCAAAGCTTCCCCGACGCGGGCCTAAGGCCGGACGCACACAGCCACGACTCAATCATACCCCAGCATTGCCCGCTTCTCCACGATGGACTCCCCCCTCCTCCAATAAAGGGCTCAGCTCTAGTCTGGCCCCGCGCACACCCTCATCATGGACTCTGTCTTTTCCTTTGCGCTTCTGGAATTGCTTCTCTATCATGCCCTCTTAATGTCAGCATTTTGCTTCTACGCATTGAGTGGTATCGTGTCGTGTCGTGTCGTGTCGTGATATCAGTTTGTATTGCGGCTTGGGCTTCACAGTCTGTCGTAGCACCGTCGCCTACTCCTCGTCAACGATTCTGTATCCCTTGACCTGCGGCGTGCGAGCAAGAGATGGGAGATTGATCAGCCATCGCACACACTACGAACGAATGCGCTTCCCGTCATCGCGCGCGTACCTTGGCGTCCTTCAACAGCTCCAGGTAGGTGTCAACAAGTGGCCTGCAGACGGCGTAATGGTTGACGCCCTCTGCTTTTTGACACTTTGAGATCTCAGCGGCTACCAGGCGGGCCTCGTATGTCTTGATCCATTGCTGGCGCATCTGCTCGTTGCGCGAGTCCATGCGGGCTGTGTGCGTGATGGCGAGGCGGAGGGTCAGTCGCACGCCCAATCTGCTGGCCTCTTTCGGCATTCCGCACCCACCCTTGAGCTCATCTGCGCTGGGGAGCTGCTCCATCTTGTATGCTGTCGGTGTTCAGGAGTTGATGGGTGTCAACGACGAGGCAATCTGTGAAGCCCTGTCCGCCAACGCCAAGTCGCTGACCCCGCCCCGCCCCGCCCCTCTTCCGTTCCGCTCCTCTCTGCCTCTTGCCCGCCTCCTCTGAAATGGGCGAGACCGCGAGTCAAGCTCGAGGAGTGAAAGAGCGGGCGGAGGACGCGGGCGGACGAGGACAGTGGCGCCATCTGCGAGAGGAAGCGGCAAAAGAGTTGGAAGTCGAGTCGAGTTGAGTCGAGTCGAGCTGCCGTTGAACATCCTTCTTGCTTCTCCTCGATACCATTCCGTCAAATTGCTCGTCATGGCATCCATTGCTGCCCGACTGGCAAGGAGCGCCAGGGGCGCACAGGCGTCGTCTTCACGAACGCCGTTCCAAGCAAGCGCCGCTTGGTCAAGAGCCATTTCCTCCAACGTACCGCGGACTCAGGCAGCCGCGGCGGCAGCTCAGCAGACCGTAGCGTGAGCATTGCGTGCAGGCAGCCAAGAGGGCATTACGTCGATTGAAAACTAACAGACGACCATCTTTGCGCCTCGCTACAGTCGCCCCGAACCATCCCCCGCCTTTCAACAGTCACCAGCATCAGCAGGAGCCACGCAGCTGCAGCGCGATGCCGACACAGCTCTGGACTCGTCCTTCGTAGGCATGTCAGGTGGTCGCATCTTCCACGAGATGTAAGTGTGCGGGCCGCGTGAGAAAGAAGACGTTGAATGCCGGCTGACCGCTCGCTGTCCATGCCCTAGGATGCTGCGCCACAATGTCAAGCACATCTTTGGTTACCCAGGCGGAGCCATTCTCCCCGTCTTTGACGCCATCTACAACTCGGACCAATTCGACTTTATCCTGCCCCGACGAGAGGACGGAGCTGGTCACATGGCAGAGGGCTACGCGCGTGTGAGCGGCAAGCCCGGTATCGTTCTGGTCACCTCGGGACCTGGCGCCACCAACGTCGTGACCCCGATCCAGGACGCTATGAGCGACGGGACCCCTCTCATCGTGTTCTGTGGGCAGGTCGCCACCTCAGCAATCGGCTCAGATGCTTTCCAGGAGGCAGATATGGTGGGCATTTCACGCAGCTGCACAAAGTGGAACGTCATGGTGAAGGACATTGCCGAATTGCCCCGTCGCATCAACGAAGCGTTCAAGATCGCGACGAGCGGGCGACCGGGGCCTGTTCTTGTTGACCTGCCCAAGGACGTGACCGCGGGCATCCTCCGACAAGCTCTGCCCTTCTCGTCAACGCAGCCGAACACTTCGATGACTCTTCCCAGCCGCGCTACTGCTCGACCGCGCTTCTCGCACGATGGCGCTCTCCGCCAGCAAGCTCTGCGATCCAACACAAGCGAGACGACCGGCCTGACCTCCGAGATGGAGGCTGCTGCACGCCTCATCAACATCGCCAAGCGACCCGTCATCTACGCTGGGCAAGGCATTTTGTCCAACCCCGAGGGGCCTCGCCTCCTCAAGGAGCTCGCACACCGCGGTCAGATTCCCGTTACTACAACCTTCCACGGTCTCGGCGCCTTTGATGAGCTCGACCCGCTCGCACTCCACATGCTCGGCATGCACGGTTCAGCGTACGCCAACTTGGCCATGCAAGACGCCGACGTCATCATTGCGCTCGGAGGCCGCTTCGACGACCGAGTCACTGGTCGCGTAGACAAGTTCGCGCCTCACGCTCGTGCCGCGGCCATGCAGGGTCGTGGCGGTATTGTCCACTTCGAGATCATGCCCAAGAACATTAACAAGGTGGTCCAGGCAACTTGCGCAATCGAGGGCGATGTCATTGCCAACCTGGCCAAGGTTCTCCCGCACATCGAGTCCGGTCCGGACCGCAGCGAGTGGCACGACCTCATCGGGCAGTGGAAGAAGACATACCCCTTCACATACAAGCCCTCCGGCCCTGGCGAGCCTCTTATGCCGCAGGAGGTCATCGAGGAGCTGGACCGAGCCGTTGCGCACAAGAAGGAGGACGTCATCATCACGACGGGAGTGGGTCAACATCAGATGTGGGCCGCGCAGCACTACAGGTGGCGTTTCCCTCGAACATGGGTCAGCTCGGGTGGACTGGGTACCATGGGCTTTGGTGTACCCTCTGCGGTCGGTGCACAGGTAGCGGCACCGGACAAGACTGTCATTGACATTGACGGCGATGCTTCGTTCAGCATGACAGCCATGGAGCTCCAAACCGCTTCGCAGTTCAACATCCCGGCCAAGTTCCTCGTCCTCAACAACAGCGGGCAAGGAATGGTCGTCCAGTGGCAGGACCTCTTCTACGACCAGCGCTACGCTCACACGAAGCAGACGAACCCGGACTTCTGCATGTTGGCACGCAGCATGCACTGTCATGCGATTTACGTGGCAGAGGGGGATAGCAAGGAGGTCCTTGCGGCCAAGATGAAGGAGTTCATCGAGTACAAGGACGGGCCGGTGCTCATGGAGGTTGCTGTGAACAAAACGGCACATGTTTTGCCCATGGTTCCTGCGGGGAGAGCACTGCACGAAATGACGATTGACAAGTCGTTGCCGGCGTTGCCAAAGGGGCCTCGTTGAGACATGGTACTCTCTCTTTGTCCGTCTTGTCTCGCTGTAACATGTTCGTCCTCGTTCTGTCTATCGATGGCGTTGCGCTGGGCAATGGCATCATGCTTTTTCACGTTACCAGTGCGCGAGAGGCTGATGGATGGGCAGCGTGAGCGCGTCGATGCAGGACTCCCGATCGGGCGGGCTAGCGGCGGGGAGCGGCGTGGGTCGCTACTTCCTTGCTTCCTTACCTTCACTGCGCATTATGCTAGCTCAGATAGCTTTGTTATGGACACGGCGCTGAAGATGCTGGAGAGTAAGAGGAGATTAGACCATTTGGAAAGGTGCCCGTAGCCCAAGGCGATATTGGTCTCCTAATGACTTCGTGCATCGTCGACCGACCTCAAACAAGGGTAGTTACCCATTTTCACACATCTACTTGCGCCATGGCCCATCTCATCGACTCGGGTCACTCTACCCAGATTCCGCAAACATACCATCGCGAGTCAGGTTGATCAGGTCGCACAATGCGTAAAGACTGGGCGATTAGTGCGCAACCCCTCGCCCTGCTCTGTCAACACCATCGAGCCGTTCATTTGCTCAAGTTCGCCTTGAGCCGTCAATGACAACCAGGACAGCGAGGGCAACGCATCGCGGATCTGTCAACATCCGCAGTCTCCGCAAAGGGACTTGCAACGCGTCGGTGAAGCCCTCTAGCCTCCGCAAAAGACTCGAAGAGCGTGGGAAGCCATTGAGCGTTGTTGTCTGCTTTCCATGACGTGAAGGTCAACAGGGCGCGCACTGATCGCCGATAAGGGGTAGCCCGAAGAAGAGTTTCCGCGATGGACGTACAGCTGGTCGATTCTCCCGAGTACAAGACAGGCTTGCTCTGAGAAGCTAGCTTTGATCTGCGGCAACAGACCTTTCACTGCCAGCCACCATGACCGTCACTACCACAAGCATGAGGCAAACTCGTCCTCCTCACTTCTTCGCCATGCTCTTCATAATACTGGTGCTGGTCACCATGATTTGCAGTGCTCAGGCTCGCGTCCCTCATCGACGTGGTCTTGACACCAACGGCTACGCACATGTCGCTCGCCACCATCGTGCGCACCGCCGTCGTCACATCGAGGCCACACCGACGAGCGTCGAACATGTCGCCCGCAAGTCGAAATCCAAGAAACACAATTCGGACTCTCATCAAGAACCAGACCCATTGGGCAAGCCCATCAAGCAAGACCCATCGGACAAGCCCAGCAACTCGACGAGCGATCCGGCCAGCAACACAACCACCACCACCCCCTCGTCCACCCCGTCCACCCCATCCTCGTCTGGTTGCACCATCACGAGCTTCGCTGACATGGCCTCGGCCGTAAAGTCTTGCTCCCACTTGATCCTCGACTCTATCGCCGTCCCCGCAGGCAAGACCCTCGATCTGAGCGGGACACCTGAAAACGCCGTTGTCGAATTTCGAGGCACAACCACCTTTGGCTTTGCTGAGTGGAAAGGTCCGCTCATCAGCTGGAAAAATCCCGGAGCAAATAGCTGGGTGGTCGGAGCTGAGGGGAATATGGTGAATTGTGGCGGTGAGAGATGGTGGGACGGGAAAGGTGGTCCGTCAGGGAAGGTCAAGCCTAGGGCTTTTGATATTGTGGGACCACGCGGGGGAGGAGTCAAGGGGCTGTACCTCAAGAATACGCCCGTCGGAGGTGAGAGCGCGCGTGCGCATGGGAGCTGAACGTAGCTGATGTTAACGCCACCGCGCAGCTATTTCCGTCAACGGTGGCCACGACTTTACGATCGTTGGCTGTACGATTGACTCGGGGGATGGTGACACCTTAGGGGCTAAGAACACGGGTGGGTACACGGGGTCGTACGTTGCGCAGGGCTCCACAAACTGATGATCATTCCCAGCGCAGATGCCATCGGCTTCTCAGCGAGCTCGGGCATGCGCGTACTCAATAACTACGTCCACAATCAGGATGACTGTGTCGTAAGCTCGCCTACGTCGCCACTGCTGAGCGGCGGACCATCATTCTCACAGATATCATGCGGTCTACCCCACAGGTCGTTCTCACCTCTCAAGACACCATCGTCGAGGGCAACAAATGTGTCGCCTCGCACGGCATCTCTCTCACGCCGATGGATTCGACCATCAACGGCTTCCTCGCCCGCAACAACGTCATCGAGGGCGGCGACTGTGGACTGCGCATCAAGGCTCAGACTGGAATGCGAAGCTCAGTGAGCAATGCCTCCTTCGTCTCCAATACACTCACCGACATCAAGCAGTACGGCATCGACGTTCAGTTCAACTATCCGGCTCGTCCTGAGGACGCCGTCAAGTCCTCCTCTAGTATCGAGACCTCCGGCTCAACCATGAGCGGGATCAGCTTCTCCGATATCACGGGCAATGTGCAGGCTGGAGGCTATCCTGTCGCTATCGTGTGCGGAGAGGGTGCCTGCAAAGATTGGAAGTGGGAGGGGGTGAGCATTACAGGCGGGAATAAGTTTCCCTGCGTAGGTGCACCTGCGGGGGCCGCGTGTTGAGCGTGAAGGGGACAGAGGGAAATGCGCCACGCTGGTCGTGCGCCGAAACCATCTCACCTAGCAGCGCATGTCTGTTGAAATCGATCAATTCTGCCGACGAGGCTTTGTTCAAGCTCATCACCCTGGGTGCGTTTACCGTGTCTTCGCTTTTGACTGCTCTTCGTAGCCTCGTACACATTACACGCCACTGCTTGGGGGACAAAATGCTCACGCATACCAGCAGCTGCGAACGGTCTCTTCGCGTGAGATGGTGGAGAGAAGGATGAAGCGCACATTCATTGTGAGAAGCGGTCACGTCTCGATCGTGCTTGCGCTCGTGTATCCAGGGGTCGGAGTGGGAGTGAGAAAGCCAAATCTCGCTACGATGTCATCACTTCGTCTCAACTACCTCAGTGGCGTCGCCATATCCAGCAGCACGAGCCACGCTGGCCTCAGTCGTCTTGCCCATTCCCTCCTCGCCACCGCCACCGTCAATCTCTCGCTTCTTCTGTGCGTCTCACAAGGTCAGCCAACTGGCTCTGGCAAACTTCTCCAATAGGACAGGCAAGCACGCTTCACCTCTTCAGGAGGGCAACATCCCTGCGGACAAGCTTCTCCACAGACTGGTCCAGGATCCGTGCGTTTGCTGATATTTCGGACGATGCCGGCTTGCTAACGAAGAGCAAATTGTCAGACATGATGCGGAGCTGGCAGGGGTTGTGTTGCGTTGAGTGTGCAGTCCTTACCGCGATAGTGTCCTTTTCCACAAGGTGCCCACCAGCCTATGCCAAGGGGGGAGAGCTTACAAAATGTCAGCTTGCTTGGCCCGCTAGGAAGTGGCGCGCGACGAGCTTACGGTAATGGGGAGGGCGTCGACGATGTAGGCGTTGAAGAACATAGCGAGTGCCACAGAGGCAGTGAAAGCGGGGCAGAAACGTACCAGCTGCATTGTGGAGTGATTGGTGGGATGTCGGTGGGTGGAGAAGAAAGATAGCGAGGGACCGTTCAGCATTTGACGGTACTGCGTGGGCAGCGGGCATCCTCGTATGGTGTCAAGTCGGGTCACATCGCTGGGCATGGTTGACGGTGATTCGAGGCCGGGCCGCGCCTCCCGAAGTGAGATAGTGGCGGCCGATGCTTGAGCCTCACTATAGAACTGATGGGCGTTGTTCAGCCGCCTTGCAACAATATGCTGAGTGGGTCAAGGGATGGAAATGAAGTGCTGCCTCGGAAATGCGCGAAATCCATGGCTCGTGCGAGGCTCGTCTTTCCGCCTCGCCTCGCCTCGCGTGGCCCGGTGGTCTGTCTCGACTTGCCTGACTCGCCCTTTCTTGTACCCTCGACTTCTCAGTCCGCCTTTTGCTGCACCATCCATCTTTCCCCCCTCCTATCCATCAGCGATGGTTCCTTCCATCTCGCCTGCAGCCACAAATGGCGCATCCTCCTCCACCTTGTCGACGCAACGTACCCTCCGCGTCCTCCTTGTCCGGCATGGGGAGACGGACCATAATGTGCAGGGTATAATTCAAGGGCAGCTAGACACACCACTCAATGCTAGAGGAAGAGCGCAGGCTGCTTTGCTTGGCGAGGCATTGAAAGGGGAGGAGATCGATGTCGTCTATTCGAGCCCATTGCAAAGGGCTGCTGATGTGAGTGAAACCACAAACCTGCCAGGAGCTCGCTGCAGACAAGCTCTCACACTGTACTCTTCACGACTGCGCTCCCTCGCCCAGACGGCAATCGCAATCACCCACGCTCGTCGGGAGACGCACCATCTCCCTGTCCACCCTGACGACCGACTCAAAGAACGTGCCTTTGGCTCACTAGAAGGACGAAGCTACAAAGGAGGGAAACGTGATTCCATCCCCGGCATAGAGCAGAGCTCTACCCTCGCTGAGAGGCTGGCCGATTTTTGGCGAGACCTTGTTACTAAGCATGCCCGAGAGGAGACCACCAAGGAGATAACGACGGCGTGTATTGTGGCGCATGGAGCTTCGTTGTCATCGTTGCTGGGCTGTTTGACTGAGTATTCCGCGCTGGAGGAAGGGGTTAAGCCGAGCAGGTTGTGGAACTGTTCGGTCACTGAGCTCTTGGTGCCACTGAGCGCGCAGTCGTCGTCGTCGTCGTCGTCGGCAGCAGAGGTTCAGGCGTCGCACCTCTTGGACGACGTCAAGGCTCTGGAAGACGCAAAGGTGCAAGGAGACGAGGCTACAATCGCAAAGGCGCAGCTGGCTCGTGATGAGGCTTATAGGACGAGGGCGAAAAGTGCTGGCATTGTAATTGTGAGATGGGCAGACGTTACCCATCTCGAGGACGAGCCTATTGGAGCACCGAGAGCAAAGGGAGCGCCGGAAGCTTCAGCGACAAAGACGGGCGTGAGCAAGGTGGCTAATGCGGATGAGGTCAATGCCTAGAGGAGCAGAGGGAGACCTAGAGTAGACGTAGACGTAGACGTAGACGATACCATGCCCCCGTGTTTTTCTCGTTACAATAGACGATTTTTCATTTCATTCACACACTGAGTTATGCCGCTTGCGCCTCCCTCTCAAGGCTAAGTGCATCCGCCCACCCCTCCTCGAACGCCTCCTCGTCTACCTCTGGATCGGCAATGCTAGCCGCAATGGCCCTCTGCTTCGGTCGCTTGCTCTTCCCACCCACGCTAGCCTTCCACCTCTTCACAATCCCACTCACAGCGCTAGGCGCGTACGTGCGAGCAAAGATGGCCGCCTCGGGAAGTCGATCTGCCGATGCCAGGAGCTCGATACAGCCGTGTACGTCGCCGAGCTGAAGGCGGGCAGCAAAGGCAATGTTCGTAGCGCCGCGAGCGGCTGCTTGCTCTGCCAATTTGGATAGCAGTGTTGCGTCGCTCTTGGTAGTTGCAAGCAGAAGCAGGGCCGGAAGATCCTCTGCTCTCGTGAAGCACTCTTCTGCAAGGGGCAGATTCCACTTGGAAAGCGCTGCGTCTCCAATCGTTCTCCATCTGCTCTCCCCACCAGCAACAGCCGTCCCAGCTCCAGGCGCGTTACGTGCAATCTCTAGCGCCGTGTCGAAGTCGTCCATCCCTACTGCCAGGTCAAAGCGATGGTCAGGGTCAGTGCTGACTTGCAGTGCCAGCTTCTCTTGCCCTTGAGACTCGAGGAAGCGGGCAATGCGGTTGCGCTGCTCTGCTGGTACGCGGTCCAGGATCGTGGCTGCTTCGTCAAAGTCGCTGCGGAGGATGGCGGTTTGGTACTCGATGACCGCGAGGGAGAGGGAGTAGGAGTAGACGGTGAGGTCCTGCGGACGTGAATGCGGTATACGACTTGTCAGCAAGGGGCCAGCTATCATTCGCGGGTCACGGCGACGCACCTTGTCCACCAGGTAAACTCTGCCGTGCTGTGGCAGGTAGCCAAGCAAGTAGAGCTCCGCATCCGTGTGGTTGATCGTATGCGTCTGCTCGCCCACGAGATACTGAATGCGGTGATTTGCGTTGGTGTAGACGAAGCATTCTCCGGTCCACTTGGCCGTGCGTACGCTTTCTGAGATCTCGGTGATGACGTCGAATGACTGCAGCGGGGCATATGAGGAGTCAGCCTTCAATATCAGCTGGGACGTTGGCACCGCGCACTCACATCCTCCGCTCCTTGCTCGTCATCCAAATCTCCAGCCTCGAGGTATGCATCGTATGCTGCACGATCGAAACGCAGGATGTAGAAGGAATCGTCGCTGGTGATTGCTACGAGCTCGTTGGTGCTGGACCAGTGCACGTCCTTGGCCTCGACGTCGATGCGTCGAACAAGCGCGCCCGATTCCCAGTCGTAGAAGCAGACGAAGCCCTGGCCGATGACACCGAGGAGGGCGCCACCTTTCACGTCTTCGGCCTTGAAGCCTGGGTTGACAAGACCAGAGCGCTCCTGCACGAGCGAGATAGATAGAGAAACCATGGTCAGTAGGCGATCTCTAGCGTCTCTCACCCCTCTTTCTCGTACCCACCTTGAAGTTGCGGAACACTTTGACATTTCCGCCCGCTTCTCGTACCGCATACGTGTTGCTGTCCGGCGCCCATGCGAAGCTCAACCCGGGTCCAAAGGCTTTATTCCTCCACGCCAGCGCAGTGTAGATGATGAACTCGCCATCACCGCATACGGATACGAAGCGGCCATTCGGGGAATGCTGGAGGGTTTGCGGGAAGACTTCGGTGGTGCCCATTTCGCGATGAGGTACAGCCACACGAGCTCCATCCACAAGGGACTCGGGTGACTCAACGGCGGCGACGTTGGCTGCAGCCACTTCTGCCCCCTTTGCCCAAACGACTTTCCCGGACCCATCCATGCTGACGCTCGGCTCCTCCTTGCCGAGCTTGACAACAACGGCACCGTGGTCGAATCCAAGACCGATATCGTTGCCCTTGCGGCGGTAGGCCACACACCATGCTCGCTCCAGTCCATAGTCTAGCGTCGACTCAAGACGGTACGTGTTTGCATGCCAAAGCTTGACCGTCCCATCCTCGGAACCCGAGACGATGAGAGGCAGGCTTGGGTGGAAGACGGCGTAGCTGACATTGGATGTGTGCCCGCCAAGCGTCTGGACGCACGACTTGGAGATGTAGTCCCATACCTTGATGGTGCGGTCGTCTCCACAGGTGAGGAGGTAGGGCTTGTCACCGCCGTGGTAATAGTCGACGTAGTTGACACCCTTGTCGTGGGCTTCGAGGGTGAAGTTTGCTTGGTTGGAGCCGAGCGTCCAAATCTTGACTGTTCGGTCGAGGCAGGATGAGGCAAAGGTATTGCTGCGAGATGCGAGGGGTTCGGAGAGGGCTGTGAGCTGACGTGCTGGCTTTGTGGCATTGCGCGCATACCCACGAATCCTTGGGGTTGAAGGCGAGGTTCATGATGTAGTGCGTGTGGCCCTCGAACGTCTGGCGATGTGCGGGGAAAGGGATCTCATTGTCAGACGCTGCGTATATGCTGTCCAGTTGACAGTTCCCGCTCACCTGCACGTGCTTCCAGTTCTTGTCAAAGTCCCATAGTCTGATGGTCATGTCGTCGCTGCCGGTGACGAGGTACGATGCGGTAGGGTGGACAGCCATGCACCTGATATAGTCTGGGTGAGCCTCAAAGGCAGCCACCTTGTCATGCGTATTGTAGTTGAAGCATCGCAGATGGAAGTCGTCACTGCCGGCGACGAACCAGTTGTTCCTAGCAATGAATTTGACGCATCGGACGGGAACCTCTGCGACCTCGAAGGTCTTGAGGAGTGCTCCCGTCTCATAGTTCCAGATGTTGACTTGGCCGCTGTACAAGCCAGCCAGGAGCCATGGTTCCGTCGGATGGAAGTCGACTGCCTTTACGCGATCGGAGCGCGCAAAGAGCTTGCGGTTGATGTCGAGTAGCATCGCGGCGGCAAGCACGAGGGCGGCGGCAGCGATGCGTGTAGGTGATGGAGGAGCGACGAGGAAGGAGTGAAGTCGTTGCGAGTGATGTCGAGTTGGTCTCGCTGCTCGCTGCATTGCCGTCGTGGCTCGAGCCAGCCTCGACATGCTTGCCGCCGCGTGGCAGTCTCACTCGCTCGCGTGGCATCACCGACGCCGCTTCCCGTCCGCTGAATGAGCCCAAATTTTGACCGAGGGTGGGCGATGGAGCGGGAGCAGCTCGCAATTCCCACCTTCCCAACATATCCATCATCACCACCAACCACCACTGACATCACCACGAGATGCCAGCTGCAGTCAAGTCTGCAAAGAAGGCAATCGCCAAAGCTGGTTCGAGCTCAAAGGCAGCCGTAGACAAGGCACTCAAGGCTGCTGAGCCACTTGTTCAGGACGACGACGATGACGATGAGATGGACAGCGACGAGGATGACTCGGATGAAGACGAGGAGAATGATGGCGTATCGCAAAGGGGCATCGACCGCCTGATGAAGGCGCTTGGTGAGGACGGATTGGACGAGGCTGACTACGCCGCTCTGGAGGCTATTCGAGCTCAGCGAGGGGAAGACGGCGGTGAGGACGATGAGGACGATGAGGACGTCGACGAGGACGACGACGAGGACGACGACGAGGACGACGACGAGGACGAGGAGGAAGAAGTCGATGAGGAGATCTCAACTCCTGCAGCTGCGAGCAAGGACACTCTCGCAGCCAGTCTCGCACGCAGCGGTTTGATCCCTCAAGATGATGACGAGGAAGACGAGGAAGATGAAGAGGACGAAGACGAAGAGGACGAGGCAGACGCCGACGCCTCTGCGATCCCAATCGACTCTCTTACAGACAGCGCATACGCCGCCCTCCCGGACACTGTCCGCGCACAACGATTTCACCGCGAGAAGATCAACAATGGCCCCGCTCTCAACGCCGTACGCGACTCGATTGCACTCGATGGCCCCTCGTCGGCGCCGACCCCAATGCCATGGGTAGAGCACATGTCCCTCACTTGGGACCAATCCGTCTCTTTTCTCCTCGAAGAGCAAGGAGCCACAGCATCCGACGACTTGGCGCGCGAGGTCCTCTTCTACAAGCAGGCCCTCTCCGCCGCCACGACTGGCCGTGCCAAGTGCCTGGCCGCCTCGTTGCCCTTCACTCGCCCACCCGACTTCTTTGCCGAAATGGTCAAGACGGACGAGCACATGGAGCGAGTCAGGCAGCGTCTCCTCGACGAGAAGTCCGGCATTGAGGCATCCGAGGAGGCCAAACGTCAGCGCGAGCTCAAGAAGTTTGGCAAGAAGGTCCAAGTAGAGAAGGGTCTGCAGCGTCAAAAGGAGAAGAGGGAAATGCAGGAGAAGGTGGCTGGTCTCAAGCGCAAGAGGGGTGGCGCTGCTGCTGGTGAGGGGCAGGAGGGCGACGATGATGACTTTGATATTCGGGTGCAGACTGCGCTGGGGGACGAGGAGGAGAAGGAGAAGCGTCGCGCTGCTGCTTCTCAGCGTGGTGGACGCGGTGGGCGTGGTGGGGGTAAGATGCCCCGCTCGGCCAGAGATTCAAAGTATGGCTTTGGCGGCAAGAAGCGCTTCAGCAAGAGCAACACCAAAGAGAGTACCGAGGGTGGGACCGGCAAGTACTCGGCGCCCTCTCGTGGGGGCCGAGGAGGGCGGGGTGGTAAGGCGGGGCGTGGTAGCAGCAGACCTGGCAAGAGCAAAAGGCAGGGCCGATGAGCGGGCATCTCAGATCACATCGCAATACACAGCATTCAGCACGCGCGCGATCACGAGCAGGACATGCATTGACTGAAGTGAGGGTGGGTATGAAAAAGCAATGAAGTGGTAGTGCCGCGCTCAAAAGCTCTGCGTTGCATCAATCTCAATGGCAGGCACGATGCTAGCCATGAACTTGAGGAAGACCAAGAGGTATTGGTCGACTCGCAGCCCTTCTACCTCGACGAGGCTGGTTGTCGCATCACCGGGCGAATCTGAACTATCCGATGTGGCAACGGCCGCGCTGCTCGTTGAACGATTGGCGACCTTCTTCATGGCGCCGCCGAGGCCCCACTTCTTCTTCTTGGTACTCGACGTAGGCGCCGCGGCGTCATCGACTGATGCCTCCTCGCCTTCACCACCCTGCTGTTGCTTGGTCCTTAGTCGCTTTTGCTCCTCCTTGACGCTAGCGTCCATTCGTTCGATCACCTTGCGCATGACGCTGGCGTGCTTGCAAGGGTGGACGCTCGCCGTGTTGAGCGTCGCAGAGTGCGGGAAAGGCTCGATGGTGACCGTCTTTTGCGCATAGTCCGACGAGATGTCCTCGAAGATCTGCGCGGGCTTAAGCGGCGAGCCGTGCTCATCGTAGCCAACCAGCCACATGCGCGGGGTTTGATAGTACTTGTCGTAGCTAATGAGACAGTCGTAGGTACGGACGGAGAGAATGTTGCTGCCTCCGGCTGATGTAGTTGGAGCCGCTTTCGGCGGGGGAGCCAGCGCTGAGGGGTCTTCATGCTCCACAACGCCTGCACCTGCCATGGCTTCCTCGTCCTCGTCGTCCATGTCTGGTATATCGCCAACCTCTCCACCATCATCGCGATCGTCGTCATCGTCGCCCAACGAAGTGCCTGCGATGCGAGATGCCAGATCGTCCTCTTGACCAGCCGTGAGCGAGTCGGCTTCTGGTGGTGCGTCTGGCATGTCCTCAATCTCGCCCACCTCAGCATTTGACGCCCCTTGACCCTCATCGTCAAGATGCGTGGCCAGCCAATCATCTTCTCCTCCTGCTCCAGTGACGTCGATGCCGTCCTTTCCCTCGGCGAAGCTGAGTAGTCTTTCGTCAGTCTGCGCAGTTGAAGATGAGGCTGCTCCCTTCCTCTTGGTACCCAAGGCTGCTCTTTCCATCTGACTGACTCTGCGCAGGCATGGCACTCCCTTTGATACGAGGTATTGCTTGTCCTTGGGCAGGAAGTCGCGCGTCTTTGATGCGTCGCCCGAGGACCACGACCAGGTGGGGAACTTGTAGGCTAGGAAATCACCGGCGGCTACAAATTCGTCTGAGCGAGTCGGAGGAGGGGGAGATGGCGGTCAGACGGACGCTGTAGTGATGTCGTCAGGATCCTCGTGCGACAGGCGACTTTCTCTCACCTGGCGTGATCCTGCCGTGCTCCTTGAACTTGGATTCCCGGAGGACGGGAGCTAGATAGTCCCTTACCGCCCAGAAGTGCGTCTGTCCAGAGTGTTGAGGGAGGCAGAGGTGAGCCTAAGCTTGCTATCATGACAGTATCGCCCATCACTCATCGCTCCATCGCACCCACCTGAATGGCATTCATGTTTGCTCGACGCTGTGATCGTTGGTGGAGGAGAGTGCGAAGTGAAAGTGTGCTTTGTGTCAGACTCTTGGCTGAGTGCACAGTCGGGTGATCTGGGCGGACAGGCGGTCCGGTGCAAGTCGGCGCCGTTGGTTGGCCGTCGTCTGTATGCGCTCCTGCCCTTTCCCCCACTCACATCCTCAATCATCTCATCTCGCGCTACTTTACACAATGGACGAGCTCGCAGAGTACAAGGAGCAGCTCAATCAGGTCAACGAGGCGTTGCAGCTCGATCCGGATAATGAAGAGCTCAAGACGCTGCGCGGAGAGCTCAACCAGCTCATTGAGCTGACGCAGTCCCTCCATCCTCAGCACGCCGCCTCGTCATCCAAAGCATCCTCGTCTTCACCAGTCCCGCCGCCGCAACCACGATCAACAGAGCGCCAAATCAACCTCAAGGCCGGAGATGAGTGCTTGGCCAAATACGCTGTGCGTGAATGCCCTGGCTAGCCCCAAGTGAACCCTCTCGCTGACAAGCATATACTCACCTCCCCTCCCCGGGCGCTTGCCAGGCCGACGGACGATGGTACCCGGCTCGCATCACAGCCGTAAGCGGCTCATCCAAGGACCCTGTCTTCTCGGTCATCTTCAAGGGCTACAACAACACAGAGATGCTCCGATCAGCAGACATCAAAGCCAAGAGTGGACTCAGCAGCAGCGCAGCCCCATCATCCTCGACGTCCTCACCAGCCCCACCCGCAGCCTCCTCCTCTTCTTCCTCCTCTTCTCAGCCACGGGCCAAGCAGCTCACAGCAGAAGAGGAAGCTGAGAGAGAGCGACGCCGCAAGCGCAGCGAGAAGAAGTCGGAGCGTCACGAGGCCAAGACGCAGGCTGCGAATCAAAAGGCCAACTCGTGGCAGAAGTTTGCAAAGAAGGGCGCCAAAAAGGGGTACGGTATCCCTGGTACGAATTCGATGTTCAAGACACCAGATGACCCGCTGGCAAAAGTCGGCGTCGTGGGCGCTGGCAGAGGAATGACGGGATATGGAGATCGGAGCAAGCACGTTTTCCAGAACGGTCGAGCGGGTGGGAGTGGTGGTGGTGGCGAGGAGCAATGAGGCAAGGCCAGGCAAAAGGGCACTCGAATGGCTCAGAAGTAGACGATCTGAGCTGAATACCTTCTTTCCTCCCCTCATCATTACTCGGCAGCCTCCAGACCGGCGACGAACATGCAGAGCTTCATCCGACTGGCGCATCATACTTCACGTCAAGTGCAGGTCTGTCAAGCAGGCCTTGACGCCTCGTAGTCTAGCTAACAAGCATACTTCGTCTCCCACTCCGTTTCATCCGTCGGCATCTACGGACTCGTTGTTGAGATTAAATTAACAAAGGCGAGAGCGAGAATGCCCAATATCAGACATGACAGCGTGGGAGCGACGCGCAAGCGCAGCCGTGGTGGATGTGAATGTGTGAGTGAAGATCCAAATGGGTATCGTGTATGAATGAATCGAAAAGCGACGGCGTGTGGGTGGTGGTGACGAGGCGTCGTACAATCTCAATTGGCTCTCGCGAGCGACCCGTGGAAGACCTTGATGAGCGTGCGTATGGAAGATGACATCTGGTGATGCGTCAAGCTATCGCAGGGGAGGGAGCTGTCGGTCAGCTACGAGTCGCCACCTCGCCTTGAAGGTCGCGCCGGGCACTCACTCCTTCTCCTGCGTCTTTGTCAAATCGATCAAGCAAGCCTTCTCCCCTCCCTCAACTTTGGGCTTCCCTACCTGTCCACTATTCTCATCAGCATTCTCCTGCCCCAACTCCTGATCCAGATCACGGTACGCCATCCTCCATCCATCGAAATCGCGCTTCTGCAGTCCCTGGCGCTTGAGCACTACGATGACACCTCTGTGTCGTTCGTCTTGCCTGATGGTCTCAAAGAGGGCTTCGACGTGGTGGGTGGGACCTTCGAGGAATTGGGCAAATGTGCCGTCACGATAGAGGAGTAAGCCCGTGATGCCCTTGGAGGCATTGCGGTGGCGCGAGTGGTTAAGAAGGGTTTGCAGTTGCTCGCGCGTGAGATAGCGATCACGAGCGGATGATGTGTAGACCAATTGGCAGAGGGAGTCTTGGCCTATCGTGCCGTCAAATCCAGTGGGTGAGGTAGGGGCTGACAGGCTAGGAGAATGAACAAGATTGCCAGTGTCTTTGCTGCTTTCGCCGCTCATGCCCTCAGACAGGGAGGTGGGGTCTGTCTCATATGTGGTCTCGCCACGGCCACTCATACTGCTCTCGCTTTCGTTGGTGGTCGTCGAAGAGTTGGACTGCTCAGTGGCAATTGGCGGGCGTGTTGGTGAGCTTCGACCTGCAGCAGCCGTTGCGATGCGAGCGGTTGAGGGGCCACCAGCACCGGCGTTGACCCTTGGTCTTCTGAGAGTCGAGCTAGACATGTCGAGTGGATGGTGGAGCCGTTGGATGGTACGATGGATGCAAAGGGAAGCGAAGAGGATATGAAAGCCTACATCTGGTCTCAATGTTTCGTAGGCGGTGCAAGCTCGACGACGAGCCTTAATCCTCTTTTGCCGTGACCGGACCCCTCGGCAATGTGGATGACACAACGCACGACGACGACGATGCTACGCATGATCCATTCGAGAGGTCAAGGCGCTTCGTGAGAGCCCGCATGCCCGGCTGCAGGCGACGACGAGCCGTAGAAAGGTGCTCGACGGCACGACGCTCAATCCCACGTCAAGGGTCCAAGCTTTTCGTGTGCCGTTTAGCCGCCTTGCCGGCTTCGAGCTGCGACACTGCATCTTCGATCGCGAGCGCAGTAGCCTCGCCCTCTCTGCGACGATCGCGGCCAAGAAGACGGAGGTAAGCTGAACCCCGCTGCCGGATCGGAGGATGGAGGTGCGAGCCGCCACATGGTTGAATTGGGATCTGCGCGTGCGTGCCCGCATGCCTGCGTGCGGGGGTTCAGTCCAACAAGCGGCGGCAAAGCGTGGTGGATGTGCATCTCACGAGACTGGACTCGACGTGAGATTGCCCTCGTCTCGTCTGAGGTTGCCTTTCGCCTCTCGCTCGCTCCCGTCCGTCAATGACCCACCAGACGGCCACTGTCCTAAGGACGCTGCCCATTTCTTCTGTCGCCCATTGCCGTCATCACTCTCAATCTGACGACGTCGAGAGACACGCAAGGGGCGTCGCAGCAGGCTCCTAGCCGTCGCCACTCTTCCTCTTCCTTATTATCATCATCATCACCATCATCATCTCGCTCCCCCTCAAGCTCTCCCACTCTCGCTCCCTCAACCTTCTGCGTCACCTCTTTGGGCGTCACCACACCGGAGCCCTTGCTTTCAAACGAGAAGCATCCTGGCTTACTTACTTCGACTTCACCTTCCTCCTCTTTTTCTCCTCATTCGGATCACGTCTCATCCCACCTCCGACGTCGAAAGCCACACCAGCGTTCACGTGGTGCCGCTAGCGACATCAGTCAATGCAGCTACGACAGCGCAGATAGCGACCCCAGCGAAGACAGCGACCACACCACTTCGTCCCACTGCTCATCTCCCCCCACCATGCCCTCATCCTCTCGCGGTGGCTACCTTCCGCTACCGGGCGCCACAGCCCCCGTACGCTCAGCCAAGGGCTGGTATCGCCGATTTCGTACCATCATCGCCATCGCCATCGCCCTTGTCCTTCTTGTAGAGACCGTCGTCTATATACCCTACTGGGCGGGCGAAGAGAGGCTACGTGCTTGGGGATGGGATCGACCTGCCGACTGGGTCAACGATATCAAGGGTGGATGGATGCCGCCCCCTCCGCCGCCTCCTTCCCCCCACCATGGCCCGCCAGGCCCGCCAGGCCCGCCAAGCCCAGGCCACAGACCATCCAAGGTGACTCCTCCTGAAGTTCCCGATCCGTACGATGCTCCCTGGTCACCAAGTCGGGATCGGGTGCGCGTCCCTGCCTCGGCCTTTCCACCGCCGTACTCCGACCTCTTTCACTACGAGCCATCGACCAAGTACGCCAATGGCAACCCCCATTCGGGCGTCATCCCGCCACTTCAGCTTCATCTTCTCAACAATGTCGGTCTGTCACAGCGTCCCGTCCGACCTCCTGCTGCCCCTCTCGTCAACTCGACCGTCTGGGATAAGCCGCGGTGGAGCAAGGCGGACAACGGCTCGCGCACCTCCTTCGCAGACTCGTTCCGCGCCCATCTTCAGCAGGACGAGGTTGACACTCGATTGCCGCCCTTCAATTCGTGGATAGCGCCAAAGGAGCAACTCGATCCGTCGCTGCCGCCGACTGAGCCTCTCTCGCGCGTCCAATTCGCCTTCGAAGACCCCAAGCGCCGTTCAGGCAAAGCTGGGGATCATGCCCGCGAAGCGACCTTGATCGAGCGACAACGTCTGGTGAAGAACGCCTTTCTCCACTCTTGGGAAGGGTACAAGCGCATAGCATGGGGGCACGACGAGCTTCGTCCCGTATCAGAGGAGGCGCAAGACCCCTTCAACGGCTGGGGCGCAACCATCGTTGATGCATTAGACACGCTTCTGGTCATGGACCTGCCGAAGGAGTACAACTATGCAAGAGAGCACGTACGCGATATCGACTTCTGGTACTTGGGTGGTGAGCGTAGCGCTTATGGACGTAACGACGGGCGCGTGCCCGTGTTCGAGACGGCCATTCGTTACTTGGGCGGCTTTCTCTCGGCTTATGACCTGAGCGGGGACGAATTGATGAAGGACAGGGCAGAGGAGCTCGCGCAGCTTATTCTCCCCGCCTTCTTCACTCGTACTGGTGTCCCACTCGGTCGAGTTCGCTTCGGCGCCACTCCCTATCCCGGCGCAGGCGGGGGAGTAGTACTCGCCGAAGCAGGCAGTATGCTCCTCGAATTTACTCGCCTCTGGCAAGTGACGGGAAATCGTACCTACTTCGACCGAGTGCAGCGTGCCACCGACTGGCTGGACCGCAACATGACCAAGGAGGCACGCCTCGGGTCTCTCCTTCCTACCTCGATCTTCCCCGAGACAGGGGCGGGCTACGGCTGGTACTCCTTTGGAGGCATGGCCGACTCTTTCTATGAATATTTGGCTAAGGAGCATCAGCTCCTCGGCGGAAAGATGGGGCAATATGCTCGCATGTACTCGGACGCAATCGACTCGGCACGCCGCTACTTGATCAAGGAGATCCGCTCCGTACCGGGCACTGACCTGGTCACGTTTGGGATGAGCAACTCGCGATTTTGGGAGGCCAAGCAGGAGCACTTGGCTTGCTTCACGGGAGGAATGCTCGGCCTGGGTGCAAAGCTGATGCCGTCACGCCGCGGCCATGACGTTGATCTGGCGCAGCGTGTCACTGAGACGTGCTGGTGGTCCTACAACTCTTCCGCTACAGGGCTCGGGCCCGAAGACACAGTCTTCTATCGCTCCGACGACTCTCTGCGTTTCGAGCAGCTCACCGATCCGGACGGCACGAAACGACGCGGCAAAGCCCGTGGCTGGCCCATCGTGGGCGTGGCAAGGCAAACGTCCGACTATCGCGGCCGGCCAGAGACGATTGAGAGCGTGCTTTACATGTGGCGCATCACGGGCGACCCAGTGTGGCAGGATAGGGGTTGGCAGATGTTCGCCTCGTGGGTGACGCATGCCATGACCAAGGTGGGCTTTGCCAACATCCAAGACGTGCAAGCCTTGCCGGCCATCTTGAACGACAACATGGAGTCTTTTGTATTTGCCGAGACATTCAAGGTGAGAGGGTGTGGCTGTTGTTTGGCTCCAGAGGATCCAGCTGACGTCCTCCCTCCCAACGCGCAGTACTACTACCTCCTCTTCTCCCCGCCCGACCTCATCTCACTAGACGATTACGTCTTCACGACCGAAGCACACCCGCTCCTTGTCCCCAAGGACGGTCGTTGGACAGAAGCAGGCAAGGGTCCACGCTCGTTCTGGTCTGGCCCGTCCCCCTCCCAGGCCTCGTCGGACGTCTACAGCGGCGGCGAGAGCGGCTCGTACGGCGGCATGACCAATGTTCAGAAGCACAGCGTGTTCAAGGCCTGGGAGGCGCAGGAGGAGCAGAAGCGTGTTCAGGCGGAGAAGGCTCGCGCAACGGCCAAGCTGGCCGAGGTGGTTGAGCGCGCCAAGCTGGCCGGAAGTGATGCGGTGCAGTCGCTTGTGGCGAGAATGCGCAGCCTAGTAGGCGATGCAGGCAGCAGCGAGGGCGATGCGAGCAGTGCGCAGCAAGTTCAAGAAAGCGATGCAGCTGAGACTGCCACCCATCAAGAGGTCAAGGTTGTCGAAGTCGAGCTCACAGACTCTGTCAAGCAAGCGCTCGAGGCTCTGCGTGCGAGTGGTGTCGCTACCCTTGCCGACGCCGACGGCGCACACAATGAAGCCAGGGATACAGCCGACGTCAAGTCGGCTGTGGTCGAGACGAGCGCCGGACCCGTCGAGATTCGCTTTGTTGCGCCGGGCAGCCGCTCCAGCGGAGAGGCGGGCGTAGAGAAGCGCAGTCAGGCGATCCTCACTACAGAGGCAATTCAGATTTCAGAGGCGGGAGATGAGCAGGAGGAGAGTGTGAAAGAGGACGCGGACGAGGAGGGCGAATCATTGCCGCCCGTCCCGTCAGAGATTGCCGACGCTGCTGAGCTCGAGGAGATTCAGCTGGCCGGGACGAATGCGCTGCGCTATGCTCTAGGGCAGCTGCTGATGCGAGTTAGTGGTAGAAACGAGGAGCCTGCTCAAGGAGGGCGAAAAGCGGCGGCGACCGAGGATGCGGAGAAGGACGAGCCGCTTTTTGGTGAGACGGTAGAGGAGGATGCTGAAGACGAGGCTGCGACGGCTGCGAGGTTACTCTACCCAAGCTCGCCTGCCCCATCAGCTTCGCCTTCGACGCCGCCCCCGAACCCTCAGCCTCTAGGCATGGGCTTCGCTGGTCGAATGTACGCCAACGCGATGAGGGAGCATCGTGTATGAGCTGGGCGAGGATGTTCTTGTTTGGTCTTTGGATTCGCAGCGCTCAATGAGAGATTCATTCCTTCGTTTGCTTCGAGATCTCGCGAAGACTTGATCGCGTGGTCGTGTTGCTTGCTGCGCCAAGATGCGGAAAAGTCAGCAGGCCCGAGCGTCGCGACTCGAGAGGGCGGAGAGAGTGGCAGGCGGCGAGTTGGGGGCGGGGGGGTCCATCACTCACTCGATGTTGCTTTCCTTGTCCGTCTGTCCGTCCGCTCAGCAACCAACTTGGCTCCCCACCACTACCTACCTCGCATCCTCGTGACCCACCACCTCTTCTGGCTGAAGTACATTGCCGCCCAGTATGGCGGACCCGCGACTGCGTAGGATCAACAAGGTGAGAATGCGCGTGGCGTAAAGGCTGAGCGATCTTGAGGCTAGGTGGGCTGATTCACTTTCTTACCTCACCGGCTTGCTGGCGCAGGAGATCCAGGATATCAAGAATGACAAGGCGTCCAAGGTCGAGATCGCCCTCGTAGCAGGTGAGTGGCTCGTGCATGCCTCTGACTCAATTGTTCTTAGCTCTCACGCCATTCCACGTCGCCCTCAGACTCGCCCTTCCACCTCGTCGGCACCTTTCCCGGCCCTGAAGGCTCCCCTTACGAGAGCGGTACCTTCGATGTGGACATCACCGTGCCAGATGGCTATCCCTTCCAGCCCTTGAAGATGAAATTCATCACGCGCGTTTATCACCCGAACATCTCGTCACAGAGTGGCGCCATCTGTCTCGATATCCTCAAGGATGCGTGGAGTCCGGTGAGCAGAGGGCGCCGCGAGCAGTCGATGGGACGCGAGAGGGCCATAGGCTGACTGAAACTTGTGCTACTCGCTGCAGATCCTCACTCTCAAGTCGACACTCCTCTCGCTGCGCAGCCTGCTCTGCTCACCCGAGCCCAGTGACCCACAAGATGCAGAAGTGTAAATGTCGCCCGACCCGTCTTCGTCCCCTCATCTCGATGCTCAGCACTCACTGGCAGCATCTCCTCTACCCCCCGCTTTCGCTCACACAGCGCCAATCACTACATGTCGGACCAAAAAGGCTGGGAGGAAACGGCAAAGTACTGGACGGAATGCTACGCCAATGGATCAGAAAGCGCGAGACCACCTGAGGCAGGGTCAGCAGGTGCAGGCGCGGCCAGGAAAGCGACAGGGGAAGAGGGAGATGTTGAGGAGGCCGCAGCCAAGGCTGGTTTGAAGGTCGAGCATGTGCAGCAGTTTTCTGCAATGGTAAGCGGAGCGTCACAACGAACCTGCCAGGCGTGGCGAGAAGCTGACTGAATTCCTCGTCCTGCCCCTCGCACGTACAGGGCTTTGACAAAATGAAGGTCATCGAGGTGCTCAGAAGGCTGAACTATCGCGGTGCAAAGTGAGGCATGCACTTCAACGAAACCGATTCCGAGCAGGCGACTGACCAAATCCTCTCCTCTCGGCCCGCCTAGCGTACGCAACGTCACCGACGACCGAGTCCTCAACGAGCTGTTCGGCGCATAGCCGCAACTGGACCGCCAAGGAGCACGACAGTCACGCTACCTTCCCACGACATCGACTCCCACGACATCAACTCATCTCCCCCTTGGCATCCACTCCTCTTTCGCCTCGGCTTCTTCCTCTAATCACACGATGACCACCAGCTTCTCGACCGACGATGAAGACGATGGAAGACGATGAATTGACACGCTACAAATCTGCCCACCTCACCCCTCCACCCTGACCCCACCCTCCCTCCTTCTCTAGCCACTCGTTGGCTTTCTTGAAGTGACCATTGCCCAAGAAGCCGCGATGCGCGCTGAGAGGGGAAGGATGCGGGGAACGGAGCAGCTTGATGTTTGGATGAGAGGACAGGGACGAAGGGACGGCAGCGCTGAATGTCTTGGAGGCAGGTTGGCCCCAGAGGAGGAAGACGACGCCTTTGCGGCGGTCGCTAGGAGCTCCTCCGCTGCCGTTGGTGCCATTCGACTCGCTCTTTTCTTCGCCCTTTGCGCCGGCACCCTTTTCTTGCTTCTTGAACATGGCAGCCAAAGTCGACCCTTTGGCGGCCTCTTTCGTACTGATGCCACTTCCTTCTCCCTTACCACCACCACCACCTCCAGTGGCTCGCTCTACGACCAGCTTCAGGACCTCCCTGGTCAGGACCTCCCAACCCTTACCAGCATGACTGCCCGCCTCGCCCTTCCTCACCGTGAGGGAGCTATTGAGCATGAGTACCCCTTGGCTAGCCCACCCACTCAGATCCCCATGACTGGGCGCATCAAATCCTCCTTTCCCCTTCCCTGGTCCATACTCGTCGCGCAGCTCCTTGTACATATTCTTCAGACTACCAGGTACTGCCTGACCGCGAGGCACGGAGAAGGAGAGACCCATTGCCTGGCCCGGGCCGTGATACGGGTCCTGACCTAGTACTACGACTTTGACGTCTTCTATTCGCGGGGTAAGCTGAGACCATGAGTGAACCAAGTGCGCTGGTGGGTAGATGGTCGCTCCCGATGATTGCTGGGAGCGGAGGTAGTCTTTGAGCTGTTTGAAGTCCGAGGAGGAGGAGAGGTGTGGTTGAAGAGAGGTGAGCCAGGAGGGGGACATGGTGGTGCGCTCCAGTGCTAGAGGATCGTCTGAGAGGAAGAGGGATGGTCCTGCTGGGGCCGACGGAGTGGGTTTGTTGAAGATCTTGGCTTGGGTGGGAGAGGGCTTCGCGGGCATTGTCGCTGCTGCTGCTGCTGCTGCTGCTGCTGTCGTCGTTTGCTTCTCTGCTTTGTTGGCTGGCTGGGAATCACGTTCTTCTGCGGCTTCTGCGGCAGCTATGAGCGCTTCTTCGTCCCACGCGTCACCTTCATTCTGGAGAGCCTTGGTGGGTGAAACGTCGTCCGTCTTTGTCTTTTTGCTGCTGGACGCGACTGCCCCGGCGGGAGAAGGGGAGCGCTTCACGCCTGCCGATTGGGCAGGGCTGGTGGCCATGTTGCGGGAGAGTGAAGATGAAGGGCACGAGGTGCGCGGCAGTAGACAGCTCCTCGTTGATTTAAAGAGCAGTGAAGTTGCGAAGTGAGGTATTCTCGGCAGCATACACGAACGACGGGAAGCAAGACGCGTTTTCCCAACTTTCGGGCGTCGCAGCTGACGTTTTGGGCGTGTGGAGTGGAATTGGCGTGGCTCGAGCGTCGCCGCGTGGCAGATGGACTGAGGCCAGTTGACCGAGCGAGGAGCGGCGGCAGCAGGGGCAGCGGCGTCGACGTCGTCATCCCTCCTCAACCAACACCATACATTCAACTCAACTCACTGCGATTCTGCGCCATTGAAGTACGACAAAGATGGATGAGCACTACGACTACGTCATTCTGGGTACGGGAGTCACCGAATGTGTCCTCTCCGCCCTCTTGTCCGTCGATGGCAAGAAGGTGCTGCATATGGACAGGAATCAATAGTGAGCGCCGCGAGGGGGGAAACAGATGTCGCCATTGGGTGCAGTGAGCTGACTGATGTTCGTTACCATCCTCGCACTCGCAGCTACGGTGGTGAAGGTGCATCGCTGAACCTTACTCAGCTGTGGGAGAAGTGGGTGTGATGGCGGCTCACTCTGCATTGTCCCTCGCTGACCTATTTTCATTTTCCCTCTGCGCAGATTCCGTCCTGGTCAGGAAGTGCCAAAGGACATCGGCCGGTGAGCAGTTCATAGATGCATATCGATTATGACATGGCCATTCAGGACTGACATTCTGATCGCGCCCCGCTACCAGCGACCGCGACTATGCAGTCGACTTGATCCCCAAGTTCCTCATGGCCAATGGCGAGCTCACAAAGATGCTCGTTCATACCGACGTCACCCGCTACCTCGAGTTCAAGCAGCTCGCCGCCTCGTACGTCTATCGAGACGGGAGGATTGCAAAAGTCCCTGCAACCGAGATGGAGGCTGTGCGATCTCAGCTCATGGGCTTGTTCGAGAAGAGGAGGGCAAAGAAGTGAGCCCGCCCTCGCACCCTCGACGAGATGTGGATATCATCTTACTCACCCGCATCCTGCCCTCTTCAGGTTCTTTGAGTTCATCCAGAACTGGAAGGATGATGACCCGGCTACTCACCAGGGCCAGTGAGTCGAGGTAGCATTTCACGTCGCCTCCGCTGGACTCGTACTCACCCTTGCCTACCTCTCACGCCAACGCACTCAGGGACCTCGACTCGTCACCCATGACCAAGATCTTCGACTACTTTGGTCTCGAAGCCGGCACTCGCGACTTCATCGGCCACGCAATGGCCCTCTACCTCGACGACTCGTACATGACGCGTCCAGCCCGTGAGACGTACGACCGAATCATGCTCTACACCTCCAGTGTCGCACGCTACGGCAAATCTCCCTACATCTACCCACTGTACGGCCTGGGTGAGCTGCCCCAGGGATTTGCGCGTCTGTCAGCCATCTACGGAGGCACCTACATGTGCGTATGCGTAGCGCGGCGTGACTGCCACCGGAATGTTGCTAACCTTTCTCTTCCCTCGCCAGGCTCGACAAGACGATCGACAAGATTGTAGTAGACGACTCGGGCAAGTTCGTCGGCGTCCGCTCAGGCGACGAGACTGTCAAGGCAGACGCTCTCATCGGTGACCCGACGTACTTCCAAAACCTGCCCGTAGGCGGCAAGAACCTCGTCAGGGAGACGGCCAAGGTCGTGCGCGCCATCTGCTTGCTCAAGCACCCTGTGCCCAACACGGACAATGCAGACAGTGTTCAACTGATCATCCCGCAGAATCAGGTGGGAAGGAAGCATGGTGAGTCGATCGATAGAGGATGGAGGTGCTGCGAAAGCATGAGCTGACTTGGCCACACTTCGTCGCACACAGACATCTACGTCGCCTCCCTCTCGAGCAACCACAACGTCGTGCCCCGCGACTTGCACCTCGCCATCGTCTCTACCATCGTTGAGACAGACAAGCCGGAGCTGGAGCTGCGCCCTGGTCTGGACCTGCTAGGCCCTATCCATGAGAAGTGAGTGTTTCCAGTCACGAGTCGAGGAATCATGCGGTCACGCCGGCTGACCTGTGACTCCCCCCACCTCGTCGCCCGCCGCAGATTCATCTCGCTGACCCCTCTCCTCGAGCCTATCGAGGGCGGTAGTGAGAGCAAGATCTTCATCACCCGCTCGCCTGACGCTACTTCCCACGTGGAGACGATCAACGAGGAGGTGCACGATGTTTGGCGCAGGGCTACGGGCGGCAAGAAGCTCGACTTGAAGAAGAGGAGCGATGAAGAGGGGGCACAGGTGCAGGCGTAAGAGCCAGGGGGGAGTGCGGGGCAGTGAGAATGTGACGCTACTTTCGATTCAAAGAGAGAAAGAGGCTGGATATATGATTGACCGCTTTTCGGCTTCTTGGACAAGACAAGGCGAGACGAGACCAGACGAGTCGTGGTGTGCTAGTCGACGATGGTTGTGCGCTTGCCCTCACTACTCCTGCTCCTCGTCGGGCCCCTCGTTGAGCTTCTTGGCTACGATCAAAGCGTCAGGCGACGACTCAGCGGGCTTGACCTGCAACTGAACATCGGCCAACTTGCCCTCAGAATCGATGACGACGTGCGATCGAATAGTCTTGCTTGCGGTGCCTGTGAGGGACTTGATGAGGAGACGATCAGGGTCCGAGAGGAGGGTGTAGGGGAGAGTCTGCTTCTGCGCGCGTGAGTCGAAGGAAAGGCACGCGGTGTGAGCGAGGGAGACGATGATGCTGCGTGGGAGG